CCCAAAAAAAAAAGAAAAACTTCTTTGAGCAGCTGTCAACATAAAATATTTTGAAAAAGTCCAAATTTTTGTCAGCTATCAATATCCCATATGCTTCGGCTTTCGAAGTCAATGTGAAAAGGTTTCCAACTGGCACCTAATATTTTGAAAAATTTGTAGGTTACATAGTAATCCGTCCTTGAAATAGCTGGCTCCTGAAATAAATAATTTTGAAAAAGCAATCGCAAATCGATTCTTTTTTTTATCACATAACCTTGTCTTCTTACAGTCAACAGACATCTTTTGGGACTTCTGTATGATTTAAATTCAAGAACAAGCTCACTAATTAATAAGATAGATTTTAATAGCTTCAGGAGATGAATGCTAATAATAGATCCCGAATCGTGCTATTGACTTTATAGCCACTATGAGAAGCGTAAAGGTTATTGCCAAATATATTTAATGTATGTACTACAAATCTCAATTCATGAGAAACTAAATAGCTGTCTATTATGAATTAAGTTTCTTTAGGAGTCACAGAGTAGTTCACAGAAAAATAGACTTGATTTTGAACATAGATATTAAAAATTTGTATAGTTTTATTACTAATTTTTATTAGTTCATGCTTGCCTTTTAGTCATTATTTCTGTTCCATAGAATCAATGTTGCTTCTAGTTCTTCAACAATCAGGTCAAACGAAAACATAATTAAAACTTACGATATTGTTCCACATATTTTATCCTATCCATAGTTGCTGTATAAATCAATTCTATTAGTGGATTGTTTGAAACCGCTATTAGGAGAAGAATATGAAAAACATATTAACAAATATGAAAATTCACCTGGCGCTGTCGAAGACTCTTTTGAAAAAAAATACTTTCTAATTTGTTACACACTAGAATATACCAGTTTTGATCTGGGCCCTAATAAAAAAATTCTACTTTCTTATATGATGATCTACATAAAATGAATTACATGCATACGAAAAGAAGGTTTTTCTTTAGCTCGAAAGCAAAAGTACAGTATTCTGGGAACTGTTCCTATTTTTCTGATGATTACGTTGTGAGGCCGAGAATCATCAGTACTGAACTCAAAAGGGGTACCTGCCAGATGTTAATGAATAATAGAAATTTGAATTACATGGTAGCAGCTATATCTAGGACTTTTCACATCTCTCTTTACTGGGTCACATACCACCAGAATAATTTTTTAGTTTATCAGTATGTATTAGGCTTGCAACAATGATGTCAAATCACCAGTTTACCGTCATTATTTCTTCGGTGTAAAATGGTAACCAATTTGTTTTCTGTTAAATATTTTAGGGGCAAACATTTCTCAGTGTCACTTGATATGAAGTAGTATCCTATAATACAAGTGAGTATCTATCAGTTCATATTTTGGTTTAGAAAAGCTATTATCATTGTTAAATTCGCGTTATATACGACAGATTAAGTAGTAAATATCAAACATTTTCATAAATAAGAGTGCAACGAATAAACGATAGTGAAACATGCCACTTATAGAATCAAAGATGTTTGCCGTCCTTTTCTGATCTTTATTCGCTATAGAAGTTGAATTAATTCAACGATCTAGACAATTCTAGTCTCTAAAAGCTCTGTGGCATTTGAGCGCATGCCGTCCTATTGTCGAATTTTATAATACCCTTCATTAGACTGATTCGAATATCTATTTTTCTATGCCATGTTGTTACTGCGAGCTTTGATTAAATATCATTACTTGACTTACGAGCCGTGCTGCTTCAATCAAAAATACTAGCAGCATCCATATCTATGCGAATAACCTGCTGTCATGTTTTGTTTCTATAGAGATTTAGTTTCAAGTATATTCTGTTTATGCCTTTTATTACACAAGGATAAACTTCATTTCAAAGATTTCTATTGTTTGTTGCTGTTGTTCTTGTTATTAATGTGTTGCGTTTTCAAACAAAATATATCATATTTATTCAGCGATTGAAGCACAACAACAGTCCACAATGTTTGTCTTACTTGGCCTTGATTGAAGTATATAGATGAGAAGCATCAACAACAAAAAACAGCTTGACGACTCATGATTGAAGTACTAATATGAAATGAACGCTTAAAAGTGCAAAATGAATTATGCTAATTTTAAATTTTAATAGCACATATTTTATTTGCTAAACTTTTCGAGGTCGTATTAAATACTTCATAGTTTAAACCAAATTATGTCTGATTTTCAACACAACGACACTGGCGGGCATACTCATATTCAGAGAGAATTTGTTTTATCTGATTTATATCGCGCTTAGTTTAAAACGTAATGAAAAAACATTTGGTTTGCATCTTTTCTTTTTGATAACTAACCACCAAAAATATACTTTAAGGGACTAAATGCTAGATAGAATAGTTATTATAGTAGACTCTTTTTTGAAGATATGGATGTGTTAGCATTGCACTGTTCAGTATTTTCCGATGTAATCAAGAAATAATTAGCATCTTAGAAGGTGTGCACTGATACCTGTGCGGTTAAAGTAGGGATGCACCGATTCCTACACTATGCTTTTAAAAATGGCATTCTTTTGCCATAAAGACTTGCGCTATATACGAATTTTTTACATTCGTTTTGACCAGTTTTTCATGCTCTATCTGAATCAGTCGTCAAAATTCATCCACTATAAAATAAACCTTTCGGACTCAGTGTGGAATCGGTCAAAAAGTGAAAATTTAAAGTTTTTTCGACCGATTCCGACCAATTNTGGATGAATTTTGACGACTGATTCAGATAGAGCATGAAAAACTGGTCAAAACGAATGTAAAAAATTCGTATATAGCGCAAGTCTTTATGGCAAAAGAATGCCATTTTTGAAAGCATAGTGTATGAATCGGTGCATCCCTAGGTTAAAGTACTACTGTCTTTAGCACTAAGAATTTAAAAAGAAAATAATTTTGTCTCTGATTAGACAAGTAAACAGCAAATTCTCGATTTTTATTATTTTGACTCGTCTCCAATTAAATGCCTTGAAATAGTGTACATCCATCAGTTTCAACTGTTGGGAGCCTAACCAACCTATAATCATACTTCTATCAAGCAATGAGATTATTATCAGCAACTTAAACATGATTAAAATTTATCTTAAATCTTTTCGTAGCAAACATGAGTGTCAAAACTTGCTATGTCGTATAAACGATTCGCATTGAATGGAATTTGCTGCATTCATTCACATTTCACCATAAATGATATTACGTAAGCATATTATTGTGTGTTTTCAACTAAACAAATGTTGTAATGATTTGATAAGCTGAAAGAAGATTAATTTATGATGATGATGATGATAAACCTGAATGAACAGAGCAATGAAATACGATTCTAGTGCTCATTTTTTGAAGAACACATTCAGAACATTTGCCGATTTTTTTCAATTATCGATAGAATGCTTATCAGTTGAAAAGTTTTAACAATAAAATTATTATTGGTCATCTACAACTACCACTTGGCCAGCAACGAATGCTAGTGTATCAAGATGAGATGGGAGGGCGGGGGCGACTTTCTTGCTTCAAATATTTTTGAAGTATGATGGACTTACAAGATAATACAAAGAATTATAATGGGAGGGCTAGGGAGTTCGTGAAGTAGCGAAGTACAGAAGTCACACTTTTCCCCGTGCTCAAATGTTTCTCTTTTTTATACTAGCGTGTCTTCTAAAATATTGCTTCATATATTAGCATGATTCTATTATTTCAAGTTTATTATTCTTGAAATTTCTTCTATCTCTCCACGACAATAACTGATGGCTGAATTATCTGATAAATTTTGTGAGTGGAGTACTTCGCTTCGAGTTGCAAAATATTTTCACACAAGTGCTTTTTCGCCCTAAAGACAATCACTTCTCTCACCAATCAATAAACTGTTCAATCTTATTTTAATGCTGTATTATAAGAAAAAGTACAAATGACAAGAAACTATAGTTATCATTATTATCTCTCACTTCTCATCTATATATTTAACTGACTTCATGTGTCCACTAGAGACTAGAAATATTGGCTAAAGATTAGAGGGACAGAATTACGATCAATAGAAAAAAATTCTTGCAACCAGTCTTACCTTCGATAAAAAACAAAATTGTAAATGAAGATTGATGCTTACTATTACAGCTGCTTTATATGATTTCTCTCTGTCACTTCAGAAGAATTCCATTATTTGATTGAGAGCGAAACTACTGCGGTAAAAGCCACTACTAAAGAGAAAGCAAGAACGAAAGAACAAGTTAAAAATTTTTATTCGTGCTACTCGCAACGGGAAAAATAGAAATTTAGGTTTCTCTTTACCGCTGACGGCAAGCAATCGATGACCAAAAAGCTTAGTTTATTTTTCTTGATTAGATTTATTTTTCCTTTTGTGGTTATTTAAACACCATTTCTGTAATGTTTATGTGCATACAAATTCCCTTGAACATGTAGAGAAAAAAGCTAGTCATAATAACACGAACAAACATCTCTGTTCGTTTTCGGCTTTCGCTAGAGCGTAGCAGTAATGACAGTTAGCGAATGAGTTTCTTGTTATTAAAGAATTTCTTTCGTTCTGTTTGTCTATTCTCATTGTGGCATGTGAGTGTAGTATGTATGTTTGCAACTGCGTAAAAGCTAAGTAGACAAACAGAGAAGCAATGTAAACAAAAAGATTCATGTTCGATTTGTTTGCCCTTGCAATATGCCGATCTCTATGACGGAATTGAATTTGCGCTTTTGTTATTTGTTTTCTAGTTTTGTCTCATGTTCGGCCCTTTAAGCATATAAGTTATAACACTCTGCATGATTCTGATTCAATGGTGCAAGAAAAAGTTTTCGCAGACAAAATAAATCGTCATAAAAGGGCAGCATTGTATTATGCATTAGTATTGAGTCTTATTTTTTACCATCTATCTAACTTGTATAATGTTGTCTACATAATGTTTCAAGTTAAATTATCATGTTCATCTATCGCTGTATCTTCGTTATAACCGGTTCGTAAGTATATCATACGTGTACACATACGAATCAGATACAAAGACAATCATTGACTATTGCTGGAATTCAGAAGTAATACTGAGAATTGAAAATTCTTCAGATTTTGTTTTTTGTCTTCTGTTCCAGTTAACATTCTATTATTATCATCATCGATGAGGAAAGGTCAGAAGTCTCTAGAAAACCTGTCGACACTCTGAGCTGGAGTACTATTTCTATATTTTATCGATTTCCAATGGCTTCTGGATGCATGGAATCAATTTGCAACTCTTTTTCTGTTACTTACCAATAAAACGCACGGTTGTTCGGCTTTATCATTATAGTTCTGTACTTAAGAAAAATATGATTTCTAGTGCGATGTCATCATTGGCTATCGCCACTGAAACAAGAAAAGTATCTAAATTTCCTACTTTCTATTACATATTGAAGTACTAGGAATGACCGCGACGAAGCATCACTCAACTTGATTGTTTTTATGAGACTTAGTGTTACTGCTATGGCTCAAAATGAACTATTTAGAGAATACAAGTATTAGTTTCTCAAACGGATACTTACTCTTATCGTTTTGCGTTACGTTATTAGACAACACAAATGGTAATTTTTTTATGAATATGATTACTATTCAAATTCATTCATTCATTTGAAAACTATCCTGATATTTGTCGAAGTAGCATTTATTGCTTTTGATCTTTCATTCGGTTGCAAAAGATGTTTCTCTGCAGAAATGTTGTACATTAAATTGGCACAAGAGTCTTAGTTAGCAGCTGATATTTTTGGCATTTTAGAATTTCAATTGACAGCGTGTTGAGATATAGCAACCTTAAAACACATCATATTGATCGAATAAGTAACTGACGCTTAATTTATACGTAAATGAAGTACAGCGATTTGAGAAACTCAATGCGTATTTTCAATGAGCTAAGAGTTTCATTCTTGAATGATTTGTAACTCCAAATTCATTCACTTATCTGAACTTCGAACTTGAATGGCTGATATGCATTTTCCTTGCAATCAATAAGAATCTCAAAATCAACCGATGAATCATTCTAAAAATGTGGCCAGAAAGGACTTGCCTTTGGCAACCTGGAAGTAAAAGATGGTTATGTCACTCTCAGAAATATTTTAGAACGCTAAAATCGAAGAAAAATCTTCTACTATTATTAATAGAAATTGTTAAAGAACAATAAAGAAATTTAAGTTTAGAAACACTTAATTATGCCTCAATACATCTAACTGTTAAGATAACATAAGGACGAACATGGAATGAGTCTAACTGTTTTGAATTTGGCATCGATAATGGTTTCAAAAACATTAAAACAGAAAGATTGGTAATCGACGCCCGGGTCTAATATTAACATAAGAGATTACACAAATCTATGAGAATGAATCGCATTCGTGTCTACCTAAACACAGTCCGGATAACATTAGCAAGCGAAGAAGGAAGCAAAAAGGGGTGTATTAAAAATATGACGTATGTATTTCTAAAAGCCTTTTGATCTGACTGTATCATGAGAAACAGAGAAAATCTTTTGAATACAATCTAGAAAATATGTTCACAAATTTAGAAATACTGTTAAATATGACACATGAGCCATGGCTGAAACTTTTTATGAACGAGTAATATTGGCCTCAACATTATTCATGAACCTTTCTCTTTCGAATTATTGGTTAGATCTGAAATCATGCATCCAGTTGGCATTTGAATTTCTAAAATTCTGAAAGGACGAGGACGTTAACAACCGAAACCGGCCCCCTATCTAAACATGACCTTTTCGTTTTCATTGTGCTAGTTTTGAAGCTACATCGACATGTTAAGCCACATTTAATCATTATATCAAATCTAGACATCATCTGTATTGCTTTTTCTATTGCACTAAAATTCACTGTATTTCCTTTGGGGAGCCAATCATTTTAATGGAATATTTCAGTTATCATAGTTCAGACTTTTCTTAATTTACCCTTCGGATTGTACCCCTTTTTACGCTCTCTCTGATGATATGTCAACATATGAGCAAAGCTACTGAATTCTATTTGATACCGCTGGCATATCGTACAAAAGATCTAGTAAAGCTGTATATCGATGATGATATTTTTTCGCACGAAAGACTTAGGTAACAATGTCGGTCCAGTCTTATTTATATATCATTCGATAGAGAATTTTGAGATCTACAAAATGATGATAAAAAAACATACGAAAAGTGTGCAGAAAGACGGTTTCGCTTTTTTTATTGTGAATTTTGTGTTCGGCGTTTTTTTTGCGGTTGGTTCGATAGAGAATTTGTATTTACCTATATTGTTGTTTGTAGCATAGATGAATAAAGGAAATTATCTTATTATGCAGTATACGTTTTTTTCAATTGAAAGAAATTTGTTGAGAGCATTACTTTATTACAAGATCCATGTTCTATTGGCTGTATAGTGGTTCGCTCTACTAGTTGAGCCATGCATCGTAGCAAGAGAAATTTTCATGGTGCATTTCATTATATAATAATGTGTAGTGATCCAGTCATATATAAACTAATCGAGAATTAAGGCAGACATTTCATCTAAGGTCATTGTCTTAGTGTGTATCACTATTGTGAACGTTTAATACACAAACGGTTATAATGAATAAATGTTGTTATCCGTATGGTGCTCGTCTCGACCGCAGTTTTTGTGTCTGACCACTGAGTCACCATGCCTCAGAATATTTATGTCGATTCGTACTCTTAAATCACTTTCTAACGATCAAAAGGTGTGCAATGTTTGTCGACATTTATATATCAAGTGGAAAAATGAAAATTTAGAATTCTCTTCAATCCTTGATCATTTTGAAAATGATATGGTAATGATCGATGATGATGCGAATAGTGATTCGGTAATTTGTTTTTATATGATTGTGTTTGTGTTGATCTTTGATTTTTAAGTATGAGCTTATGAACGTTCAGGCCAGAGATGGGCGAGTTCAGCCTTTTTTCGAGTCAAGTCTAGTCGAGTTGAGTCAAAATATATTTGTCAATCTTTTATATTCGCTTTATTATTATCAAGAACGTAAAAACAAGTTTCTTATGACGCGATGGTTTTATTAGGTTTTCGTGTACAAAAAAAAACAATCATACATAAAGTAAATGACACGGTTATCATAGAAATATCTAGAAGATAAGAACAGTAAAATTAACTCTTCCCTTCTGTACAATTACATAACACAACAAAACAAAGATTATTTCGCACAAAAAAAGCATAAGTTAAATTTTGTAAGAAACAAATACATATAAATATTTACAATAAAGTCTTATTGCACTTCAAAAATGTTAAAATGCAAATATTGACTTGAGAAAACTTTGAACGATGTGGTCTCATCAAAAGACCATTTTGAGAAAACACTCGTTCAATCGGTGCTGATATAGCAGGAACATACATAATTTTTCTTGCCAGATGATAACGAGATTGATATGAACTTGCATTTTTAAAAATAAGATTATGAGCCATATTATCTTCTTTTAAAAAACCGCCAAGTTTATCTAAAACCGATTGTGGTGTTGCATTGTCAGCTTTTGCTTTTTTAAATGAACCACTTGCTAAAGTTGGAAATAAACTTTTCTTCTTTTGTTTATCTGAAGATGGTATGCTTAAATCGTTGCTTCTAGCTTCTTCAGTTATAATCTCAACATCAGCATTTTCAAATTTATTTTATGAATTAAGTTTTATTGATGCTTCAATAAGACATTGTTTAATAGTTGAAATAATATCGGTTTTAGTTAAATCAGATAATAAGGTACATTCATTGATCCATTGAAACTTAAAACGACCATCTACAACTGCACTCATTAAAAAAAGTGGATCATCATATAAGCATGATGTATTGGCATTTGTATTAATTTTGACTTTACAATTATCGATTTCAATGGAGAAATGTTTATAAAAACCACCAAAACGTGTTTTTAATGAGGAAATTAATGCATCACACATTAAATACACACGTTCAGATTTTTTCCTTTCCAGTTCAAGATTGCTTAATAAATTAAGAAGAATAGGTCCAAACATACTAATAGTAACTGTTTGATCAGCTTGAGTTAAAACTGTTGCTTCATTCAATAAGTATAGTAATGTCATAAATTCATCCAGAACTTTTTTTTTTCTGTAATACACAATTCCTTTTTATCTAATTTAATTAAAATACCATTAAGTGTTTTTAATAGTATATCTGAAACAGCAACAACGGCCAAAAATTGACTATTCCAATGACATTGGGTTGCTCGTGGTATAGTTTATTTTTAATTTTCTAATTCTTAGGCAAAAATAAAATGCTGCTGTGACCAAATTTTGCAATTTTCGCAACTTTTGTTAAGGCAGCAGTTGCATTAGATGCCTGTTTGATACCATCATTGACAACTAGCTGTAATGTGTGGGCGAAACATGGTAAACGTAATAATTCTAAATTTTCACTAACACACTAAATAATTTCTTCATCTAATGGTACCAATTGAAATTTATCATCTGAATTATTATCGGAAATTTCTTCACAATCATCATTCTCATCTTGTGTTAAATCATATTCTTCATTATCATATTCATCATTTTCAAAATAAGATTCAAAACCTGGAAGTAAAATATGATTAAACGCTTTCAAATTGTTGGATGCATGATCGGTAATCAAACGTACTAATTTTTTCTCAATATGATAATAATTAATCACTTTTTCAAATTCAGCCAATAATACATCAGCCGTATGGTGACCTTTTAATGGTGCAAATGATAATAAATATGATTTTATATCATCGCCAACAAATGTGTGCAATGTAATGCCAATATAAGAACGTAAGCGTCTGTCAGTCCATACATCTAAAGTCACTGAAACATATTCAGCATTATTGCATAATGCTTTTAATTTCATAGTCATTCTATCATATAATTTTGGAAGTTTATCACGAGTTATTTGCGGACGACTTGAAGTGAATGCATTGGATCCACCGCAGTCATAAAACTTTTAAAACTATCTTGATCAACCAATGATATTGGCAAACCGCATTCAATTATTAAATTTTTTACTATTGATTCAGTTAACTTAACATGTCGCAAATCAATTGATAAATATTTGCTTGTTTTTTTTTAATCATATCATCAAGTGTTCGCTGTTTCTTATCAGCGTTAACATTCTTTTTAACTAACTATTCTTCATATGCCGTATAAAATTAGATCTGGTGCCATATTTATCAGTAACATCTTGTAAACATATTGAACATTTACCGTGCAACGAATTCTTTTTTTGCTTCTACATTGATAGAAAACGTTTTTAAAACAGATTGCTTCGATTCGTTTATATCATCTTGTGAAACTAAGCAGTTTTGCGTCGTTGATAAACTTCTAGGATCTGACATTGTGAAAACTACACTTGATTTAGAAAGTTTATATCTCTCTTAAGATGCTTTTTTATTCACCAATGCTTTTAATTAAGAAGACATGTACTGTCAATCATCAAAATTTTCGATTAGTGATATTTTCAAATTTCTCTTCCGATGTTTTTATATGATAAACAGTCTCTCTTTCATGATCATAATTTTGTATCCGAAGATCAAGAAAATTAATGTATAGCAAAATCAATTAGTGTATGTTCAGTCAGTTATACAATCAAAGCAGTTGTTGAATAGCGTGCGCATGTCTGTATGTCTGTAAAACAACTAATTTGATTAAGAATCGATAATGGATACACAATGAACAAAGGGATAGCTAATATGTACGATGCAATAGAATTTTTCTACTTATTTTATCGTAATAAAGTATATATACAGTGACAGTTCATACTGAAAATTCTGGTTTTTTAAAAAAGCAGATGAAAGGTTTTTTGAAAAGATGACTCAAGTCATACAGTCGAGTCAACACCTTCTAATTTTCGAGTCCAAGCCAAGTCAGAGCCATTAAAAAAAATGCGACTCGAGTCGACTCGGACTCGCCCATCTCTGACGTGCATACACTTTTCGTCTCTAAGTGTAATTTATGAATTTCACATGAATAATATCAGTGCATTATTATTCACAGGTTTTCAATTACAATTTTATTATGTTGTTGGTTTCGAGTGTAATGTGTAAAATAGAAAAGTAAGACAAAGTAATTACGAAGTTCTTTAGAAATGTGAATAGCAGTGTTTTGCTCGTAATTGTACACCTGCCTTGCGGAAAAAAATTATATTCGCTCACTGATCACATTAATACGGGCTCTCACTCTCTTATTCATAATTTGGAATCATGCTGATGTTAGTGTGTATTTTCCATGTTACAGAGTTAAAAAATAAATCAACATAAAAAATTGGGCTTATTTTTTTCGCTGACAGAGTAAAATAGATTGGCTGGTATTTAATTCTATGAGTTACATGGCAATTAGAAGAACTAACAGAATGTGGCGAAAGAAAACAAAACAAAAAGAATGGTTGTTTCATCGAACTGAAATTCAAGTAACAGCACATAAGAAGGCATGCACTAACGGCGACATTCAAAGAGACTTGTAAAATTATTTACTGTTTCAAATAAATAATTTCAATGGCAGATTGGGACGCTCTTCCAAAGTTGGTGAGTAACTATTTTACGAATTTACTTAACAATCGATTAAAACATATAGGCATCATCACGCCGTATCACTGTTAATTTAAATAATGTCACTTCCGCACCGGCAAGAATCACGTGAGTAAATCGATTCTTTCTGAGAGATGATGACTTTAATAATATGCATATTGTTTCTAATAGAACGGTAACTACTGATTCAAAAATATTCATAGCCGTTGCTGCTACTGGTGTAGTAGTCCTTCTTATGGCTTCAGTTTTAGTACCAATATCCCTTGCGCTTACTTATACAGGACCATTCACAACAACCAGTTGTAATTAATTTTTCAAAAATTTCATGTCCCATATTCTTTCCTTTTACTTTTAGTATCGAGCATAACTACTACAACGGATACAACAACAACTACTACTACTACAACGGATACAACCACAACTACGACTACTGATGCATTATCTGAATGCTCATCTTATACAACAATCAATGATGTGACACGTTTAACGACAGCCGGTTCTGGAAGTGGATGCGATACAGCTGTATTCAATTCAACTACGGCCTGTGTTCGATTTAGTGGTGCTGGTGGGACTCAATTAGCAACATCTGCTCCCGCTTCAAATCAATGTACTACTCAAGCTCCTGGTTGGTATTCAGGTTCATTGCCAGGATCAGGTGTCTCTAATAATGAAACGGTATGCTATGCTTGGAGTTTGAACAATTGTAAGTGGTCAAATACGATTCAAGTAACAAATTGTGGTTCATTTTATGTATGGGGTCTTATTAGTCCGCCGGTTTGCAACCTCCGCTATTGTACTGCATAAGCAAAGGGATTTGATATAGTTTTGATGCATTTTTTTTGTACATTTCTATCGAAATCAAATGTGATTGAAAATAAAACAGTGAGAATTTGAAATTCAGTATAACTTTTCTAACGATATTAAAATGCTATTAGGTTCTCTGCTAGCATTTTGCTTCTCTTTTCTTTTCTTTTCTATTAGAGCTCTGATCAGTCAGATTATAAATCTTGCAAGAAATGTTAGAACAAAACGTGAGAGTTTCTATGGAGAAAGTGAAGCTCCCATGGACTCAGCTAAAATTAAAGAATCCAATAACCTTTATTGTCCATCGATTTCTTCAGGGTGTAGCAGTTTAAAACATACTGAGCACGCCATAACGGTGCGCACGAAACAACAAGTATCTTTGCTTCTTACGAACCATTGTAGCTTTCGATAAAACTCTAGCAGCATAAAATCAATATCTTCACAGCTTCTTCCTCTACAAATATATATAATTTATCTTGAACTTTCTTTCATTCAATGAAAAAAGAGTGAGCATCTCTGTTGAATTAGATGGATCCATATCGGTGAAAATGGAAAATGTCATCTTCAATTGTCATAAATTAGATGAAGATCTGTTGAACCTGATACTGCATCTTTGTTTTTGTTATAGAATAGTTGCATTATGCATGAAAATCGGCATTTAACACGCTAGAGGAATTGTGCAGCACATTATGATAATATATAGTTTTTGTCCTTGAATAGTTTTACTTGCACATCAGGAATCATTGTAGCATAGGTTGGTGCAGGAACGTATTGGCAAATGCATTTTTTTTCGATTTCAGCATTTGTATTTGCGAAGAATATATGTTTAAGTGTACTCAACGATGCTCTCCTGCAATTTTAAAATAATTAAAAATTCATCTGTCAGTGTTTCATAAAACTATGACAGAAAACCTCCCGAAGGTTTTGATTTTTTTTAAATTTATAAACACGTATTTCTCAATGGCATGCACACAATCTGTTAGTTGGGGTTAGATCCGTCCTATAATTCCTATGAAAAATGAAAAACAAAGTGCACTATTGCTAAAAAAAAGCTTTTTTAATCAAAGTTTTGATGTTTTTAAACAAATCGATTCGATACCTAGTGATTCTTTCATATTCCATGTGTTTCATTACGATGAAACTGCGATCGCACTGTGAACCGTAATTGCGAAAAATTGCGACGTAGTTACGCGCAACTACGATGAAAAAATCGCAGTTACGCGTAGTTACGGGGGGGGAAATCACAGTTACGCATAACTGCGCCCAAGTTTTTCGCAATTATAGTTCACAGTGACGTCGCAATTGTTACAAAAGATAACATAGATTAGGGTTTCCTTTTATTTGGATTTTTATTGAGTTTAAAAAATTTTTGCACCAAAAATGAAAAACAACTATAAAATTAAAAGTTTTATAAAAAAATAAAAAAAATTTTTAAATTAAAACTTTTCACGATAAAAATAATTAAAAAATTGAAATCTAAAAAAATCTAAAAATTTACTAAAATAAAAATTTTAAAAAAAATTTTACTTTAAAACTTAAGGAAAATTAAAAATTAATATCTGGAAAAATTAAAAATTAACATCTAGAAAAATTAAAAAATTGAGATCTAAAAAGATTTTAATCTAGAAATTTTTAAAAGAAATAAAAACTATGCATTTCACTGCTTGTAGTAGAATGAGGCCCCAAACAGACCAAAAAGATAAAACAGAATTAACCACTAAATCGTCTCAAAAAGATGACATAAGTGTGAATTAAGCAATCACCTTGCTTAATTCTGTTTTATTTTTTTGGTCTGTTTGGGGCCTGACTTATGAACGAAAATGTGATAAACATTACTATTACTAAGGTTTATTGTTCGAGTGTAGCCAATTACAAATAAGGAGGAATAATTTGTAATTGGTCATTTATACCTACAACAGATCGTTGGATGCGATCACTAGGACGCAGTTACGTTGACCTGAGTCATACTAAGCGTAGTTTCTTATGGAAATCTTCACTACGATCAATGCGCCATAGTTACGCGTAACTGTGGCACAGTTGATAAAAAAGAGGCGACATGGGATACTTCTAATATTTTACAGGGGCATTCTTTTAATTACAATTTCTTTTCACACTATCAAACGGACTACATTTAAAAAAAATGACTCTTTTAATTAAATGATATTCAAACAAAGTAAGATAGTCTTTACAAATACTTGTATGTCTTTTAAAAGCTTTTATTGTTTTCTATTACATGCACGTACGTACATGGTCCTGTTGAAGCGTAACGCTGTGATAGTTAGAAAGTGCGTTCATACATCTTTTGATGCAACCGGTCGTGCTTGACTTATGTTATAAAAAGCACCTATTTATTCAGAACCACTAATAAAATGTAACTTTTTCTGATACTATTTCTCGAAATGAAACACTTGTAGATCTATTTGGGTAGTGCTTTGACTGGGGTTTCAAACGCTAAAATAGTTTTCTCTAAATTTTTTTGCTGTTATAAAAAGTAAAAATAACCAAACGTGACGTTTTTAGTAACGTTGAGACACAGCTTTTTGTTTACCACTTTGAGATAGTTAACATAATCAGAATGATTCCATTTATTTCAGAAAGAAGTATAATGAAATCACGAGAAAAATTTAGTGCTCAAGTTAATTTGATCCAGAAAAAGTTTAAAACATATTTTATTTGAATTTAAACAAGAAATTTCAAACATCCCAATATTTTTCTCGTTTTTTATGCCTTTCTCTGTACTTATAAAATAATGTTTGATCCTATTCAAATTCCTACTTTTTCAAAAACGTGCAATCCGATGCCAGATTGTTTCGTCATCTTTGATACGATTCGTTGTAAACAAATCGAGCATATATACAATGCGCAATTTACTTAATCGTATTACATCCTTTCGATCTGTGATTTATTTTTCTTTCAGACTCTCATTCACATTGACCTTTATTTATCGACATACGTGAATCAAAATCAATTGTTTAGCATTCTCTTATCTATTTACATTCTTAATATTCAGTTATAGAAATGAGAATCAAGAGACAAATCCGACATGTAAATTGTTCGTGTTTGAGTTCCACTCTTCTTCTTTCTTCCAGTTCGATTCTTTTTCAACTTGAATGAAAAGTCTAAAACAAGCATGAGAGTCGATACTGCTCTTCTTCATCTTGTTATATAATAAAAGTAACATGTTAACAGCTTTCATGCATAGCCTTGATCTTTTTATTTCATCTTTTGTATTAGCACGAGCTTTTTCTTTACATCTATTTTCTTTCCAATCTATATCATTTTTTTATTTCGTGTGTTCTGCATTGTGTGGCTTTGATTTTTTTTATATCGTACAGGGTATCTTTTCACGTATTAATGCATAGGTAGAGAGCTAAATAAATAGTTTCATAGATTATTCAATAATCATATAGATATATGAATAGAAAAATGTACAGATTGGTATATAGCTGGTTAACCAGATAAAATTATAAAGTGTGAGATCACGGGCGAGTTCAAGTAAGATATATTGTATAAGTCCTCTAGGTCCATGTCCCAGTCCTGCTTGGAATCAGTAGTTAGCGAGAATAGTTCATTGCAAAATTTGAAGACAATATGAATGTTCTCATTCTAAAATAAAAAAATATACTCAATTTTAATAACAGGCTGCTATTATTGAGCACGCTTTCTGTGCAACATCTTAAAGCCAGGTTTCTAAAATCAAACTGTTTTGATGTGGCTGAATACACTAAATCTTCCCTTCAAAATATAGTAAGTATGTAGTATCACCCAGGTTGATTATTCCGACCGCCGGGTACTGTAGGAACTCGCAGGAAAATACCGGGCGCCACCGGAGCACTGCTTCCGTATTCCAGCTATATTCCGATCTTATACTGGCACGACCTGGACTGAGCTAAAATAAATTAAAAGTTCAATGTATTTTTTAGGATAGGTATGTTTCATTAGACGTTACATGATGAGAATGCTATTCTTACTTCAAATTTATTTAATAGTGTCCATTCTTTCGTTGTTAGCATATGTATGTCAAGAATCTAGAAATTCGGAATAACTGAGCTACAATTTCGACAGTAAATAGGTTAAAATATCATGATGTTCGAACTTAGAAGCAAAAACATTGTGCCTGAAAAATGTGAAGCAAACATTGTTATCTATTATTATTTTCACCTTACATTATCTGCTCCAGCAATGTTTTTATTTCTCTGACATACTCGGTGCTCGACATAGCAAAAACAAGTTTATTTACGAAATGTTATCTTTAAATCGCATTTAGAAATATAAATTAAATAGTTCGCTAGTTAAGTAGTAGAGCGAATGTATCAGAAGACGTTTGCACTAAAAAATTTCGTGTAATTTGATGTCTACCCACGGAAAAAATTTCCCTAAAAAAACGCGGTAAACCGCGGTATAGAAAACCGCGGTTTCAAGCGGTATTTGGAAAACGCGGGAGTCAGAACTTTTAGGCGTCTCTAAAAAAACCGCTGAAAACCGCGTTTTTTTAAAACGCGATACGACGCGTTTTTTTTAAATTGAATAAACGGTCTGACTACCCCAGTTTTTTTAAAGCGCGTCAGTACGAGAATTCCCCAAGACACGATCAGACGCGGTTTTAAAAAAACGCAGAAAACTCGGTGATAATCGCGGTTTCAGAATACCGCATTTTTACAGGTGACCTGATCACTTCGGTATGCTGAGGTGAGTTACCCTTCATGGGGTGTTGTGGTGAACTATAAGTTCCAATACTTCAGAGTCGCGTTGCAGCGACGAAGTTCAAGTTAAATTTTTTAATACGTTACAGATAGTAAAGTGCGCAGGATATCCTTTCTGTTCTTACACATTGTTGCAGTAACATCGTACGAAATGCGCAAAGACAATACTGCCAGTTTATGATACACCGACGCGCTTACAATCGAGTTCAACGCAGTTTACGATACCGCGGTTTTTCTTGAAAAATATTTTCAGTGTGGAAAAGACTTTATATCACATTTATGAAGATATACTACGAACCTAATCAAAGGTCGCCGAGGTACTCAAAAGTTCAAGCACAGAATGTGTTGAATATCATAAGCAGAATCTTCTCAGCACGTTTCATGAAGACGCGACTTACACTACCGCGTTGATACACATAATCACCGCGTTTTGTAAAACCGCGACCAACCGCGACTTATTCTACCGCGTTGACACATATGATCACCGCGCTTTCATGAAACCGCGACTAACCGCGGTTCATAATGCCGCGGTGCCAAGGAGGCGCACCGCGTTCTCTTTGAAACGCGGTGTAAAAAACCGCGTTTTTTCTAGGACACCGCGGTGCATCATGGGAGAACCGCGATGACAATAAAATCCCGCGGTTGACCGCGGTTTTTTCGAAATTTTTTTTCCGTGGGTATAAGTAAGTTGGATCGAGTGTTTATTTTTTAATTTGAGAAAAGAGCATAATTGGACGAACCCTAAAAAAATATACTTTGTTACGTGCATTTTTAGATTAGATGGAAAGAGACTTTTTTTAAAAAGATGTGTGCTTGTAAAAAAATTCCATGAAAAACCTATCAAATTTACCTACGGTTTTGAATTCGATCGAACATTCAATAGTAAATTTTCAATTTAAACTACCCAGGATGTTTATTTTTTTGATAGATACTGTATTTTTACCGATCACTTAGTTAGTTTGAAGAAAAACTAGCTTTATTTCAGAGAGTCCGTAGGAATAAATCCCGTTGAGTGAACCACTATAGTCATCATCATATTTATAGAAGAGTGTCTTGCCTAGCCATCTTTAGAAACTCAATATAATTTTCAACAGCATCATTGAACATTTCATTAGGCAAAAAATAGTAATATTCACAAGTTTTAATGCTTTAAGTGGATATAGCTTTTGGAGCATTTGGCAGATAAATAATTGATATCGATTTCGAAATTAAGTGAGATAGCTGGTATTTCTTGAATCAGTATGCAGAAAGAGGTGAAGAGTTCAGATGTTTTCCATGGCTTGCAATCAAAGCAATATGTTTTTTTTATCATCTCCTTTAATACATCGGAAGCGTAGAAAGATTATTTTTATTTAACAATCAATTCATAAATTTCAAAAAGTAAAACATCAAATAAATCGATGTTATTCTAGTGGCAACAACTGTTTTATTTGTAAAATTGTTCAAAAAATAAAACTTCTGATTGATTTCCAGATAAATATGCCATTAAAACCAACTGGATTTTCTCAAGTATGGAAACTATTTTCAGCGAAGGAAAAACGAAATATACTTGTGTACATCATTGGTATTATGCTGTACAAATTCGGCTTGGAAGCTTTCAATGGAGCGGTCGTTACACTAGCGACAAATCGATATGATCAAGATGCTTATGAAGCACAAACGCCATCGCGAACGTTTGAACGAGTTGGTTTACTCTCAGGTCTTAATCAAGCATTTCAATGTATCGGCTCTATTTTGATAGCACCACTAATTAAACGTTGGCCAATACGTACCGTTCTCTCTATATCAATCGTCGTTTTTGCTATTTTTACAGCAAGTTTAATGATTGTCGATGCTGCGACTGGCGGATACATAAAACCAGCAAATTTTACACCAAAACATGCGAATGATTTCAGTTACTATGGCCATTACAATACAGATTTGATCATTCCAATTTATTGTTTTACTGGCATCGTTTATGGAATGGTTGAATTGATTCGACGAATCATTCCACGAGATATTGTTGGTGGTGATGTAGAAAAATTACAACGGATGGATTCAGTAGTTCATATTTTCTATGAACTATCTGGTACTGCTGGAGCTTTCGCAACTGCTCTTGGTCTGATACCTCGACTAGGAAACAATTATGCCTTTATCATAACACCCATTTGTTTTACGGCGTCTGGGATCATTTGGTTTTTCCTAAGTTCTCTGAAGACTTCTCATCCTTCTGAAAAAGAAGATTTAAATAACGATAAATCAGGTTATGTTAAATCCATCTTGGATAAATTTCTTCTGTTCGGAAAATCAGTTTATATTGGAGGAAAAATTATTTTTACAAAACGGCGATTCATCTGGCTTTGGAGTGGTTACTCCGTAGCACTCTACTCGCATCGTTATCTTGAAAATGGCATAGCTCCACAAGTAGCAAAACGATATATGGAAAATTCTGCGTGGTCACAAATCATTGTAGGTGGTTCGAATTTTGGTGAACTGATCGGAGCTTTTACCGTTTTTATTTTCGCCAATACCGTCCGTACGCCAATGCCTTGGCTTCGCTTAGATGCAATATTGTTAATGATCGTTTGGTATATTCCTTTTTTCTATCCTAAAATAAATGAAGTCAAATACGCCTGGATGATGGCTGCCACATTCATTCCAATCTCATTCGGATGGGCTGCTGGCGATGTTTCTCTTGGTGCCTATATTCAATCATCATTGACGAATGTGGAATCCAATGACAATCATATTTCCCCACTTGGTGCTGTCATGGCATTTCTCTATTCGTCCTACATCATCCTATATGCTGTTGCTAATCCATTGCTTGGAATCTACATCGACAATGTTTATAATGCTCAGAAAACGATTAGGCCTGCTCTGATCTATACAGGTGGTGTTCAGTTTACTATTGTATCAATTATGGTTTTTGCCTCGACATTTATTCCAAGAGGTTCAATCGCATTCAATCCAAAAATGCTTAGTAAACAGCCATCTGATAAAGAGCATATAGCAGACGAAAAAATGGATGATATCAATTCAGTAGAAAAGTCTTCACACGAACATCTACCTGGGCACGACATTTATGACCTTGATACTTACTTCTGAGAGAACATTTATTATACAAACTTACTTTGATATCAAATCATTCTATTTTCGATTCCTAAAACTTTTAGAGAAATGTTTAAAAGTGTTGTGAATTTTGAGATGTATTCTAGTTGTGTACATTTTCTAACTAAATTAGATATAATATATTTTGCTCATTGGTCAATCAAAAGTGATAAAAAGAGCAGCTTTTAAATTGGTCACAAACGACAATGACTTCTCAATGAAAAAAGTATTCCTCATTTGGATTGGGAAAAAACATTAGTCTTCAATAAATAACTTTCTAATTCATTATCCCAGTTGTAACAGGTGCCGAAAAAACCAAGCTTGTTAAGATAAAGGAAAACAGGTCCCATAACACTAGAATATATATTTACATATTTTTATGTATATTCGAATCAGTAAGAATCTTTTTTTAAAATATTATAATGCGCAAAAATAAAAGTGTATTGTATTCAATATGATAAATTTCAGCTCAAGACTGATCGACTTCTGTGATAGTTGGAACGGTAGGAGCAACTTTGCGCTTCACTGTTGTTGACCGCAAGATGTCCATAAAAGTTGCTCGACGAGAATCATACTTGGGTGCAAATGCTATACGATTTATTTTATCCATTCGAAACATGTTTCTACGCTCCTTCCATGGTACCAGATACATCCAAGCGAGAGTTCCAAATTGGTAGACGAAAAATAGAATAGTGTATACTACTAATGCCCAACGATCGATAATAATTATGCTGTGCACATTAACTGTTGTCGCCGAATTAGTTGTGTTTGTCGAAATGTAGTAGTAAACATAGCCGATAACACCGTTGTCTATGTGAGAAAATTAATATGAACTTCTATATGCAAAAATAAAGCAAAGAGTAAAGTTCAACTAACAGATATTTAGAAGACAAAGTGAAAAAATACTGCCGATCGCATATACGTCAACTGCAGTGAGATAGGAGATAGTTCTAAACGAATAACATAAGTAAGTAAGTAGACAATGAGTGAGTCAAGAAAACGAAATCAATCCTTACGGTAATGCCTTGTCACAAAGCCAACGAAATGTGATCGACGTAAGTAAAAGTGTACAGGATATTTGTACACGTCCACTAATGCTATAATGAGTAATAAATTGCTTTTTATTACTGATGAGAACAATGAAAGCATTAACTATATGCTTACTTCGTTAATGGAATAGGAAATGTTGTGAAACTTGCTGATGTAATTAGAAAAATGAGAAAGTAAGCATTCCATATGTAGTATCCGTATTTTCTATAACGAAAATACATTCTGTTTGTTACAATGTGTTATTTCAAATATTTTTACCGTGCTGCATGACAAGAGCAGATCACTACTGAATGATTGTGTCCATCGTCAAGATATTCTTCGATTTCTTCCTTCGTTTCAATATCTACATGTTCGAAAAGATACCATTCTTGTTCGTCGGTGAAAACTCGGCAGTTTGCTCCCGATGGTTTACGAAGATTTTTGACAAAAAACATTTCTTTGCCTGATCGTGATGTTGTAACTGAGAGTGATAGATCTTGAAGATCAAATGGAAAATATTGTAATTCCATTCTTTCCCACAATGTGCCTTTCAATTTATGATGCTCAGTCACAGTGGCGAGACCCTGGCGATCATAAAAAACACTGTACGCTATATTATCATTGAGCTCACCGATGCCATTTAACAACTCAAGCTGTGGTGTCCAATTGATTCCTGCATTGAACGGTTCTTTTGGTGTACCTTTAAGTCTGGGTTCTTCCCAAGAAGCCTCGAAAAGTATTTCAGCATAGTAGCGTTCATTTAATGTATCGATGTCACCCACTCGCATAAATACACATCGAACGTGTACCTATAAAAATTCAGCAAAGGCTATCAATTTAATAATTGAATCTTTTATTTAGCAATAACTCGAAATTTACTTCTATAGGACTTTTATCAAGTTGTTTGAAAACTAAATTTTTTAGTGGTGTACTGTTTGAATCATTATATTTCTCTTCGACTACACCGTTCACATCTACACTTGTTGCCTTTGTATTTGCTATGCCAGTCGACCAGTTAAACGTTGAATTCTTTGAATCATGTTCCGTAGTATTTGATTGATTACTGCCAGCAGGAGCATCATTCTCTTTTGCATTAACTCGTCGATTCGTTGCCATTTGGAGTAATTGTCGACCACCTTTCTGAACTGATCTAGCTGATGTTGGTCGTTCGGTCATTCCAACTGTGTAAGTAGAAATAAAAAGGCTTCAAAATTTTGTCTAATTTAAATATTCTATGTAAGGTTTCAGTATCTTCAACCAATGAATACAATTCAAAAGTAGAAATGATTTAGCTTCGTAATGATCACTGTAGTTCTACTGTTTCAACTTGCAAAAATACACTAAATATATAGTTTAGTATAGATCTTTTTCTTTACTTATAGAAGTTTGTCTTCTGTATTAACACCAAGTGGCAAAGATGAATCGATGATTAGAGTCTCAGGTTATACGTGACTCTGTATGTCGGTATTGTTGAGAAGTATTTGAGAAATATGATGTACTATCAAAACTAGAAAAGTCTTAAATTATTTCATCGACAAATGGCGTCTAGTAATTTTCTTGCTCTGCCAGAACACACTCAACTCGATTAATTTTCTATGGAAGTATGCATGAGACAAAGCAATTTTTTTTCTTTTCAAAATTTTGCACTGCTGATGCTTCAAACAAACAGAGTGATATATATATATATATATATATACGTATAAAGATCTTATCATCTAGGTAACACTATTAAATGCATGTTTTTCTTATGCAAGATTCTTGTTACGAAATTATTGAAATTATAATCACTCATAAGTACAGTATAAATGAAATCAATGATGTTATAAAGTGGTCGGGCCAATAGGAAAAGATGAACTTTTCTAAACTACATAACTTCGGTAATTTCACCTTTTTTTGATGAAATCAGATGGTCCGATTTTTTATCAATGAATCACTATCATATATTTAAAGCGAAGATTTTTCAACATTCTCCTATACCTTCAAACAATATGAATTGAACATATAATGAATTGCACTGAATTGAAACTCAAAACATGTCATGCTAATTCTAACTCATATTCAATTAGGTACAGATGAATACTAGTAAATAGATAGTCTGAAACGAAACCCGACAGTACTTTCATATATCCCTGATACGACTGCCTATTCAACCAAGTAAAGGAGAAAATTTACCGAGCATAGGTGATTGCACTTGCAGAATATGACGTGCTTTCAGCTGTTGCTACGTCTTACCTGTAGCTATTCTCACTAGCAAATAAAAGTTACCTTTGTTTTTCTTAAATGTTGAATTTTACCGCTTCATAGACATGTAAAATAAATGTTGAACCATTTTTTTCTTTGCCGTAGTGCAGCTGGTGATGATAAATTACTTATGAGACTTTTGTAGTGAGCTCCATCAATAGTGCAACAAAAACATCTTTCTTTCTGTTCCTTTCCTAATTTTGTCTGTAATTATCAGTATTTCCATATATTTTAAACAGTGTTTTTCACTTCCTCAAAAGTAAGAAAAAAGAAAAGAAGGCTATAGTCGTAACCATACACTCTAAAAAAAAGACGTACTTTACGGAACCTCGGGAAAAGGTTCGGCAGACGACAAAAAGCTTGCAAATGTGTTCAAAGTTTCAAAAAAAGAATAAAAGAATCCACGGAACCTTTAAAGGATCTTACCGTGTACCTAAGTGAAGATTCTTTTTTCTTCGAAACCTTTTCAAGTTCCGTACACCAAAAAATAGGTTTTGTAGGAAAATACGAAACCTTTAGAGTTTCGTATTAAATATAATAGTTTTTCAGGAAGCCCAGTACAAAACCACGAGGTTTGATACGAAACATTAAAGATTCCATGGATTTTTTTATTTTTATTTTTTTTTGAAACTTTGAACACATTTGCAAGCTTTTTGTCGTCTACCGAACCTTTTTTCGAGGTTCCATAAAGTACCTATTTTTTTACAGTGTAGAATCACTACAATTTCAAACACTTATCTTGATTACATTCTAGACATCATGTTTTATTTCAAACATGACTGCTTACCAAGAAACTGTTCTAACTAATGATGCCAGTGCTCGTAGTTGCTAAAGCACCAGAAGTTAGATCGATACTTTAATGGTTAGGATAGAGGATCCATCGTCTGTTATGTCAGGAGATATCTATCCTGCCATAAGTATGTTATCTCTGCTTCACTCGGTTTCATTCTATTACGTTTACAATCATTTCATTCTTCTTCTCGTATCTATTCTATTTAAATGAGTGTTAATGCTTACAGAAGGGGAATTGTTTCTGGTGAAAATATAATAATAAGAAGAAGGCGAAACAAAGAAGAAGATTGTAACATCGTCGAATAAAATTTTCTTATTCATTTCGTATTCGAACGATGTGTATCAGTGTTGGTTAGATACAATAGTGTCATAAAACTTGATGCACAATTGAAAATTTATAGAGGAAAAAAGTAATGCGTATTCATCGGATGTAAAATTGTCAGTTTCTCTAGGAGTAGTAGCGCCTTTCCAGTTAGTAGTCATTACTAATGTTGCAAATTAATTTAATACGAATGGAAAATAGCGTGAAGTTTTTTTTTAAAATGACAGAAGAGAAGAAATATTTTCATCTGAATACAGCAAAACATCAATGTTGGGTTGAATCCTGTGTTATCTGGCATAGAAATCGCCGATATTGTGCATACGAGTTTAAGAAATTTTAACAAACGGAGAAAAACTACGAGTCACAATAAGATTTTTACATATCATACGCTGCTATTGCAAAAGAATCAATCTTGAGAAAAGCAGGTTTATTCAATAGGAAATTATGTTAAATTGAAGTTGGTCGATTGCCTGATACTTATCATCAGTATTTGCCATGTTTCTTATGAAATCAAATAACAACACATGAATCGACATTATTCTTTATTATTAAATCAAACAACAGTTTTCGAATTTCTTTTAACACTGGTGAACAGTGCGAATGTGAAACAGTATTAATGGTAAGGTTTCATGCAACAAACTTGAATTGATATGATGAAGTCAGAAATCATTAAAGACGTACTACATCGATGATACTTCGGTGTCCAAGCAGATTTCAAACGCAATGGCATACATTAAAATGAAAAAAGTGTCGTGCTACATCATCCGGTTACAAAAAGTGAAACTATATTAAGATTTCGAAGTATGCACAAAATTATTTTTTCAGTCTAGTCGCTCTCGAGTATCAATACAGAATGATGTTCGATGTAGACACGCACAACAGTGAATATTTTTTTTCATTAAAAAAATATGAGTAGAGTTCAAAAAATATTATTTAAAAGCTCAAGAGTAAAAGAAAGAAAAATTGGCCCCGACGTGAAAAAAACATTTGTTAGTACTCATCAAATAGAAACAGTAGAATGTATACGATGGAATATTTGATGATTCAAGTCAAAATGAACCTTTACCCGGCTTTGCAATGATGAACTCATAAAAGCAGCATTTTATCGATATTTATTATGATTATTGATATTATCTACATTTCTAATACAACTCTTCTATTATTCATTAGATTCGGACACCTTTTAAACTAAAGCATGCCACTTGAAATTTAAAATTATTTTTTCATTACTTCAAGAAAAAGATAAGAACTAACGATATACAAAACACTTATAAAAATTAAATATGAAAACGGTGATGACTCGGCAAAATTCACGTCGTGATTTACCCGGAACTCTTTTATTACGCACAGTTTGCACAGTGATTGATATTGAGAAGGTTAAGTATTTGGGTGTGGGTGTGTGTCCAATGTTTAACAACACCAGTGGCATAGTTTTGCATCAAGAAAGCCTCTCCAGTAGCTCTCAAGTGTGGGTACCAGCATGTTAGGAAGTAGCTGAACGTATTAACAGGATGGTACTAGAGTTCACATAGACCATTTGAGTCAAAAATGATGTGCTGATCACTTTCCTATATTCATCCCCAAGGATCGTTGACCACCCAATTCACCAGACTTATATTCATTAGATTATATTTTATGGAACGAACTGGCTCAATGCATGAGTTTAGACTGAATAACAACAAAAACAATGTTAGCCAACGACATAACACGTTCTGTCAAAAATATTGACAAACAAAAATGTTAACTTCTGCCCTCAATTTTACTGCTAGGGTTACGTCAGATTTTTAAAAAAGCATAGAGAAAACTGTATTCATTAAATAAATATACCATTTTCTGCAGAATTTAAAGCACTTTTTTCGATAACAAAAAAAAGTTTAATTAATTTGAGTGAAAAAGGGAAAAGAAATGCTAGAAATATTAATGACATCATTTATTCTACTTGCACATTATGTGCGTTTTACTTCAATTCTGCGTTCGAACTAGATGTCAGCAATCGATGTTTTAGCAGCAGCTGAAATGCAAAGGATTGGTAACAAATATGCAACCTATAATCTTTGAATACATATATGAAAATTTAAGTGCCGAAAGCATAAACAATTTTTGTTTTGGGGTATCCTCAACAGCAATATGACTATATAATTACACAAACCCACACTCACACCCACATGGTGTAGATAAAATAAAGCTACACAAATAGAAGAGAGAGAAAATAAATATTATGCACATTCGAAAAGCTAACACCTGAAAACATATTTGCATTCCTTTACAACGTAACCATACATGACAGCAATTTTTACCTGCATTGTTAGAAGAATCGTTTCGTGCTTTTATTTGCAAGAAGAAAAAATAAACGCCGGACTACTGCTGCATTGTACGATTTTTGATTTTAATAAAAAATTGAAATATTTTTTATCGATTCCTGAAAACTATTTTGAGGTTTATTCTAGCGTAGACAATCTATCACAGTATACGAAACATCGAATCGGAAATTGAAAAAATGGCTTAGTGTGTGTATGTCAAAATAGCTTTTATAATTACAAAAAGAAGTCAATTTTTATATCAGAACCAAAGCTAATAAATTGTAGTCATGTTTGAGAAAGATTTTTTCAAGGGGTAACAGATCAAATTACTTTTCCATCGTTCAGAAGACAAATATTATAGCTGAATATTAGCCTTTAAGAATGTACAAATATACGTTTTGATAATAGAATATTGAAAATTCAGTCAGTAGACAGTTTTTGGTGTGAATACTTTAAACACGTTGTCAATGAAATGGTGTAGGTGAATGTCAATATGTAAGAGCGTATAATGTTGTTTATGTTCGAGGCAATGCTTTTTCTCTCACCATTTGTTTTGCCTTGCGCTCGTATTCATCTCGCTTTTCCGAATATTCTTTATGTATTTCTGCAATGAGAAAAAGGAAGGGGTCCATGAAACAACTGCGAATGCAAAATAAATCAAATCTACCCGGATTCATTGCATAGTCGATTTTGGGGTGGTCAATAATATCCACGATGGCTTTAACAACATCCGCCAAAATTGTACTCGGCTTCCAGTTGTTAGTCGCTTGCAGAATAGGTATACATACCAATCCTTTAAATACAAGCATGAAAGTCGTCGTAGTATTGTTTAAAAGTCGAACTTTCTTTGAAAGATGATATCACAAATCTTTCCTAAAAACTTAGTTACTTACCATCTTTATCAACATTCAAGTGGTAGATTGGCGTAGTGAAGTGCACCTCTGGCGGCTTGAATGGGTAGTCACTGGAGAATTTCATTTCAAGCCGGTAAGCACCTTCTTTGTAGATATCAGCAGTCGGCAATATCCGTCCGGCGATGAAATCGTATCCACAGCTAGCAGTGGCTTCTTCATCATCTTCCTCTTTGAAAGGAGATTCATCAACAATGAAGATGCCCGGTGATTGGCCATTTGGACCCAACAATCGCAATCTAGTCAACTCTTTCCACGCTTGTGTAGCCGTAATTGGCATCGAAAGTGTTGAAATAAAATAATCTAAAACATGTAAAAAGTCAAAGTGAAATTCACTAGACTGTGTAATTGTTTTTTCGACTTGAAATATGTGGAATTATTCGCTGGTATTTCAAATTCTTTTTTTATGTTTTATAGGCATGTCTTTTTTTACTAGACTGCCAGCGCTTGCAAAAAAACCTGGGACTCAAATACATAGAGAAAGAGACAATAGGAATTTTCGCTTAGTCTCGCCGGCACTCAAAAACAAACATACCCATATACCAGAATCCATAATGCCAATAAACCACAATATAATCGTTAAATTTTATGTCGTATAGATGAGAAGCATTCAAACAATTTGAGGTATATTCAGATTTCCAAAAAAGGAAATTACAGAAATTTCCGAGAACGTAAACTCACAGAAGAGTATTTTAAAAAAGATTGTGGATTAAATAAATTTCGGAAATTTCCGAAATTACCAAATTTTTTGAAGTAACGGATCCTTCAGATGAATTACTTTAAAAAGTTTCCGAAATTTCCTTTTGTGGAAGTCTGAACACTGCTGAATAATTTATAAGGTTCTACCACTGTTAAGAACCCTTTGAGGTAACGGCATCTACATTAAGACCCTAGATTGACTTTCAACAGTAGCTATCAAGCGTCAGGTGTTTGTTTAATAATAAAAGTATGTAGTTACCTTTTTTTCTGAAGGAACGCAGAATTCTATCAAGCAGGAGAAAATACTTTTCTTTTGCTCTATTTTATAATTATAAATAAATAAGCTGGTTTTTTCCAACTGGATGTTACCGCTGGCATTTATCGTGCAATTGCAAGATCATTTCGTGACTGAATCCTCTAGCAAATTATTTTCTTGCTGAAAAAAAGTTGCTTCATAATCTAGGGCGTTCACAGTTCTATGCTAATATATAAATATCGTCCACAGAAGCATACTGGAAATAAGATAAATCACTTTTTTTCTCATTCATACGAAGCGCGTACGTCATGCTTACATTGTAGTTAATATGTCGCTGACACACTCACCTGTTTACGAAAAAGAATGAAGTTTAAACGCGTTTGCAATTACTCATATATTGCACAATGTTTTTGGCCAATCGTAAGAAAATGGTGTGTAGCACTGTTGGTTGATAAGACAACATAAAATTACTATATACTCCTTCCAAACCATGTTCGTGGCGACACATTCTATTGCTTGTTATTGCATGTTTTTCGAAAGAGAATACTTGAATGATCTGAATTAAAATAGAATAAGAAAGAAACGTAAATACCAATTAAATGCGTTAAACCAAAAGTCTATCTGAAAAGTTTCTCTTGTCGAAATGATGAAGTGAATTTTTGACGTTCAAACGTTGACTTTTTTCTGTTGATCTTTAGACAAAAAGTAAAACCTTTTAGTTCAGATAAAAATAAATACTTAGCAAAAGATCTGTGCAGACAGATTTTTATGGATATAAAATTTCAGTAGATTATTTTCTTGAAACGTATCTAAATTATTAATTAATTGAGCAAGTACTATTATAATTTATGATTAGCAGAGCCTTTAAGCAATATTTTCAAAAACATCATCAAATGTCGTATCGGTTTTCTTTTTCACAGTTGATTTCATGCAAACTTGTGAGGAGGATGAGGTGCTAAAACTATTGGCAGAACGTGGGTCGTTTTATTTTTCGGGCTAAACTGAACGATAAACGTTAAACTAACGGGATGTCTGACTGATTTTGGTAATAGAATGCATTTTTCTGCTAGAAAGTATTAGGAAATTTTGAAGAACATCCGATCTGTAAGGTTTTGAATTTTTGGGAGAGACGAGTCCCTCTTATCCATTTGTAAAGTTGTATTAGAGTGAGATATTGATGATGGGTATATGTACGAAGAGCAAAAGATCATATATTTAAGAGTGAATCAATTGCTAGATAAGAAGACTTCGTCACATTCCGATTGGAACGAAAAGATTAAAACGAAAACTTCAATTGTTTTTGTTTTATTAAGCAAAACTGCGATTTATAGAAATCGTTTCGAATTCAATTTCTATTGTTAATGAAATTCACTTTCCTTATCTAACTAAATCTAACGGAATATTTACTTATTTTTCTAGACTTTATTTTTTCATCAAAATTTTACTAATTAAAAAGTTTGTTGCTTGAATTTAGGTAAAAAGTATACTGAAATCCAACATATCTGTAGTGTAATCGTTATGAATTAAATTTAAAAAATCTTTTGTGAAATAATTAAGTTCTGTCTGGTTATAATTAACTAAAGGCGCAAGAAGAAATGATCAATCGTTTTTAAATAAAAAATATATTTTGTTTCTCTGAATGTGATAATTCTTTTTTGATTTTTCATGAATATAATGTAAGTAAATGAATTTAGCATTAATATGAGCTTATAAAAGTAGTGAAAATTACATCAACTTTCTCGCTCTCGTATAAAAATAAGTAATTAGTTGTACTGATGTAATCAAGAAAACTATCAATTCAGGATATAAAATGACAGGATTTGCTCAATAAAATCTAATTAAAATTATGAAAAGAATGATTTCACTGTTACGAAAGAAATTCAGACGATGTGTCGCATCAGTTAGCCATGAAATTGACAGTATTAAATGTGTTATTTTGTATGAATATGAATATACATTATGAGTAAATGATGTTTCCTTCCCATTGACACAAAACATAAAGAAAAAATAATATGCAGATTTGATTTCTTCTTTCGTTTTACTAATCTACATATGGCATTACACAAATGCTGATAATTTTGTTCTTGATCGTCTCCGTAATAAGAATAAAGGGTTGGTTGATTCATTCTTTTATTCTACAATTAGAGCAATTATTTTATAGGTCAAACTACTCAAGTACCAACATATTCTTGTCGTGAGACTAACCATGAAGCAGTATTTACATTATCTCAATCGTTTCACTCTGGATGGAATTTAAGATCACTATGCTCATTACCAATATGCGGTGCAGTCTCGAATAGTAACGATTGTCGTTCATCATCGACACCTTGCTTTAGTTATCGTACAGTCACGAATGAAACTTTCTGTGCACCGGCTATTCTATGTTCTCTTTTGGAACCATGTGACAATAATGCATACACCTGTTCATCATATAGTTCTGTGTGTATCATCACATCTTGTTGTATACAGCAAGCAGTATGTTTACCATTATCATTGACTGATTTCTGCATATTAGGTAATAAAAGTAAATTCTAACATCTATGAGTTCATACATAATCGAAACTTTTTCAGTAATCTATTAAAGAAAGAAACAAAGTCAACGAAAACCTGAGAAATTTAGAAATGAGCTCTTCTCTCATCATAATCACATAGAAAAAAATTTCTTACATAATTTTAGAGAAAATTATTTCTTTTTAGGATGGTCGAATACAGGAAACATGACTAATATACGATATGGACATACATCATCGGTATTAAAAAATGGAAAAGTATTGGTTACCGGTGGATATGGCATAAATACTAGTTTGAATAGTACAGAATTGTATGATCCATCGAATGGAATATGGAAAACAAGTAGTAGTATGAGAAATGCACGAGTTTGGCACACAGAATCGGTGTTAGAAGATGGAACAGTATTAATCACTGGTGGAATAAATTATAACAATTCTTATTTAAATACTGCTGAACTGTATGATCCAATCGGAGGAACATGGGCGATGACTGCCAATATGAATAATAGAAGATGTCTACATACAGCGTCAATATTATTTGATGGAAATGTTTTGGTGTGTGGAGGAATTAATATTTATTCAAATCGGGCTGAGATATATGATCCATTACTAAGAATCTGGACAGTTACTAGTAATATGAGCGATGCACGAGAATATCATACAGCATCTGTTCTATTAGATGGAAAAGTACTAGTGGCTGGAGGACGAGGTGTTTATTCATCCACGCCTCAGATATATCAATATTATTCACCAGTAGCACGTCTGATAGGAGTTGATACGCCAAATAATCAGCCGGCACCGAATTTATTGAATAGTGACGGAACAGTTAGTAGTTTATACAGTAATGGTATAGGTCAGAACAGTAGTGAACTATACGATCCATCAACAGGAATATGGACGTTGACTGGTAGTATGAATACGGGTCGATATGCACACTCAGCATCCGTGTTAGCAAGTGGAAAAGTATTAATTGCTGGAGGAATTTATAATGATACTCTTTTGAATAGCGCTGAACTTTATGATCCATCTACCAGAATATGGACACCAACCGGTCGTATGTATTATGAACGATATGATCATAAGGCATCTGTATTACAAAATGGAAAAGTCTTAGTTACTGGTGGAGGTTTCGGCAAGAATCTTTACACTGCTGAATTGTATGATCCACGCACTGAAAAATGGACACCAACTGGTAATATGAATAGTGCACGAATTTGGCATTCAGCATCTGTATTAAACAATGGCAGAGTGTTGGTTGCAGGAAGCTCTAATGATAATATAATTCATAATACTGCGGAATTATATTAATTATAAAAACTTGGTGAACATTAGATTACGTTTTTTTAAATTAATTCCCACATTCCCGTTTTTTTTCAAAAACAATCAAGTTTTATGGGTTGAAATCTTCAATAAATTATTTCTTTTCTCTTCGTCTATTGCAAACTTATAGCAATCCATGCTGCTAGTGGACTATTTTTTGGCATAAAAAGCCTTCGACTAGTACTTATTTTGCCTTTCGAAAGATTCAATAGAAACTATTTGAAACGAAACAGGGAATTTTCTGACTTATCATAGTTTTATCAAACACAAATGCATTTAAAGAATTTCAATAACAATGTTCAAATCATCTCATCCTCAAGGTTTCAGCTTGAAACTTAGATGAGAAATCTTTCACATGAAAAGCAAATTTTTCTTATAATCAATCTGTAATTATCAAATATGTGCAGATCTACATTGTCAGTTGCTTTTTTATTGACACATGATTTGTTATTACTATCGCCTACATGTAGAAGTAGACGAGAACAAACAAAGCTACTGTATTACGTCGATATAATCTTTTTCAATCAATAAAAGAAAACAGTATTGCTACATATGTTCTTTCCTCGTCATGGAAGACTTTATTCTTATAAGTATTTGTAGAAGTTCACTTGATTTAGCATTACAAATATTATCTATGTAATGATCCGTAACAATAGATAATTTCATTGATTGATAAGGCAAAAACAAACAAAAGAATATATCGCTAATTCTATTATTTTTATTCTTAAAATTGAAATTCACTCCTGGATTAGTTATTATTCTATTGATAGAAGACAAAAAATAATATAGGAAATAAATGAAGGTAATCTTCGTAGAATATTCAATGAATTGCAAACGTGTGTTTCTTTAGCTAGGTGGTGGTGTAATACCAGGCATTGGAGGATAGTTGGGTTTATTCCTGAAAACAAAAATAACCATATATCTATTTTCTATTGCAACAACAAAAATCATCAAACATACGAAAGTGACTGTGTATTTCCAAATCGTTCGCCTGTATCCATTCCAAGTGCACCAGCTCCAATGCCGAAACCAACGCCGCGAATACCAAATTTACGAGTATAACATTGCTTACAATATAAGTCACCATCATGTTCTGACACTGTTGTTACTTCCAATGATTTTTTACAAAGAGCTAAAAATTTCCAAATAGTATATAAATATATATTTAATTTCGAGTTTTTAGTACCACATCGAAAACAAGCTTTATGCCACATTTTTCCAGCAGCCGGAAGTGATTCAGCATGAAAAGCTGCATGACCACAACGAGGACATAGTTGAGGTTCTTGGTTTTTATATGACATTCTAAGATAACAAGTGAACGCAATGTATAAATACAATCCTGCTAGTCAGGCACATCTCTCTTACTTTATTTGAGGTTTGTTATAAGAATCAAATAAAACACAATTAGCGAATGAAGACGAACTCTAATACAATTATTGCGAATATATATATAGATAGATAGATATGAGACGTCTTCTTTTTTTCTCCCTACTATTTACGTTTAATCTCGATGAAAAAATAAGTCATTAGGACTGCATAACATCTAGATAAACACAATAGAAAAGAAGGCCATCCTTCATTTTTCTTTTATTATAAAACTAATAGTGTGATATGCTGAGGAAATAATATGAATACGAAGAACAAACTAGAAATCTGTCAGTATACATTTTTTGTTCGAATACATGTAGACAAACAAAGCGAATCATGTCAATCATTTTTGATATGATATTATGTTAAGACTGTTGTATTTATACAAGCAACGCAATTTTCTTTATATAAATTATTGTTTTGATAAATTAAAATGACAATCATTATCATGATCAAACGGGCATTTTCTATCGTCGAAATCAACTAGAAGAAAAAGTAGAACGGAAAATTTAAAAATTATTGTATTGCGTCATCATAATTACAATTTTTTCTTGTAACACAATGTTATTTAATGCTGAACTATAAATGATATAAGTTGTTATAATAGAGAAAAGCTCACTTAAGAAAAAACTCTTTTGCTTTACGTAATTGTTTTAAATAAAGCTACGTTGTGAAATTTCTATTTTCCATTTTCATGTGAAAATACGACAACTGTGGCGTTTTTTCTTCTTCTCCTTCATCATTCGGTCGCACTGAATCATTCATTAAACACTTATTATTACGAAGTTTCTTCTACAAATCACATGCTTCTTATTTCATTCACAAGAAAAACAGAACGAGAATTGTTGTTGTTGTTGTTGTTGTTGTTTTTTTGACTATATACAAAGCACAATAGACATGATAAGTGTGGAAAACGGCTCCTTGGAAGAAGAAGGTATTGATCAAGATCGTGTTTTTCATGACGAAAATAATATAGCCAGCGAATTTTCATGTGCAATTTGTCAAGGTCTTTTGTGGAAACCAAGATCATGCGCATCTTGTCAACATTTGTTTTGTAGCCAATGTATTCGAACATGGCTTAAATTTAATCAAACTTCCTGTCCATTTCGTTGTTCTCCATATGAAGAAAAACGTCCTCCACCGTATATTCACGCTCTCTTGAGTCGTCTATCCATTCGTTGTCGGAATAGTGTATTTGGTTGTACAGAAATTGTACCTTATTATTCATTAGAAAAACATCAAAATCTAGAATGCCAATTTCCAAGTAAACAATGCAACGTTTGCAGAAATTTTGTATTAGTAGACGATATAGATCAGCATCAACAATCTTGCATACCTTCAACGATTCAATGTTTCGTATGCAAATGTCTAGTCCACCGAAATTCGTATCAACAACATTTGATTGAATGCTTTCAACAAAGATTAGACCTGCTGATCGAAGAGATGACACCAGAACCGGATGACCTTGATACACCTGTGAACGACACATTCAATTTTCTACCGGACTATGTCAATCAACCATGGCTCGTTCAATTAAATAATCGATTACAACTATTTGTAGCTGCGATGCCTAAAATCAATCTTGTTGGACTGGAAGCAGTGGTGCAAGCTCGTCAACTAAATTATTATAGTCGAATATTGGCTATGATCCGATTGATTTTATGCAATAAATCTCAAGCTGCTCAAATATTGATTCTTCTTTTCTGTTTTGGTATTGGAGGTATGTTTGGTTGCTTCATGTGCCTTTGTTCAATCGTACAACAACATGCTAGAAGAGCCATGCTTCGAACATTTTCTGTGATAATCTTACTCAGTGGATTACTGGGCTTTGGTCTTCCTATGCTACTTTCATCGATCAGTGATACTGGAATCATTCTTTCAACTTTCATCAGTTTTGTATTATTTAGTTCAACATGTTCAGAATTACCATTAGATTGTTTTCAAATGGCTCATGGTCATACAATTATAGCAATATTATATTTTCTTATTTTTCTTATTCTCAAACTGTATCTGTTAATGATAAAGTTCTGCTTTTCTTGTATACCTTCATATATATTGGCAGCTTGTCTGGCTTGGACTACGATCTTCGTAACATTTCATGTTCGTCGTTATTCTATTGGTACACGATAGATGAATTCATCAGCAAGCAACAATTGTTCAATTAAACTCGACATATTTTTTTTTCGCATTTGTTCCTAGCTGAGATTTTATTATTATTGCACTATTGAGTTTATACGAAGTATTGGATATGTATGCAGTGTAATAAATATCGCTACAGCGAATGAAATTTTTTTACCAATAAACGAAAAAATGTGGATAACATCGGACTGTCTATCATAGGATCTCCTCGAGTTCATTTTCTTTATATTTCTTGTTCCCGAGAAAGAGCCAAACCAACAGATAATGTAAATTAAATTATATGCATTGTAAGACAAATATAAAATCTTGATCGAAACTATCAGCCGTATGTCGTGTTAGTATAAAAAAAAATGAGCTATTTAAACTTTATTTCATTTGTATGAATTCGTAATTTGGAAATTTCCAAAACTTCAAAATATTTGATGATGTGGACTTAACTATTGAGGGAGCGAGAGAAATATAATTCGTTTATGTCAAGAAACGATGTTAATTCTATTTTAAATTCAAAATATTTGTTGTTGGCATTGGCATGCAAACTCAGAACAATAATATTTTCTATTTGAAGTTCATAATGCAACTTAGGAAAAATCACTCATTTTGAATAACTTTATGTATTTAATTGAGCGAACACAATTTCTACTTGTGCTTTTTTTCTCGACAGTCCACAATAATATTATTTCATAACAAAATAGTTTTGATAATTATATGGCAAATGCTGGTATTAAAAAGAAATTTATTTTTCTTAAATATTTTAGATCAATCTTTCAGAAAATATCAATAAATCTGTATTGAACAAATATAATTGACAATATTCATAAGCTATTCTTTCTTTTCTTCAACTTAAATAAAAAATTTGAACAAAAAAAAAATCAGGTTCTACCCAGATTTGAACTGGGGTCGCTGGATTCAAAGTCCAAAGTGCTAACCGCTACACCATAGAACCGTGATAATCTAACGTGGGCTTCTGTTCTCTTTTTTGCTACTTTCACTAGAAAGAACAAAAGTTGGATTAGCCAAGAATTGCAGGAAAAAAAGTATTTTCAGGCAGGTTCTACCCAGATTTGAACTGGGGTCGCTGGATTCAAAGTCCAAAGTGCTAACCGCTACACCATAGAACCTTGTTAATCCATCCTCGACTTGCTTGGTTTTTTCGGATATTGTTATTCAAACGAACAAAAACAATTCCATGTCAGGTTCTACTCAGATTCTTTTGAAACATTTAATAGTTTATCTTGAACACCATAAAATTCGGATTAATGTTCCTTAACCGTTAGGAGATGATTATATAGACATATCAGATTATTCATACTGTTTAATTTTTCAGCAAAGAAAGGTTTCGAAACAAATCAGCATGCATACAAATAGAAAAGTAACATATTTACTTCTTAATAGTGATACCATACTTGAAATTTCAGCTTTTTTAATTGCTTACACCGTGAGCACTGAAAAATGACATTTCAATACTTTTAACCGTAGCAATTCTGATGAATGATAAATATTTATAAAAAAATTAAGTGCGAAATTTTATTTTTTTCCCGTTTGTTGATAAACAAAATACTCAATTTCTTCCAGCTATTTAACTAGCGGAAAATTGAGTTCGATCAAACAGACGAAGAAATGTAAACTATAGAGAGGTTATCTGTAATATATTTTTCTAAATAGACTTCACAGGTGACTTTTTGAGCCAGTAAATTTAAGGTAAGGACTTATAACTTTTCCACTGTTTTTCAATGCTCTCTGAAGAGATTTTTCTTATAGGTGTTTCATTCTGTTAGATTTGAGCAAGCGAAACTAAATCATTGTTTCGAATTGTTTCATCATTGAACTTTTGTTAGTTTTTCACTTTTCTCTCTTCTATTTTCTTTTTTGTTTTATGTTTGTAGACCATCTGTATGAATTATGAGGAAAAAAAAGGTAAATGACACGACAAGGAAAAACTATGTACTAATGTAATATAATTGATCAAGGTTTAATAACAGATCGACATTAAATCGATTCGAGAAGCAGAAAAAAATTCTCTTTTTGTTGATGCTAAAGTAAACGAGGGAACAAAAAGCAAGGTGATTGTGCCACTTTATGCCTATGCACATTCTAGAATAGACAAATGTAAATAGAAAAAGTCTGCTTTCTCTCCTGCTTCTCATCACTCCGACATAAGTTCACCCACTCATACGATCGACAACGAAGAGAGAATCATTCTTTTTTTTTCTTCTTCTAGTTATATACGTGTTAGTTAAAAGTAGGCTTCCCTGTTTAATGAACAAATGAAAATGACATAACAAATATAGACACACATGAAGGTGACACCGAATAATTCCGAATAACAACTGGGGGAGTAACACAAAGGAGCATTTATTTTCTCTTTAGTTGGCATGATCGTGTTTCTTTTACAAAATATTATTTGAGAAGTTCGCTTTCATTCTAGATGGCTTTCTCATTATCAACAAAATCTGTTGGAAACGGTAAACGTTCTACAAGTACAATGCATGCAGCTGTTGCACGCGATTATGATCGAAAGAAATTGGCTGCGAAACATGAAGTTAAACTGGAAAACGATTACGATGCGCTTGAACGAAAAATGATCTCGCGCGCTAAATGGAATCAACGCGCTGAAAATAATAATCTACGTTCAAATCAAACACATGAGAATCATAATCAAGATCGTTCGAAAATTTCACTCGAACATTACATCGAACGTGAAAGAATAAAACAAGATAACATTATTAATGCTAAACGTATGGCCAATGAAAGAATTCGGCGTGCTTCAATAAACTCTTTACCAAAAGTTTAACTTTTATTTAAATAAAAATAAAATTATATAATTATATTTTTTTTTTGATCAAGAAAAAGTCATGGAAATTCATTCATTTTTAATTACATGTGAAATATTAGTAAAAGCAAAGACTAAAATAATCATTTTTGACAAGAAAAAAACGACACATCGTTAAAGGAATCATCCATGTGGATGCACACCGTTTAATCAGATCATTGGCATCAACCCTAAATAAAACAAAAAAGACGATAACAATAATCAGGCTTAATCAACATAATACACAATGCAATAAAAAGTTCATGTTTATTCTTCTGTTCGGATTTTTAAATAAAATTTCAAGAACTGTAAAGCACTTTACTTGTTCTTATTAACTATTCAATTTATGCTGACTAAGAAATAATGTAAATTTTGATGGGATTAAATCGACTGATGGAATTGACTCTGCTTGAACTTTTGTTGTTATGAACAGTAGACATCGATGATCTAACAGGAATGTTTTTCTTTATCATAACTGTAAATTTTATAGTAGAACTCTTCATCCCCGAACAGCATCAGTACAATTATGATGAATCCTTTTCAATTCAAAACAACAAGCAACTAGATGCCCATGTGACTAATAGAGACGAATTTCAAGATACTTATAAAATGATTTTGGCGGAATCAAAAGAAATAATTGTCTCGAAGGGCGCCATCGCAAAAAGAATTCTGAAATTGCTGGAAAACAAAATCGAAGCGTGTTTGTTATCGAAGAATTGAAAAAAGTATTTTTCAAACAGAAAAAGAACTATCTTTTAAAAAAACTATGCCGACAATAATTTCCGATTAATTCTGTTAGTTAAGGACGTTGTTTAGTATATTTCAAAAAAGAAAAACATACTTATTGATTTTAACAAATGACAATACTATGTTGAAACTACTCAAGAGTTGTAGAATAATTTGACATTTTCTAACAACTTGATCTTTGTCTGTTGAAGTCAATTGATATTCTTTTTTTTTCAAAGTCATCAAGAAAAAATTGATAATTTCGTTTACGTTTGTAGAGAACTCGTAAAAATCTTTTACTAGATGAACACGGTAACTAACAAAAAAGCTGTACGATTATCTTATTGAAGTCTTAAGTTTACCACTTATCCTTGAAAGAAAGTATAAAACATTCTCGCTCAAGTATGTAATAGTAGTTTTAAGTGACGTTATTTAAACACTTTTATCCTACACCGAAGCTTTGCATTGTCTTCTGTTTGTAGGAGAACAAAATTTTAGCGAAATTATACAATCGACTTACATTTCGGCTTGACTTTTACTAGTCCTCATCCTCCTCTTTGTCGTTATCACCAGTTAATTGTTGTCGTAATGCACGAATTTGATGATTTTTTTGTTCAATGATTCTTTTCATATTAATATATGTATTCGTTTGATTAAACTTTTTTTCTAATTCGTTTTCAGCTAATAGAAGTGCTTGTTGAATTTCTTTTAGGCGTTTTTCGTTGGATTCTAATTTTTGAGAAAATGTTTCTTCTTTATTACTAATCAAACGTGTTGTTTCTTCTAATTGTTGATTTAAAAGTTCATCGTCTTTTTCATATTTTGATAAACGTTGTTTTAAGTGATCATTTGATTGTTGTAATCTTTGTATTTCAGTTTTAAGTAGAATAGTTGATTTTGTATCATTGATTGGATCCATAAGTGCATCTATTTTATTGAAGGAAGAGAATATTTTATTCGTTTTTGCTGTTGCTTAAAAATATCTTACTCGCTTGTTTATTTCCTTTGGCTTTGATTTTACTCAAATTCTGTTGTTCATAATCACGTATGAGATCAATTAAACGACGATTTTCTAATTGATCAAAATTAGGATTTAATTTAAGAAACCATTGTTCAGCTTGTTGAAATAATTGTTTGATTAAAAGAGCATTAACACGATATTGATGTGTTAATTCTTGTTCGAATTCTTTTTCTAATATATCAATAAATTCATTGAGAAATTCATGAACTTCATTTGCAGTCATCATTTCTTCATCTGATAAACGTTGATTTTTAAAATCATCAGCCGCAGCATGAAATGATCGTAAACCAACAATCTTTTGTTCGCCAGAAAAACGAACATAATGACGAATAATTTCCTCGTGATGTTCATTAACACCGAGATCAGTCGACGATGATGCCATAGAAGTCTAAAACTGAAATAGAAAATATATTTCTCACTGGCAACATCTATATAGAATCTTGAACCAATGAAAAAATCCAACATACTTTTTACATTATATGCTTGAAGACTGTAAAAGAAGCTTAACTATTGTGTGCGTGTGACTGACTTCAACATATTCTTCTTCGCATTCTGCAAACAACACTCCGGTAAAAATTATAGAGAACAGCATGAGCAAAACACGCCGTCGATCTAAACTTCAGTAGGGTGTGTTCGCATCTATTGTCTATCAATTTGAGACATTGTTTTTTTTAATAAATAAATTGTAATATAGAACTCAGTGAACTGTTGATTTGTTAGTCAATGATGGGTCTTATACTAATAGTAGCGTAAAACTCACTAAAGAAGATGATATTATCGTTTATTATTGTTTTGAACGATTTTAAAAAAATGATGTATTTCATTTCATATAACCTTATATATTAACTAAATCACCTTACTGTCATAAAAATTGGATTTATGCTCTTTCAGTAACGCATATGTTTCAATTTTTATTTAATTTATAATAAATCAATAGAGTTTATTTATGTCTTCTTTTTTTTTTCTTTCTTCGATACTGGCTGTAACATAAATCAAATCGACGACAGCTACCTTTCGGTTTTTTTGAAAGATGGCGTACGTGTATTATTTACCTGATATTATTCTTCGTAGCCATGAGTACAAGCCATATTCAAAATTATAATATATAGAACCTTGCTAGTCATTGAAATGTTCTGAAAGAAATTATGACAAAAGAATTTTGGTTTCATCTTGCCTTCATTATTATTTTTGTCAAATGAACAAAGAATTCATAATTGGTATATATCCCTTGAACTTACCGGCATAAAATGATATATGCTTCATGCAAATACAAATAGGTGGTAATGCATTTATATGTTACGTTAAGTTAGTAAAAAACTATATTTTATTATTATTATTAGTATATTTAATTGTATAACAGACATGCGAATTGAGAGAGTAAAGTCATACTTGATACAATGCAAGTGAATCATCTATAAGTGCCACAAGAGAAGTTGGCCCGAACATGATTAAATTGTCCAAATTGCCATTGAGACTCACAAAACCCGCTGAAAAGCTGAAGAAACTGTCTTGTGATCTGTCTTTTGATTCGCATTCTGCCTTAAACTGGCAGTCCAGAGCGATCTGAATTAATTTTTCATAACCTCCATTGGGTACGAGAAGCCACTCACCACTCTTTGCTAATACGTTGAGTTGGTATTCGACCGATGATAGATTTGTCTTCACAAATCCTATAGGTTGTTGTGTTAAATTAAACACATATAAGAAACGCTCATTAAAAGTATCAATAATTATGCCAAGCCTCTGTTGATTATATCGAATTGAAACTATTTTCCGTTTATCATCCTTTTGCTTTTTAGTGGCCCAATTAGTGTCCCAGCTGTTCACGGGTGGCGGATCAAAGCCAATTAGATCTGTTACAGTGAATTGTGAAACAAAAATGAAACCCGGTAATTTGTAGCACTGCATGTACGTGGGATAATATGACGCTGATGTACCAATAAACAATTTATCATTTGAACATGCACAACTGACAAAGCAAGACTCATTTTCTTTTAATTGAACACTTTCAATACATGACAATTGAGCTGTAACTGGATCGAGGACATATGCTTTTTCTTCATTCAAAACAATGAACTTCAGAATAGACTCACACCAAGCCATATCAACCAAATCGCTAGAAAGTATTGATGTTTGGATGGTTGACCGAACCAATTTCAAGTCTTCATCAAATAGATACAACTTATCAACTGCACACAGAAGTAACAACTCGTTATTACTACACATCACTTTGGATTTTTGATATTTCATTTCTTTCGGAAGCGACCGAGCTTTGAATGGTTTTTGTTTAATGCATCGTAAATCCAGTGAACGTTCGAGATGTAGTTTTATCTCTAAAAAATAATGTTTTCTAGAATGTATTTGCAAAATTAAAATTCTTCAGCTTTAGTTGAAATTTTCTTATAAGCTGACATGACTTTTAATACAATTAGCTCTATTTTCAACGTAGGATTTTCTCCTAGACCATGTGTGACTATTTTTATAGATTGTTTTTTTACTGAAATACAATAAAGCGTTTTCTTGCAAGCTTATTAATGATAACATTGTGATTGATTCATATGTCCGGGGGATTATTTTTGAGATATTTTGAAATTTCTCTATTGTCCACAAAATTCATTTGAAAATCATATTCAAGAAGTGAGAGTTGAATTCATGTTAACTTCTCAAAGCATGACTGTTGTGAGTTCAGCTAGAATGGATTGTTTACTAACGATATATTTATCTAAGAAGTTAATTGAATCCTATATGTAATATTAAATGGATCTTTTCTAGATGTTAGTCCATTTTACGAGATCTCTACATCAAATCTTGGTATAATTCATCGGGTCTATCAAAATCTTTCATTTGCAAATTTATGTGAGGCATATTCTCTTTAGTTTTAACGACAGTCAAATAGATTATGTGTAAATACCTGGTTCCAATAGTAAAGAGGTCATATCATTAGTAACAGTCAATAGTACAGGAGCTGGTGTCCGAAGTGAAGAGGTCAGATTATTAGTGGTAGTAAATAATATTGAAGCTGGTGTGTCACCAATTGATTGTCCTGGTTGATTCATAAAATCATTGTATCGAGAACGTTTATCAAAACTAGATTGTTTTCTTCTGTTTTGAGAAGTTGAGTTGTCGACAATCTCGTGTTCGTGTCCGGTATTGTGATTAGAGTGTCTGTCCACTGATTGAGCAGTTCGTCGAGTAGAAGAACTAGAAAAAGAATAATCAACTAAAAAATATAACTTTTATTAATTCAATAACCGACTTGTGAAGAAAATACGCTATTTTAAGCTTCCCCTTTTCCTGTTGCGTAAAGACGAAGCAGGTGAAAACCAAAACGTTTCATATGTCTATAGTGATTGTATAGCAATTCGCAGATTATGCATTCAATAAGAAATAGCTCGTTAATAATCAAAGAGATGGACTTAATCAAGTGTAACATTCAAATCATCGCTTCATGTCGTTTATTTTGCAAGACACTGCGAAACAAGGCCTTTGCGATTGTGGAATGTGATACATACCAATTTTAATTTCCTATTTTCAAAGCTCGCGTTTATTTGGGTTCTTTTAAAATACAGAGAAATAGATCTCATACCATTGAGTCCTCTCATATGGCTTTGAATTACTCAGTGTTAATGATCATATATATCCTAATCGCACTGGCCTACAATTTAAGCATTGAATAATGAAATGAATTCAAAATAAAACTTGTGCAATTTTTTGTGTTTGGTATAATCATAATTTGCTCTCTTTTTAGTATTTGAGTAGTAGTTTGCACTGAAAACAGTCAGAATGATATTCATAACCTAATTCGAAACATTGGATATAGTCTATGGATATTCAAAAATCAAATATTTTTAGTCAATAATGGTACTAATAGACTCTAGAAAGGATTTCCCTATGAAACAACTATTAGCGGTGTTTATAGTATATTTTATGTAACTTACGCCTGATTATTTTCCATTGGTATATGTTCTTCTTCCAAATGAACAATATAAAGAGCATTTCTGAAGTTGAGTGATTTTGATTTGACAAGAAAACGACTCCCAGGCATAAGAATAACTTCTTGTTCTTCTTGAAATGCCGAGAACGATGTAATATCTTTTCCATTTTTTGCGTCAACAGCAAAAACAGTACCTGTATCGCCCAAATATATTTCAACGACATTAAGGGCTTTTGAACATGAGTTTACACTCCACCATGTCTGCAAGTCGTTATCGACGAATGCCGATCCAACATCACCAGCTACACCCCGCCATATCACTCGTTCACACGAAGGCAGTTTCTCTAGAGCAGTAATAAATAGCTTGAGAAAAAAGAACCACGGCTTCAAAGCCTTTCGGTCTTTAGCTCGAAGTGATTCGTTCAAACGAGTAAAAAACCCTATTGGCATCGAGTAAAGATAAATTGCTGCTGATTCGTCTTTAGTTAAAATAGTTGATTCTCGATTGCAATGTTGTTTCGCAAGAAGAACATATTCCTTCGCTTCAGGGACGATTGGAATAATTGTTTCCATGGCTTTTTCTAATGATACAAGAGGCAAATGTTGATAGCCAAATATTGGACTTCGATTGGCATCTTGAAGTTCTGCTAGAGCACCGTTAACGAACCGACTGTTCATGAATTCTAATTAATGACACTGCTAAAGATGGCGCGGTATCTACTGATAATTTAATAAACCCTAAAAAGAAAATAATGGAACAATATATGAACTGCATTGTTACCGAACGACTGTATCTTTTTAAAAATGGTCGCAAGTTTCACGAAGTGTTTGACCAGTGCTCTATTTTTCTTATTTATCATGTCATATTTTATTTTCTGTTTTGTTATCGTTTTTCTTAAACTGCTATCGTTATTATTGTAAAAATTGATTTATTTAAGAAATAAGCGCACTAAACACATCTTTTATATTGTCCACAATAGACCGAAAAATATTTTTATCTATCTGCAGTATCTTAGTGAAAGTGATATCCATTATTCAGAGGATGTAGGGTTTGCAGAGATTGGTCAAAACTACGGCTTCATTCTCTATGCCAATCTTTTTTCTATTAAATTCCGTGAAAAGAAATGAAGAATTGAAAAACAAATTACTTTCAGTGACGTGACGACATTTCGCTGTTGTTGCTTTTCTCTATTTATATAAAAAAATTGACTCAGAACAATTGTAATATAAAAAAAAACACGGGGACCATTTTACGTTGTAAATATTTATCTAATTTTTAAAATATTCTTGAATATCCGACTAAGTTTCTATAAAGAAACATATTTATGCAATATTTGCCTTAGTTAACTCATCAAATTTACTCTCTTTTTCGTATTTATTTTTTATTGTTTGTATTAGAGGTTCTTCACTAGCCTCCCTCGTGACATAATATCTTTATGAGAATTTAAGTGTGCTTCTTTACCTACTCATTTCTGGTCAATTTCGCTCGAGTTAATACATAAATAAACTAGCAGAAAAATTATGCCAATTATTCGATTGCTTTAACACGAAACCGCCGTATTATTGTCTGCTTTCACCCTCGTTTTACAGAACGGCTGCTATTGTGCAACAAAAATTGTGCGTTTCTGTGTAAATAAATGCGAATAAAGAGGTGGAGTAACGGAGTATGTATTCATAAGAATGATGACAACGCTGCGTCTGTTGTTTTTCACAACACTTTATACTGTGTAGAGAGTCGTAGAAAAGATGTATGCAACATTGTGCACTCTGTTGTTAAGTTATTCTCTCTGAATTTAAGCACCACTTCAACTGACGCAAAAAAGTCATATTTCATATTTCATGGCTCCAATAAAGTATATTTAATTAGTAAAATAGTGCCATCTGTGTAACAGAGCGTATAATAGGAATTTGATTGGAAAGTAAGAACGATATTTAAAATGTTTATCCTACTTGAAATTTATGATAGTACGATAATAAAGGATAATATGACGATACAATAGCAAAGTTGATCTCTATTTTCTGCGAAATAACATGTTGTATTAATTAATTCTATCATATAACTTTTTATGCATCATGCTTAACGTCACTAACAATACGGAAGTATAATGGGCGACACATTTGTAGGTCTCCATATTTAAGTTGAAAAACAAAAAATATACTGCATTAGAAATGGAAATCTTTACTGAAATATTACTCAACATTTATGGTTATTAACCTACAAGATGTCAAATCGAATTTTGTTTTGCGAACTCGGATGTGGAAAGTGAAGAAAGAAACAAAAAAAACCTGTTTGTTCACTCTCTTTCGTGTCCCGGCAGATTGAAGAAAATAGCTGAAATGACAAAACATCATGAATATTGAAATTTTTTCTTGTCATCTATAACTTCGTTTCTAACAGATGCACATAAACATTTTGGTCTTCGGCGAAGACCAGTGTTTTTGTGTAAGAAACTCAGATGAAAGAAAAAGGCAAAGCTAAAAGACGTTGGAAAATTCTTCAAGCGGAAGTAAGACGTCATTATTTATGAGTAGGAAAAAACCGAGAAACGAATTCAGTTCACAATATATAAACCCCTTATTTATGACACAAAGGAATCCTAGTCACATTAGAAAGGAGAACAGTGATGTGTTAAATTTAATTGATCTCTTACGCGAAAATCTTTTTCGAAGCCTTTTTTGCAATAGAATTAGCTCCGGTGTAATATGAATTTGCAGAACGCAGACTGACTCGACATATAGATAATCTTAGTTTGTCAAGAAGCAAGGCGGAGAGTGTGGTTGTGGATGCACTTGAGGATCTGTGAGGTTGGTTCATTGTAACGACACCACATCCTCAGGTAACAATCAACACGGCTACCACCATGAAATGATTATTAGCATCGAACAAAGTAATAAGGATAAAAATTGTGATAATAATACGATTAGGAGTAGTGAAAAGGTTGATGATGGCCAAGATTCTTATGAGATAATGGCTAATTGTAATCGATAAAATCATGTTTGAAAGAAAAAACAGGTAAGCTTACTGAGCTTTCGTGCTCTGTCGTTCGACGAACAAAAAAGGATCATTCCACATACTCTGTTACTTTCAGAGTGTATGCCTTCCATGTACTTCATTAGGATTATGAACTCTGTGGAGTACTAGAGTACACCAGTTTTCCTTGTTCAAAATTCATCGGTATGATGACAAGTCATGGTCGTTTTTGTGAAGTAGTGCGGTTTCTCTATTGTTTTTCTGTATCGTTACTTTAGCGTGTCTTGAAGTTTTCTCTATCGTTGTGTTTTCATCTCATCTGCTTGTATTCTTTTTATTCTATGGATTATTCTATTGTGTCAATGCATAAATAGAAATATACATGTATATTTTCCTATACAAGTAGCCAGTTACTCGTTCCTTTCGTTTTTTTTTTCTTTGTCTTGTTATAGTAGTGTCAGTCCCATTGGTTAAATACAACATCAATATTGGCCTTGAAATTACAAGCATCCATTACGCATTCTTACCATATTTTCGATAAAAAGATTGAAGGAAATTAGAAAGACTAATAAAAATTTGATGTATTAAATGTTAGCGACAACCATATGAGCTTTTAGTACCTTTAATTGCTTGATAATTCTATCTGTTGATGCAACTTGAAAAAGTTATTTTCAGTTTCGGTATATGACACTATGCATCTCGAAACATTCATTAACAGTCAATCAACCAGATCTATTTAAAGTAACGCTCATTGTCTGATGCAAGATATATGAGATTTTTATTAGTCTTTACGATTTCCTTCAAATTTTATAGTGAAAATAGAATTGTAATTTCTTTTGGTATTCATATTGTGGTACAGCTTATCAAATTCTATCGAAGACTATACAAAAACTGCACTACGTAATGAACTATAGATTTATTAATTAAATAATTATTTTTTTAAATTTTTTCCCAAAAGATTCCATCATTGAAATAAAAATTAATTAATTCATATTCGGTATTAATCAATTGATTTATATATTCAAGTTATATGGCAATATATTTTAAAGATATCTGATGAAGATTTTCAAAGCAACTATCATAACGTGTTGTATTCTACTTTGAATCTATGCATATAAGTTTTTATCACATCGACACCCTTCACACATTGATTCGGCATATACATATTATCAATCGCACTGTATTATTTTATTATATTATGAAACAGTCGAAATATAAAAAGTACATGGATATGGGTCTAGGAGCATATCTAGTGTTATATACAGACTCAAACTCACACATCGCAAGAATTTCATAAATATCCCACTCGTACACTAACACTTACATTTACATCCATATTTGCAGCGCTCGTCCACACCCTGTGGTTTATTCAGTAAAAGTTAAGATGAAGAACTATCATGTTTTTTCCTTTAATTCCAAATCGATCACAATGGGTGCTTGGACAGGTTGATATTTCCGATTACAGATTGATGCGTTTACAAATATGGTCGAGCCTTGATCTATACGACCATGTGCCTCATGGATGTGGCCGAAGACATGTAAACGAGGTTTCGCCACATTGACACATGAGAGCAACTCATCACAACCGACATGTTCACCGGTAATAGTTGTATCAAGAATGCTCGCAGGGGGACAGTGCGTGAGAAGAACATCAACATTATTTGGGATTCGGGAGCAAGCCTGCATGATTTCGACACTGTTGATAGGAAAATAAAACGTTCCATTGTGTGACGCTGGTTCATATGGGCTGCTCAAGAACAGATATCTCCTTCGAGAGAAAAAATGAAATATAAGTAGTTATCAAACCTGCCGTAAAAGCTCAGACCAGTGACATTATCGACAAACAGTTGTTCTTCCAAATAGATGATTCCAAAATTGGTTGCTAATGATCGATCGTGTATCAGGTGTCCGACTGGTGCACAATTTTGTTTGCGACCACGATGCCATCGTTTCCAACATCTCTCGTAAGAAATTGGATCCAACGTGTGATCATGGTTACCCGCAATAAATATTTTCAATCGGTATTTTGTTAGAGATTTGAGCCACGTAATGAAATATTCTACTTCATCTTGTAAACCCGACTTCGAAAAATCACCTGTGTGAACGAGAATATCACCAGATGGAAGCACAAAGTCATAGCGAGAGTGTGTATCACTAATGCACACAATACGAGTCGTTTTATTTGCGCGTGTTGCCATCTAAGAGGAAAAAATTAAAACTAACGAAGTAGCCAACATTCTCATTATTCTCTGCTCACAAAGAAAATGTCAGTTGAATAAAAAGATCTGATCGGCATTGAAAGTTGAACACACCAATCAGATCTCTTCATTAAGAAATGCCGAGCTTATAGTTTATGTTCGATCTCTCGTGAGGGCGTGGGTGTGAGTGTATAGACAACACACACCTCACACCCATAAGTTCTATTGAAAGTCGCAAATAGCTCGAAGGAACATGGTAACAATACGATTGGTGAAAACCTGTTGATGGCTATCTCATGTATATGGTACTAAATGCATCTTTCATAAATCGAATAGGATAATCGACGATATATTTTTGTCATAAAAATACTGCACTATCTTCTAGTTAATAGTCTAACCAAACTTTCAAAGGCGGTCCAGTAAAATTATCTAGATCATTAGCCACTATCCAAGCTATGCTTTTTAAGACTTACAGTAGTGATAATACAATATAACAGTGCCAAACAAAACGTTAACAAGAATATCCTACTTGACACAATATATAAAGTGATCTCATTTAATAAATCTAAAACTGACATAAAATAAAGTAGTATGTTCCTTTCTTAAAATATACTATTTACTGAAAATCACTGTTGATAATAATAAATTCCACAAAATATACTCAATAAGCTGCGAATATATGAAGATTATTATACGATATATTTATTTATGTATTTATTTCACATAAGAAAAAATGTAAACTGTTTGAATTTTTTTAGATCAATTGTTAAGTTTTACTGGTTGGTGATTACGAAGCAGTATTTTCATATCATTTTTTCCAACATTCACCTTCGTATGCAATCCATTTACTTAATTTGTGCATAAACGTTTTAGCATAGGCAAAGTGAAGCCACTTCTTAGGCAATTTCTGATAGCCGTAATGTGCTCCAGCTAGCTGACCATAGATAGCAGCTGTTGTATCTGTATCATCACCAAGATTGACAGCAGCGAGAGCACCTGTTTCAAATGAATTCTTATCAGACCAAAATGCCCACAGAGCAGCTTCTAGAGCATTAACTATATAGCCTTTGCCTCTAATACCAGCATCATATCCATCTTTTTTGTATGATCCTCTAGAGATTGACTCAATGTCAGGGTGAAGTTTCTCTTTGCCAAACCATTCTTTGTGCTTCCCGTAAAAGTTATTGTCAAGTATTTGTTCTTTCTTATAACCCTGAAGAGCAGCAACAATTAAAGCACCATAGTAACGACATGCATCGTACGCTTTTCTATCTCCGTGAGTGATTTGTCCACTAATACCAGAATATTCCACAGCTAATGGAGGATTTCTATAGAAAAACAATGGTACTGGTGCAAGACGCATAAGAGCTCCATTGCCTGCTACACCATCTTCACTGCAATAAACATTGAATTTCTGTCGTAGTTCACTATTTGGAAGACGATCCATTTCTGTCAAGGGAATGCTGAATTCATTGGCAAATGCTTTCTGACGACGCGCAAATTCTCGTAGAGAATTACTAGTAGCTGCTCCAATATCAAAACAATCTCCAGTCGACGACATATATCCGAATTTGTACCACCATTTGTAGCGAACCAATTGATCATAAGGATTAAAACCATGACAAGCTACTAATGAATTAGCCAAACAAAGTGCCATGGAAGTATCATCGGTAAACTAAAAGAAATTCCTCTTTAAAATCGCATTGAAATGTTTTCATTGATGATCATTCGAGAGAATCAATAATTAACTTTAGGTTCTTCTCAAAATGAAAGCCTCATTGAAACGATTTTATAGAATCGTAAAAATAGTTTGTTACGGTCATTATTCATGGGAAAAAAATGTTTTTTTAGAAAGTATCAAGGATTGCTCTTTCAAGAATTCTTTAAATAAAATCTATTTTGAGAACAAATCAGGTTTTTCTTTCAAAGAAGAAATAGATCCAATCAAAAAAATATTGGATGATGTGAACAGAAGCAATCGGATGAAATCGTTATTATTTAGATTATGGTTCTGTTAAACTACTCATATCTGGCTCATCAAATTCTAAACAGATAAACAAAGCAAAGGCGACTTACTTGTCCTTTTGTAAGACCCCATGTTCCTCCAGATTCAAGATCTTTAACTGGGTTGTTAACTAAAAACTGATGTGGTCGAAATTCAACGTGGGCACCAAGAGCATCACCTAAAGCCATTCCTGTCATAGATCCTCGAATACGATTCAAAATTTCGCGATTAATTGATACATCGGGTACATTCATTGCATTCTGAAGCTCATCAGGTTTTTTTACCTTTGTTTGCTTGTTATCGTGAAACTGAACATCAAACCAAGTGCTATTATCTGCAAATGAAAATTTATTACTTCAACATCGGTATGCCTTCTCTCATTTTCTTTACAATTCAAGTGATTTACTCTACTGTTTATGCTAAATTTGGTTGATTGGTAGAAAATGTCGTATGATTATTCTTTGTTTTTGAAATTAGCACACGATATTACGATCACTGTATTTTCAAAAAAATACAATCCTAGTTACTAACCTTCATGGGACGAACATTCTGAGCTATCATCGTTATCAGAAGATTCATTAGACCCAAGATCGTTTTTTCTTTTGGTATCCTCTGTTTCAGAAGAAGTCGGCGCTTGATTAGCTGCGTTACTGGCAGCGAGTTCAGCGTTGTTTCTTCGCGCGGATGTCTTTCTTTCACCAGTTTCTGTTGCTTCAGTCACTGGGGTACCGCTTGGCTTGTTGCGTGGTGGCGTATTTTTACCACTTGCTGTTGCTTCAGTCACTGGAGTACCGCTTGGCTTGCTGGGTGGTGGCGTATTTTTACCACTTGTTGCTCTAGCTTTCTTGATTTGATTGCTGCTTGAGTTATTAGTAGTCTTTACTTCATCAGTTAATGGAGTGTGTGGCGATGGAGTACGTTTCCGGTTGGCAACGGGCTTCTTTTTATCTTCCTCAGTATCTTCCGGCATTTGATTACTGTTTGAATCGTTAGAAGGTGTTACTTGGTCATCCTTTCTGTCCTTTGGAATTGATTCATCAGGTTTCATATTTTTCGAAGCAGAGATAGTCCGGCCATTGACAACATCGTTATGAGTTGTAGGAGAACCAAGATCAGTATGCACCGTATCTAAATTATCGACTGTAACGATAAATAAAATATTACCATACTGGAAAGCGTCTAGTAAATGGGTACTATTGCACAGTATGTATAGGCACCCTGTTATCAAAATTGCAGTATGTTGATGATCGAACCTAATATTAGGCCTTTCTCATTTTTTTCTCTCAAAGCAATTTATTACATTTTTTCGGTTTAATTTAAATTAATTTTTTCAATTCTGAAAACTTCAGCAGGTCAAATTTCTGGATCTGACCGAACTGGAATTTGTCGAATCTCCGTCAGATCACTTCAGGGTAGTCAGCTCTTAATTTACGATTAACATTGGCAGGTTCTCCACTAATACATAGTATGAAAATAGATTGGTTTCTTATGATTTGCCGAGTTGCTTATGCGCAGTGGCGCAAATAGGTGGGTTTTGTGGGACTCGACACCCCTCTGCTTGCGAGTCAAGTTACGCCCCTATTTATACGGAGCCGTGCGTGCAAAATAAAATGATGAATGAACAGTAGCTGCACAGAACGCGGCAAATCTAGGATACTCTGTAGAGGTCTCCTTGACAAAATTACAGGTACGGGTACTCACGCAAGTATTAGTTAGGCGAACATACTGCTGTGGGTACCTAATGCAGTACTTGCATCAATATAACTACTTAGCATTTTCGAATGATCCATATTGGGTACCTTGCTAAGGCTCTCTCAGTACATGTGTATCCTGAAATCTGTACTTCCTCTAGGGTTAAGTGCGCAAAAATTTCATATTTCTATCCTCTGTTTATCTAAAAACATTTTGTTGTGACATTTTTTTTCTTATTTAACCACGTAAAAGACTATACTTTTTAGTAGATGTATGTAGAACAAGAAAATTTACCAGGAGATGATACAGGTACATCTGGAGATTTTGAGAAAATGGGCTTGAAATCTTCGCGTATATTATGAACACGTACGTCGACTGCTGACGGTGATAAGTTGAATGGTGGTTTGAACAGTTGATGTGGTGAATTAGTTTCTTGTAAATGGATAGTGTATAAACCATCTGCCTGTCTAGGCACTCCCTGGAGAGTTAAACAAGTACCTGGTACAAGTAATACTTCGTTTTCATCGTCATATTTAGAAAAAGATTTAATGTCTTTTCCGTTGATACATTCGATTGAAAGCAGAATGCGCTTATCGGATTGATCCAAACGCGGTTCAATTGATTCTCTCATGGTGGTGCAAGAAGTGAAACCCCACAATATAATATTTTCTTTATTAAAGTCATCAATGTTACCATGAAATCCACACCAGACTTTTGTTTGTATTGATGGTAATTTGTGAAGTCCAGTGAGAAAATTTTTTAAGTACGAGAGCCACGGTTTCAGATCCTCCCGTTGTTTAGTACGAAGTTTCTCATTCAATAATTTGTAAAAATAATTATTCTCCTCGAGCGATCCCATTGTATATAAATAGATGGACATTGATTCATTAAGAGTCAGGCCGTCCGATGATTGGCGTGCTTTCCTCTTGGCCTCACATATCATTGGATTAGTGCGCACATCAGCCACAATTGATTTAAGTGCCTCATCAATGGATACTAAATCGGTACCTTCGTCTAATTCAATTGGAGGCAACGTTTCAGTAGGTTGTTCTTTAGCAACAATAACAAAACGATTCGAAACACCAGCTCGAGACATGGATATATAAGCACGTTGAAATGTATCACTTGCTGTGCGCCATGAAATATGTTTATGTGTAATTTAGTTACCTTCCAACGCAGGTGTTTTGTTCTAGTCGGAAGAAAGGAGAAGAAAAGAAAAAAAAGCGACTAAAGTCAATAGACTTTTATTTTACTTTCGCCATGGTTTGATATTCTTCAGTGATGCATTAGTATCATGTTTGTTTTGTAGTTTAACAATTTTCGCAGAATGCTGAAATGATCTGTGATGCAGCTTTCAGAAAAAGTTTCACCCAGACGACTTTGCTAACATTTTGATTTTCATTCTGCACATGTTTCGACACATATGTTGCTTTTGATGTAAAAAGGAAGAACAATAAATGGTGTTCGAATACATAAGGCAAAACAAAAACAAAGCATGTTATATTTATTGCTATGGTTTCGTTTTTCTTTTATTGTTGCAAGTGGATCAATGTTGCACATGAAGCGAATAATTAACTTGAGAGAACTTTGTAATATGTTTGAAATTAATATTCAAGAATGAGACTGGACTAGAATAGCGACTTAGATTCATACTCAGACCAATAATTAATACTCACTCGTAACAACATTACGTTATCAAACATTTTCTCAATGGTGATCTATGAGAATGAAGTTTAAACTATTGTACCAATAATTATTATTAAATAAGGATATCATTTCTATCATGATATTATGGGTCAGATGAAGGTAGCAATTTATTCATAGTGTGATTTCAGTTGACAAAATAGCCGTTATTGCTACGATTTTCTTAAATCGAATAGATGTCAACTAAATGAAGTCGAAGCCATAAAATATCGTGAAGAAACGTTTGGTACTTGGCTCTGTTCATCCTACAACTATTTTTTTCAGCTTGTAGTGATTCATTGCAAAAAGCAACTGTCTGATCACTGTGCATAAAGATTTTTTTACAGAAGTTGGAAGTGATTAAATTAAAAATCTATCAGTTGCTCGAATCTTGAAAGTAATAGGTATCGATGTGTCACTTTACATGCTCAAAGCCGTTAGAAATTCAAGTCGCATCCGCATTTTACTATTCGATAATTATACGCAGATGTAATTGCTTCAGAGATTCAAAACTTTTTCGATCATCTTTTATTCTATATGAAGCGTAAAATACATTTATTTAAAAAGAAAAAGAAAGCAACAAAATTTCATGTTTTAACAGTGGTTCGTTTATGTCGTGGTGGTGTTTGTTGGGGTCGTAAAAATTTCATACTTATTAAATCTTGTTTACAACCTGTATGACTTGCAAATGGAGTAGATTTCGGTCGATTCAATAATTGAGAAATGCCACCCTAGATGAATACAATGAATTTTTCATTTGAAAGAAAATAGCAAAATAAACAAACTCTTGGATTCATTTGTAAACGAGGTTCAATCTGTAGATTTGAAACAGCACCACTATGATAAGGATGCGCAGGATTGTCTGGTGATTGAGCAAATGGTGGTTTATTACTTCCAACAAAATGATACGCTAAAAGACGAGATGGACTTCTATATGGAAAAGAAAATTTCAAGTGACATTTTCTCCTATGAAACAAGTACTAACTTGAGAGTATTCGGTATAACACTAGGTTCATCAAACGTGCAACTATTTGTTTTTGAATGCACAAATAAAATATCACCTTGAAATAGAAATTTGCATTTATGTTTATACAAGAGAATCCTATTTACTTGAAGATTGATCACTATTCAATCTATACGAACTTCTTGCCCATGCAATTGCCTTTTTGATATTCAAATAGAAAAAAAGAACAATAAAAATTCATTGCGCCAAATCTCTGTCAGGCTCGAACGAGAAAAGAAGAACGTTTTTAAAGATTGCAAGACTTTTAAAACGAAATGTTTCTCTGAGAAGAAAAAAGGTTTTCTTTGTCAAACCTGCCCATTTGGTTTTGCTAGAATTGTGACACATTCAGGGCCAGTTTCCCATCGTTTTTTTTCTTTCCATACAAATACATGTGGAAATTGAGGTTCGATTTCTTTGAAGGTTCCACACCAAATCTTAAAATAAAATAATTTTTCGAAAATAATTAATCGTTAATTGTTTGATTATTAACCGTAACGGTTTGTCCAGCTCGAATAACTGTATTTTGAGGAAAACGAAAACGACAAACGGGTACACAAGCGATATTTTGTTGTAGAAAATGTCCGCTCAAATCATAATCATCTGAATTAGAAATATTAAGCAATCGAAGATAATCTCCATTTGTTGATTCAATTTCATGAATACGAACATTGGTTAATGCACTAATTTGCAAAAGAAAATAGAATTAGGAAAAATCTTAACAATAAACTCTCACTTTCCCATTTTAAAACCAATATCTAGTTGATTTGTTACTTCGTTATGATGTTGTTTAAATAAGTCTGGCATAAGATCAGAATTTAATTTTAAAGTTTCATTCGAATTCATTGATGTTGTCATTTGTACGCTCGAATCATTAAGTTCCGTTAATGGTGTTTCAATCGGTTCACGATTTGATTGTTGACTTGGATTAGCTGATACATGTGAATCTCTATTATCATCAAAACTAAACGTAACTGATTTTGGTGATTTTACTCTTGTTGATGATTGATCGGATTTTTTTAAACTCGACGAACGTTTACTTGTCGACGAACTTGGACGATTTTCAATGGTTGAAGAATTTGTTGACGATGATGAGCCAAATGATGATGCCGAATATAGCGACAAACGATCAGTTCGACGACTTGATGGACTGATTATCTGTTGATCTTTGGTACTTAGATTAGTGACAGATTTCGATTCGAATTCTTTGATTGACATTGCTCTCTGAATTTGTTCAGTGTTATTATTATTCGTACTAGTATGATTATTATGAATAGTGTTATCATCGTCATCATCATCATCGTCGTCATCCCATTCAGATTTTGATGCATCAATGGGAATGATCCTTCAATAGAGAAAAAAATGTTTCTTTTATATTCAAAACAAAAACAAATAAAAGTCTTGAATAATAAACTGACTCATCGTCGTCTTGTTTTTGTTCAGTTGTGAAATCATTCAGAACTGTTTTAATTGTTGATAATTCTTCGACAATATTATCATGTGTTTTGGATACAACAGACATTAGCTCATGTAGTTTTTCATGAATCGTCTTAACAGATGATAATTTTTCTTCCAGATTATGAACAAAATGAATCAAGCGTTTTATTGAACTATAATTTAACATTGATTTATTATTTCCAAGATGCATTTGTTTAACATCCATTCTTTAGTTGTGTGTGAGGAAAGACTTTTTAACGGCGAAAGTGTTTTAGATGTCTGTTGAAAAATAAGAAAAATATGTATAAATGTGTATACAGTATATATTTGGTGAATGCAAATGCAATCGTTGCACACTTTTCGAGTGGATCACTTACTCAACGAGCAAGCGTGAAAAAAAAGAATTGACAACGAGCAAATCAATCAATAATAACGACGGCAACCATCAACTGCAATCAACGAGTCCATTCAACAAAAAAAAACGAAAAAAAAATGAAAAAAAAATGAAAATGAATGCCATTTGAACCCGTTTTTATAAAATAATATTTTTTTTGAAACCTCAATAAACATAACTAACAAAATAGTAACACGCAATAATATAGCTTTTCTATTTGGCCTTAGTTTCACCAATAATATCTGCTAGTAATCCTATTGCATTGTTTCACTAGTTCTGAAAACATCAACATATTCCATAATCGTTTTTTATCATTTTCTTTCATTTGTAAAGTATTAACGTGCGTACAAGGAAAAAAAAGAAAAAATCACATAACAACTATGCAAAAAAGAAAAGACTTATTTACTTAAAACAAAGCGTATAGTGACTTAATCCTTGATTGACTCGAGCCGCTCAAAAATAACTATAGAATAGAACATTTTTCTACTGATAGTTTCTATGCTATGCGTGCAATTAGAATATTATGCTGTGTTGTACTGGTTAATTTACTATGTTTTGATAAACTACTAGTGTTTCAATTGCAAAGATGTTTTCTTTTTTTGTTATTCAATGTATGATGAGCGAGACCATAGACAAATATGACTACCGTCAGTTGATTGAGCTGCTTTTTTTTTAATATTAACCTATGAGCGGTATTCTTGAAAGATTGCATGGCTTAAATTCGAAGAATAGCTTCATATTGAATGTTCACAATGTTGTTTTTATTCTCAACGATTTCGTCTGCTTTAATGACTTCGTTTTGACGTTACTACTTTTCATTGAAACTATAAATATGAAGGCTTTTTCAAACAAAAACATCAACTTTTTTAAGAGTATTAAGTATTAAATTCAAACGAAATAGAATGAATATAATTTTCCATTGCATAAATCAATGTTTCAATACATTCGCTGAAGTTTATTTAATGAATTCTATGAATAAAATTATAATTTTCTAGATGAAAAAAAAATTCCTTTCTCTTTAATATCATACGCATCTTATGTTACTGTTGTTTTAAAAACAGTTCTATTTACTTACATGGCTTTTATTTCTTTGCCATAAAAAATATTCATCGAATAAAACGACAAAGAACGTGTGCTGAATATTTTAAGCACATTTTTATTTTTTTTTAAAATAGACATTTAACTTTTCGGAGTGTGTCCTTGTACGTTTCATTTGAAAACAATATAGCTATCATGTATTCTAAACTTCTTTGAAAATGTTTTTTAAACAAGAATGTGACATATAATATTGACTAAAGATGATTTCAAGGACTTGTTGATTGCCAATGTGAACAGTTCAATACTGTCAAGAACTAACTATGTGCGGAGAATGTGTAACGAATTACTGTTGCATATTCAAATGAAATTACTGGTAAAAAAGAAAAAGTATCATATTACATGAATCATCACTAGAAGGTTGGAAAAGGAAATATCGGTGACAAATAAAAAGATCCACACACACTTCAATTACGTTCTTGTACAGAAAAAAGGCATTATCTGTTTATTCAGTATTCGTTTCTATTGAATCTTGAAACAATATTCTGTTCTAAAGATTATTTTCACTATGGCCGAAATTGAGTCACTGATTTGCTATTACAGTTATATGAACGAATCAATGATCGATGCTAATTTAACTTGCAGTATTCGCAAGAATCCTTTGTATGATCCGCTTGTAACGCCTTTATGTGATCATATCTTCTGCTCTATGTGCATTAAACCGTGGCTTGAAATAAACGACTCATGTCCCAGCTGTCGTCATTCACCACTGATCAAAGATCAATTGCAGAAACCAAATCGACCGTTGCTCAACTTACTAAACGAACTTCTGATTCGATGCAAAAGATGTGGCGAAGAAAATACTCGACGAGGTGATTTCATGCATCATATTCGTCGCGTATGTCCAAAAGCGAATATTAATTGTTCGGCAGCCGATATCAAGTGTCCTTGGACTGGTAGACCAGATCAACTCGATATTCATTTAAAAACGTGCATTTATACACAAATGAAACCACTACATAACGAATGGATGGCTACTACGACTAAGTTGACAGAAAATATCGAAGCACTAGAAGAGAAAATAGCAGAACTTGTTGTAATGAACATATTAGACAGACAACATTTCAGGTCCAAAAGCAATGTAATCAGATCGCAGAACGAAGTGAGCAACTAATTGACATTGAGAGTAAGCACAAATGATACTTTTCATTATAGCAAATAAAACTTATGGCCGACTGAATTATAGAACTTGCAAAATGTATGTTGAGTTTAAGTGCTAAATTATTTGCTGCTGAAATAAAGCAAATATTGGGCGAACACGTGTATCCTGTTATCAAGCAACTACAACCAAATCTTCCTGATAAAATTACAGGCATGCTACTCGAATTGGACAATAATGAAATCTTGAAGCTTGCAGCCTTGGATAGCTGTCTGAAAAAAAGGGTTGAAGAAGCCGTGGCTCTACTTGAAGCACGTTGTCGAAAGATTTGAAACTCTATAATCGTTGTATAAAGTCTAAAATTGTATTTATTCTTATAGCGATTTTACATTTGTTTGAAACCAATACAAAATATTTCTCATATGTAACATTTAAAATTATGCAAAAAGCAAAATGAATTCTTTGAACTGTCGGCTTGCAATACGCTTGAGCTGTAAGAATAATTTATTGTATGAGGCAGCTGATTCAATGATGTGATAAATGAATTGAAAAAAAATATACTTCAACCATTGATAAATAAATAAAAGATCATTCAACTGAATAGTGCAATTTGTCAACGAAATCTATTATTGATTTCAAATAAGAAAAAAAAATGTATTCATTGTGTAAGATATTATTTCAAGGTTAATTACATATGATCATAGGAAATAAATATTATATCTTTATTCATCCTAAGATTATCACTTACAATCAAACATCTGCTACTATGTATAAGATTTCTTTCGAAGAAATCAACTGATTGTTTATAAACAATTTTGAATGAACACTTGTAATATAACATTCCCGTTGTGTAAATATCTAAACTGCATTTATTCAATGAAAGAAAACATGTGCACGTTGCCGATTTGTTAATATTTAATAGACAACTCTAAGGAACATATGCATTCGATTAACCTCGTTCATCATGTCAATCAATGGGCCTTGAAATAATAGCAGAAATAGCACAATGACTAGCGGCTTTTCCAATCACGAAAATGAATGACCATATAAACATTACTTTCAATGATATAAAATGCAGTGACTGGTATTCATTTTCTGACAATAGAAAGATTCAAGACTAATTTGTGCCAATCACTTAAGTTTGAACTGTTTTGCGTCATCGTCAAAATTTCATAAAACATGGAATAAAGAAGAAAGAAGGGAGAGTGAGAGAAATAGTACTGCTCTAAAATTAACGAACAATGCTGACGCGTGCACACACCATATACGTAATTTCATTCATTCATTCATTCATTCATTCATTCATTTTTTGGGAGGCTAAGCGATCGTCATTCTGTCAGATATTGTTATTAAGAATTAGTTTGGCAAGTAAGTTGAAGTAAAGTTCGATCTGATCAATCATCTTTTATATATATATATATTTTTTTTTCAAGGTTTTCTTTCTTTTTTCATTGATCGATCGATCGATCAATTGATAGATATAATCGGACCATCTGGATAGAAGTCAGACGTAATGAAAAATAAATATTTTGACCTAATCGTCGGATGCCATTTCGAAATATATATATCGAGATAAAGCTCCATTTTCATCATTTTGCCCTTCTCTTACATATGAACGAAATAATAACAAAAAGAAGAAAAAAACGGAAGATTTCTATTATGTTTTTCTATCATGACATTCGTAGATGTTTTTTGTTCAGTTAGTTAGACAGATGTTGTTGATCTTCTTCTTCTTCTTCTTCTTCTTCTTCATCAGAATGAGAGAGAGAGATACAATTGATCTTATTGATAAGCATAAAGCTGGAACGAACGTGTCCTTTTCTTCATATACTGATGAACTAACTGCCTTTTGTATACAGTGTATGTATATAAACCGCCAAAATATCGCTACTACAAATTATATTATCGTGACGAGACAATCATTCCGGAAGGTTTCTTCTGTTGTTTAGATTTGTCGAGAAAAGAGAGAGAGACAAGGAAAAATCTCTACTCGAAGAGATTTCATTCCTATCGATTGTCTCTCATTTAGACGAAAGGTCAGAGGTCTGACATTGAACCTAGAACAGTGTATGTCTGATAAATGAAGAACATAGTAGTAGAAGTGGAGAATCTAATTGCTTGCCTGACGATTTCGTCCTTAATCGTTCATTAAATGACTGATAGAGGAAGCAGTTAGTTCTCAGTTGGTGCTCTCTAATAGACAAGCAGAGACTCATAAACATGACATATATGACTATTCTTGCATTTTGTTTGTTTACGCAGTAAAATAAAAGAGGTTGAAGATAAATCGACGAGAAACGTGAATATTCATTGTAAAAGAATATAATCTGCCATCATTGATGAATAGAAGAAGAAAACGACGAAAGGAAGTGATAGAACAGTAGATATCTTTGTTGTGAATATAGGGCGTGTCTGGTGAACAGATAGATAGGAGGGATGCGGCACCTTCTTTGATAGTTATTATACATATAGACATATCACTTTTCCAGTTGTGCACGCGTTTCTAGTTAGTAGGATCAATTTGAGTATGCTACTCCCTTTCTTCGTATGCCGATGGATAACTCAATCGTTCTTATTCGATGATATAATACATTGAAGAAAGTGTATATCAAGACATGTCTAATGGCGAATGCAAGGTTTCTACACTATATAGATATATAGAGAGACGACTCCTTTCTTTTATGATATGTTCACTGATGTATATTGATAAATTGCCTTTCTCAGTTCTTCTCTATCAATGTCTCTCTTCATCTTGTCATAATAGGATCGCGCATATATATATATATTTAGTAGATAGGAGGGAATATGCTTGTGGTGCTAATACAAAAAGTCACATTGTGTTAGTGGATATCCAAGCAAGGACATTTTCCTTGAGTTGATCTATTAGAAATTCTTATAATCAACAAAAGGTGAGCTGATTTTCATTTGGAAATAAATTTTCGCGTCTAGACTTTTAGATCTTCCGGAAATAAACGCCATCCATGTCTAATTACTGATGATCGATACGATAAGACTAATCAATAACTTTTTGTTTTAGATAGAAATATGCATACAATAGATTTGGTTATTTTATTTTGTCTTATTCTTACTTTGGTGGAAAGTTTTCCTTCATCAACCGAACCACCTTATTCAGTTTTCGGTAGGCATAATAAAGTTCGTCCACGTTTTCGTCGTCGTGAATTAGTTCAAGAAGAAGTGCGAAAAACAATGTTAACCTATATGACAAGTTTAAAAGGTGAAATAACAGATGTTGTACTCGAAGAAATGATTGATTATTATAATAGTCAAACATCGAAATTGTATCGTTTGGAAAAAGAATTATCTTCTTTAAAAAATTCATCATTACCAACATTACAAAATGGTACAACAATGAATGATTTAATAGTGCGTCTATCAAAACAACAACGTTCATTTGCATCTAATATATCATCGATGGAATATAAAATAAAAAATCTAACAAATATTCTTAATGATCTATTGAATGAATTACAAAAGCCTGTACAACATGTTCGAAGACTTATTTCAATAAAAAAGGATTTCGACGACAATGAAATACCAATAGGTAAATTGCTAATTTTTCTATTATAAACAAATAAGGTCAGTTTTAATTATCATTTCACCCATCTTGGACAATATACATGCACATATTTATATAAACATATAGATATACATTATGCAATAATAGATACCAAACAATATGAGTTCGTTATCACATTCCCTGGAGCATATCCATCCGCATACATTTTGCTAATTGGAAAACAAAAGGAATAACTTTGTTTCTTTTTTTTCTTCTATAGATTGTGATGACATTTTTCGTCAACAATCGCCATTTGTTTCTCAAGGAATTTATCGTATAAAACCTCGATTATCGTCTGAATCATTTGATGTACAATGTATTTTTGAAAATAATACAGGTACAGAAAAAAAAAATATTAATAGAAATAACAGAGTCAGAGATTTTTTTCCGAAATAGGTTGGACTGTTATACAACGACGAATGAATGGTACTATTGATTTTTATCGTGGATGGGATGATTATAAAAATGGTTTCGGAGATTTACGTACGGAATTCTGGTTGGGAAATGAAAAGATTCATCAATTGACAAATCAAGGACAATATATGTAAGATTGAATTATGAAAGTCAATGTACCAGGGAATACGCTAATCTTATAAGCATGTCTGAAGGCCCTTGAGTAATGCATCTAAAGTGCTGTAAGCTTCATTTTAACCTTTCGCGTTTTGACATTGATCTCGAAGAGCATAGTTCTTTCTAGCTTCTGTTCACCAATAAAATGAGTATTCATTGTCATAATTGATGATGTTTGATAAAATATTTTTCTAGACTTCATGTGGATATAACACCTTGGGATAGTTCAATGCGTACAGCTGAGTATGAAAAATTTGCGTTAGACAATGAAAATGAAAATTATAAATTACAAATATCTCAGTATCAATCAGCAATTTCAACAGCCGGCGATTCACTATCATCCCCATGGGACAACGCTAATGGAGCATCGTTTTCAACATTTGATCGCGATCATGATAATTTATTTTATGACAATTGTGCATTGACTTATCATGGTGCATGGTGGTTTACAAGTTGTTTTCAATCGCATCTCAATGGTGCCTATGTTCGATCGCCACTTGCTCTACAAAATACAGCACGAAATGGTTTACATTGGAATACATATGCTTTGTATCATTCGATGAAAGAATCAACAATACGTATTCGACGTAAACATACATCTGAAACAAGTGAAGCTTTAACAATTTAATTTGAACTAAAAATTTTCTTTTTTGAAGTTTTTTGCTTCTTTTCTTTTAATATAATTAATTATGAATTTATGTATAAAAAAAATGGTAGTCACTTTTTAATTTTTTTGATTTCAAAGTATTAAAAAATAATTGAATAAACGATGAGGGTGTGGGTGTGGTCTTTACTATATTCACCCACACACACCTTTCCATGCAATAGTGCAATTTTTTTTTCAACATTTTCAAGTACTTTGTTTGTTGCTGTTGTTACAATTGCAATGTGTGCTGTAGTTTTGTATTTTCCTGAGAAAAAGATGATTGTATTTTCGTTACCCAAGCAACTAATAACAAAAATGTGCAGTAAACAACATCTCCAACCGTGAATATTTTAATTAAAAAAAGCCAATGATGTTTTGTCAGCGTTTTATACTTGATATGCTAACTGTCGAATCAAATCTTGCGTTCCGCGAATCAAAAGTTGTTATTGTAGGAGTATTTTTTAAATATTTTTCAACGTGAGTCGTACCAAAAACTAAAACACACGTAGGTTGCTTTAAAAGGGGTTCCTGTTGTACTCTGAGCAATATTCTGTTAAATAATATATCCTTGCAGAGATAAATCTTTTTTTAGACATCGAGATCGATGAGAAAAATGCTTTTACTCATAGGCCCATGCTGGTAATATTCTCTGCTTCTATTTGAGCAAGCTTTTGAATCTGTAATGTTTCCTTTCTTTAAGTTGTGGTGCATACCATATTGCTAGAGAAACATTTTAGCATATAAAATGTTTTTTTTGTAGCTCTTTGTGAAGATCTTGTGGATATAGTACTATTGAAAGAGAATAAAATCCCACAATTAGATCGTTGCTCTTTTATGGAGACCGTGCATTTCTGTTTATATTCGTTAGGTTCTAAAATATGGGTTGTTCCATTGACAGCAATAGAACCATAGATCGATGAGTGATCAGCGCAAAGCTTGAGCCGATGTACTCGAGAGAGAAAAAGAAAGATGCATGTAATACAGTTAGTTATGAGCCTCCATTTTCTAGAAAATGTTAGTTATACATTTGTAACAGTTAACTCCGAAATTCTGCAATAGAAAAGCCAGGAAGCTCGCTGAGGCATCCTTTCAATTGATACTTTATTAACATCATGATCGAGTATGATACTAATCGTTTATAAAATCAACATTCTTAATGAACACCTATGCGTTCTTCATATTGAAACAATATTACAAAAGTAATTGCAGAATAGTATGATTTTGATTTCTAAAAGCTCACCTAAGGTTCGAATTTTCGAGAACAGAAGTCGCCCAGAATTGTTGGTTCTCAAGGGTGAAACCTACTTCGAGTTCCAAATTCTTTAGCACGGAGCCAAAAACTGACAGCCCTACCTGTAAATAACAATGTATTAGGAAAAACATTATTTTAGAGCCAACGGTTCGGTATACGTATGCGAGAACAGACACTGATATATTTCCCTTATTTCTATTGTAATGCTTCGCTATTTAATTTGAATAATTTAGTAAAATAATCTTCCAGAGATATTACTTGTCAATTAACTGCGTTTTATTTATTCGAAGCTATAATCTGTAGCTAATATTGGTTTAATAGTTACTTAATGAAGATACGAATGCCAAAAACTAGTAGCTATCTTGAGAGGATGAGTCTTAGTAAGGCATAACAGGTTTCCAGCTTACTCGACAGGTCTCATCATGTGGCTGTGACTTTGTGAGAGGCGTGAATGGCAAAATATTAAATAAAGAGTGTTAAAAATAAGTGATCATCTCATTTGTTCATGGAAATGCAAATGAATTCAAATGAAGTGTAATCGTGTGTGTATCTCAGCACATAAAACTTGCCATAGATGTTCCAAGCAAGGGAGAGATTGGCGCTGCCCATTTAAGATTGCGAGAAAATGAAGGGTTAGGTTGAGATGTGGGTTACTTTTGATTGAGACAAGAAGAACCACACCCACACCACACCCACCCATTTCTTGTTTTTTCATTTTTGGATGCAAAATTTTAACTGAAGTGGATAACTTAATCCAACCTAAGTGAAGAAAAAAAATGATATATGTTTCAAAATTAAAAGTCTTGTATTTTATCATTGTGCTGTTTTGCGAAATGTTGTTCCTGATGTAAACGTTGCTGTAACACAAGAAGAAACTGTTGAAATTATATCTGTAAGTCATACAAAATGAAATGGTTTATTTTCTACTCTTGAAAGTAACAAAGGAAAAAGAAAAGTTATTGATCCATTTCAACATGTTCGTGACGAAATTTCTCCATTTGCAGAAGACGTCGATAACGATAGCTTGCTAGTTTTTCGAAAATCATATATGTATAAAACTTTGAGTCAACTAGCAATAAAAGTTCTTTCTGTTCCAGCAACGTCCGCATTTGTAGAGCGTGTTTTCTCACAGAGTGGCTTTCTTATGCGTCAACATAGAACTTCAATGTCGAAAACAACTTTACAGATGCTATCAATGTTGAAATGTAACAGTCATCTTCGATGGAAGCGTTTAACTTTTCTTTATTTATAAGAAATATGTAAAACTGTTTTTACTTTTTTTGTACAATTAATTTATGAAAATGTTCTTATTTTTTCGTTACAATAAATATGTAAAACATTTTGTTTTTGTTTATGACAATTTTGAGAAATTTAGCCTTTTTTTTAATGAGATGTAATCTGCTGCAAAGATATGAATAGAGCAAAAAATTTAATGAGATGCATGAACGAATAAAAAATATCGATAGAGACGATATCTCTCAATGAACAGTATAACTGAAAATAGGAAAACGTTTTTACTATGTTGACCTGATTTTGGATACCTCTCTGCTATTTTTGGCTTGACTGGCCCTGCTCTGAACTGATCAAGTTAGGACTGGCGAGAGATATAGTCTATGAACAGCTATAATAGTATGAATAAGGACTACCCTATGAGGACGTCTTGTAAGAAATTTGAGGAACCTTTTACCTGTGTCCATTTCGAACAAAAATTACAGACTGAGACTTTTCATTATAGATACGGCTGGTGATTGTGCGTGCGAATAAAATATGGAACCTTTCGAGACGAAAGTCCGTTTATCTCGTTTTTATTTGGTGACTGATACCTTCGATGTTATTTGAAAGTATTTATTGATGGATGTGTAGGTGTGGATCTTTGTTTCCCACACCCTACACACCCGAGGCTCTTTAGTAAAGTCGAAAGCTATATTATGATATGCCTGATGCACAAATACACCCACCACGCCCTGGTAACAATGATATGTACAATAGTAAATGAGAAAATATCATGTTATCAAAATAATTCAAGTGTATTTAATAAATATGTTTACCAAACCATTCATACGGTATAATATCTCTTGAAAACTCACTAGACGGCATTCTGACAAAACAGAAGGAAACACCGTTTGTCCTGGAGCCGCCCTGCCTCTATTCACACACGCACACCCACACTCTTAATAATGGCCATAGTAAATAGAACACAGAGTATACATAGTGGATAGATATTTCCTTAAATATTATTATGAGGATAAAGCTAGTTTACTTCACTTCTTCCTATAGTTGTCGGGAATTTTACGAAAGTAACAGGATAAAAACTACTTTCCTTTTCTTTTCTTTTTGATTGGATATTTCAAGTATCACTCATCATTTTTCTGGGAACAGTCTAACAGTAAAACAGAAAAGTAGTTTAGTTTATTTCTTTTTCTTCTTTTGCTTATTGTAATAGTTGCCGAAGATTTTAGAGAAGCAGCAGGATGAAAAAGATGCTTCCTTTTTCTTTTTCTCAGTTGGTTATTCTGAGTATTGCTTGAGCTTTTTCTGAGAAAAAACTAAAAGGTTAGTGTGACGAACATAGAGAGTGTCGCCTATGCCCGTCGGCATGATGGTGTATTGTGTCATCTGCACATCTCTAGTCGTGCATTTCCTTTAGTTACATTCCCTTAATATACGCGAAAGCGATCACACTTGGGCGGATATAGACAAAGACGGAACGGTCACGCAATAGAACAATGAGAGTTCATCAGGTCAATGCACAAACATAGGATACAGCGAAGAGGATAAAGTACATAAAGTGAGCCGTAACGGTAAATACCGTTACAGTTAGTATTGCTTAGTTTTGCCTATCATCATTGAGCTATTCTGAAAATGAACAGGCATTTTATTAGAAAAAAATCAAATAACTTAGTTTCGTGCTCTTTTTTTCTAATAATTAGGCCAATGTTTTGTCCACTTGGTCTCAGAAAAATCTGAAAATGTATTTTAATTTCTTTTTCTTTGTTTCTTTATCCTATAAAGTCTTGCGCATTCTATAGTGGAAATCTAATTAGAAAATCAACGTTGCTTTGCTTTTCTGCATTTTATTATTCCGAGAGGTGTCAAATATCATATTGGAATGAACCGAATAAGCAGTAATGTCAAATCTGAAGGTTGAATTCAGCTATTCAATTGGGTGGTTGAAAGTTTAAAAATTCGAGGTTTTCATAGATTAGCTATTACTGCGAGATATAAGGTATGCATATACAAGAAATTAATGAATTCTGACATTGACATGCGCAATAATTCATTTATTGACTATCGATACTCATATTTTCAACTGTTGCGCGTCATACACGACTAATGTTTTCTATTATCATTCGTCTTTGAAAATCACCTTATCGTTGAAATTAAAAATATTCCATTCGCTCTGGGTTCATATTTACTAGTAATCTTGTATGAGGAGGCCAAATGACGATTTAGCCTTCAAGTCACTATAGCATATCAGATAGTTATTATCCTATGAAAGTTCAGCAAAGGGGAGACAGCGAACTTGAAGTGGAAAAGTAAATAAAAGTACAAAACTAACTTCAAGTTGATTAATGTATGCCAAAGTAGTACCAAGCACATTTAAACTAGAGAGAACTAGTTCTAAGTGCATATGGGGTGTGGGTATATACTGTTTACCGTCATACCCACCCTTCACTTTTCTTTTGGTCATCTTTCAAATTGAAACACAAAAATCCATATGAAAATCATTTAAAACTTTTTTGTTGTCATGACAATCTTGATGAAGGTAACATTTTTCTTATGAATGTGTAACAACAGAAATGCAATAATGCTCAGCTCTGCCTATTCGTCAGTTGCAGTGTAAGTTATTTCATGAAGATGACTCACTCTTACCGACATGACTTTCTTTGTCAACGCATGCAAAGCGATCGAGTAGCACAAAATTTCCATGTTGGAATTTACTTTTTTTGCTTTCTTTGACTGGTTGCAGACTTGCATGAAACAAATTACGTATCGTTCACATATCGAAGGGTGTTCTGCGATTTCCAACATCATAATCGTAACTATTGCTTCAAGAAAGTGGCCAACGATTACTTAAGGGGTTCCCCCTCCCCCCCAGAAAATCGATTTTGAGATAAGCATATATACTGAGAGCTCAAAGTGTCCTCTTTCAGATTATGTGCGATTTGTCACGCTTTGAATAGTTTTTGGCGGTGAGAATAGCGGCGTTCTCGAAGCAGTAGCAGAAATATATGGTTTTTTCAGAAATTTTCCTTAGTTACGGGGATATGATATTGGTCCATAAACTGGTAGATTTTATCTAATGAGAAACAGATACGCGTTCTGTTATATTAATTAATTAGTGGAACGTAGTCATTTCTACTTAAAATCCTGTGCACATGATGAAATTTTCCTATAAATGTCGTGACAGTCATAGTGAAATGAAAAATTGTTTCATACAACTTGTTTATTCATTTTCTCAAAATCACTTTTTTGGAGAGTTCGGAACCGATTTCTCAGACTGTAGAAGAGCTAGCGAGCTACTTTCTTTTTAAATAAAAGAAGAAACCTATGTCTAGAAATGCACATACCGTTTTTCGAAATTCGATTTCTTTGCCGAGATAACTGGATTATACTGATGTGAAAAAGCGCTAAATTCCGAGTTCTTGTAGTAGAATGTCTCGAAAATCCGAACAAAATCGAATTTCGAAAAACTGCTATGTGCATTTCTGGACATAGGCTTCTTCTTTTATTTATAAAAAAAATAGCTCTCTACGTCTTTGGTAGTTCGAGAAATCGGTACCTTATGAGAACCACCATTTTGGGGACTAATTTGTCAATAACTCTTTAAAACAAAAGCTTTATGAGCCAAAACTTTGCAATCACTTGAGTTAGCGCAACATCCATATTGTCTAAAACTTTCAGACAAATCGGCCCACGAATAACGAAAAACGATTCCTGAGAGGCGGAGACCCTTAATAGAGATTTTTAATAATGACTCAACGTAAACAAGATCGATTGGAAGAAATCGCTCAACGCAAACAAAATCGATTGGAAGAAATCGCTCAACGCAAACAAAATCGATTGGAAGATATAGCTCAACGCAAACAAGATCGGTTGGAAGCAATAAACCAACGAAGTGAGGATCGATTAGCAGCAATATATCAGCGAAGGCAGGAGCGTCTTAGATATAAACCAGCAACTGGCCTCGAGCGAGAATATGACGAGCCTCCCACGACATCTCTGGGTGTTTTTGATGGAATTAATACTGGTTCGCTATCTTATTCTGCTCAAAAAAGTGAACCATTTTTGCCAACAAGATTGAACATTTGCTCTCATCTGTCGTTGGCCCGTGAATTCACTGCATCGCTAATGTGGCCTTCTACTATATTTGATACAAACTTTGACCGATGTTACTGTTCTTCATGTTACAACTATAAATGGAAAAATGTCGTGCATGCTGGTGGTTGGCCCTATGTTATACCGCGGGACTGGGTTCGTCTTGGTCTCAAGGTCGATTCTGTAACAGCAGAATTGAACGACATTTGGAATTGTTGGCGAGTGACTTATCATGGAACATCGAAAGAAGCGGCAATATCTATTATAAAAAGCCGTCAATTTAGTATTCCCGGCGATCAACTGCTTGACGGTTCATTTCTTGCTATTCGTCCTGGACATATTCCACGAAAACGGCACGTTTATTCCTCACCAACTATAGCTTATTCAAGCCTTCCTGTTTATTGTCCCGTTTATGACTTCGCTACCGATACAAACGAACGGTATCGTGTTAAAATGGTTCTTGAATGCCGACAAGATCCAAAATTAATGCATATTCAAGGTGAAACGGTCGGAAGTGGTTCAACAAGAATATGTCCCTATATTACGAATGACGAAATTGAATATTTCACTGAAGCCCGAGCTTCACTTGTGGCTTACGGTTTACTACTTCACTTTGAATAGTAATCTTAGCAGCACATGATAACTGAGCCATTTCGATTTAATACCTATAGCTCAGTTCAGTGTGGAATGCATCTTAATAACATGCATTATTGTGTTGAAATATTTAGAATAATAGAAGTTTTCAATTATTGGTTGAATTATTATGATTTGTTTCATATTGTTTTGAAAATTTCACTGATCTGCTTATAGTTAATACAGCGTGTGAGTGTGGGTTTCAGTATTTTGTTAGTTATACCCACACCCATCTTGTTTTCTTTTCAACCGACTTCATGACGCAAATGAATTACAAAGTAATTCAAAATAACTGAATTATATACTAATTCTCTACCAAATATTTTCTATTAATGTTGGTGTCAGAGTCTATCAGGGTCTACCAGGGTCTATTCGGATCTATCAGGCTTTACCAGGGTCTACTACAGTCCTAAAAATATTTGAACTACGACATGTGTGTTCTTGCTGTGTACACCCTACATCACACCGACACTACCGTGCATGATGTGTGTGTGTGCTCTCGCTGTGTATACCCTTCGGGACACCCGCACTATCGTGTATGATGCATGTGTGTATGCCGCTGCTCTTAACCTCCTTCCTCACATCCACACTTTGGTAGAATCTGACACCAATATTAATAGAAAATATTTGACAGAGAATTATTACATAGTTCATTTATTTTGAATTACGTTGCAACTCATTTGCGTCATCCAGTGTTTCAACCATTCTTATGCATGGCAGAGAAACGAGTACCCAGTCAGACAAAAAGCAAAAACTAACGGATAAAAAAGCGTCGAAATTTGAACGAAAAAAAAATCATAAAAACCGCACATTTTTGGATTTTGTTTTCGTTAAAGCTTATCAATGCGTTTTATTGCGTTCAAAACTTTAACGCATTAAAACGCATAAATTAACTTTAAAGAAAAAAAATAAAAAAAAGGATTTTTGATGATTTTTATTTTTCGCACAAGTTCATTAATGCGCTTTAACTCTTCAAGAGTTTATTAACTTGTTTTTTCTAGTTTCTCTACCTGAGATAGCTAAATCTTTTGGAACTTACTGCATTGTCCTAGATTCGGGGTGTGGGTATGGGTTTGTTTGCAGTCTTCTCTACGCCCTCACCCACGCCGGCGTCGCGACGCTGAATAAACTTGGTGCCCTTTACTGCCAGAGCGGTGCCTTCCGTATGGCCATGACGTTTTTTGAATGAACTCTTGAGATCCAAAAGAAAGTCTTACCGGTAAATCACTGGAAATCGGCAGAACCCACTCGAATATGAGTTACTGCTGTACACTCTGTGGGCAAAAGCGAGAAGCCGAAGAATTTGGCTACAAGACGAAGAGGATAAAAGAAAAATCATCGGCATCGGATCACCTGTCAGTTGCCTTCACCCACAAAGGTCTTGGACTCGCATAGTTGAGAGCGGGAAAATTGGATGAGACACACTGAAAAAAAAAGCACTCTACGAAACTTAAAAGAGTTCCGAGATTTGCAACGAATTCGAAACCATTTTTCTTTATCATACGGAACATTCGAGGTTCTTCAAGGGTTTCGTAAAGTCTCACAAAACCCTTAAAGATATCGGAGACTCCGACACAGGTTTCGTGAGACTATACGGAACTTGGAAGGTTCCGTACGACATCGCAAAATGGTTTCGAATTCGTTGCAAATCTCGGAACCCTTTTAAGTTTCGTAGAGTACTTATTTTTTTTCAGTGCATACAGCACTTCAGATGAAGCTATTGGAGTGTTTGAGAAGAACTATGCCCCAGATGATCCAATCCTGCAGGAAACAAAAGAGGGTAGAGACTCGATCAATTTTTAGCACATCCTCCAAGAGACTGTTGGTTCATCAAGCCCTGTATTGAATGGGTGTGATCTATCTATTTACGTAGCGCGTTCAAAACGTTTTCGGAATGCTTTTACTGCAAAACAATAAGAAGCACGGCTGTATTTACTTTATTGTCTGTGTATAATTCATACAGTTTTCTATCTATAGCCATCATAAGCTCAGTTGAATTAAGCATATAAACGAAAATATAGAAATACATTTTAGACCACTCTATATCTACTGGTAGAAAATCAAAATTTTTGAGCATCGTCTGGTGATAAAATCCTTTCTCATGAAAAGAAAAGCATTAGTTAATATTTATGAATGTAGAGCGATAGTTTACGATGATTGATTCTCTATCTTGAGAGTGTGAGAACAGTTGTCATAATCTAGATTTCACTTCAGCTACGACGATCAGCAGATAGCTGTCTGTGAGTTTCAATTCAAATTAAAAAATAACAACAATCAAAATTAAGATCTAATTCAAAACTGTTATACATTAATATTGGATTGTCAGCAAAGTGTTTGTATTTTCATTTTTTTTCACTACAAAAATGCAACTAAGTCTCCATAATGTATGCTCCATTACTGTCTATAACTTGTTCCCAATGTTCTGAAGAAGAAGGGTGTGGTAATAAATAGTCAAACCCACACCCTCAAATTCAAGGTTCCTTTGGTATAGAAACTTTGATTTTCAGTTCGGATCACTTAAATGAAGCAGCAATGCATATAGCCAGATCGATTGCGACTGCAAAGAATAAAGCGAAGAGTGATAACTTCCCATGATTGACTATATGTAATGTGATGCTAATTTTCAAATGGAAAAACTGACCATAACAAGTCTTTTTGATTTCAATTTAGTTCAACTGATTTAACGGTGTGAGGGTTGGTGAGGGATAAGTAGAGAGTAGGTCTTTGTAGGAATTGAAACTTTTGTGTGAATCTCAGGAGGAAAACATTAAAAAGCATAAATTAGAAACCAACTCTCGGTCTCCGAACAAAAATAAACAAATAAATTCGTTTACACGAGAAACAAAACATTTATGTCAATAATCGAATTTTTATCTCTCTTGAAAATAGCTGATTAATACAGTTAAAATGAAAACCGACATCATTCTAGTGCTCATTTTTGTTAAACCAATCGATTAACAATCGTTGTCGATCAGTTGGCACAGGAGCACGCTGTGTATTATTTTTGTCGCCAATATGTTCTACACTCCATCCTGGCCATTCACGAAATGCATGATAAGCCCAGTCCCATCCATTTTCTTCGAAAATATCAATATTGTCCCGTAAATAAGCATAAGCACTATCACCGGGCGCCCAACGAATAGCAGAAAATTCGCCCACATATATATGAACATTGTAATCACGTTGCCAATTGAGCACACGATTCAAATTGTGACGTAATTGTTCTTTATTCCACATTTGACCACTGATGACACCCGGATATGAAATAGGTGGAATATCATTATAGACATTCTGATGGGTAAATTCACCAGGTTCATACATGTGAAATGAATAAACAATTTTCTCAAAAGGTAATGGTTCAAAATTAGCCAGAGCACCAGGTCCACCCCATGGAGCTGCTTCAATAATAATTGCATGTTGTGAATCAATAGCACGAATACGTTGAACAGTGACAATTGCTAACTCGCGCCAATCCATCAATGTATCTGGCATTGTACCTTCGACTGGTTCATTGACTAGATCATAACCCCAAATAACTGATTCATCTTTGTAGCGTCTTGCTATTTTTTCCCATAACGTAAGAAATGCATCTTGAAAACGTTTCTCTTTAAATAAGTTGCACTCGTTTTCAGAGTTACGTCCACCGGGTGGCGTGTGCAAATCAACAAGAATATGTATGCCCAGTTGACGACAGACGGATAACATTGAGTCAAGATGTTTGAGTGCACTTTCAAGCCATGTTTCATAAGCAGGAATGTCACCATCATCTGCTGGACTATGAGGAAATCCATTCCATAGCAATTGCCAACGCACATGATTTGCATTCCAGCTAGCAAAATCTCGAAAATCTTGCTCCTGAAGATTAATACCAATCATTGCACCTCGTAAACGTGTCAGATTATGACCTTTATAGGGTGGTCCAGCTGGTGGTGTAGGTGGATGAGGACGTGGTTTGCTATAGACAGTAACGTTTAGATCATCAAACCATACCGCACCAGTCACAGCTTCCAGACCAAGGGCAAGTATTGCTTGGTCTGTATCAAGAGGAACATTGGCTACATAATCTGCCATACGCCAATCAAAAGTTCCCTGTGGTAGATTTTGTTGTGGATACGTGTCACCGCTTGACCCTTTCGTATGGAGCATAATTTTGATGCCATTCCATGAGTTGGGTGGCACACTAATATTTTCAGCTTTGACAGCTGCTTGAATTCGAATTTTACAACCACGTAACGTAGAAGCTGGTAATGTGATTTGAACCCATGTTGAAGGACTATCTAATTGTTTGCGGTCTGTACGTAGTGCTGTACTACCTCTCTCTGTTGTTACTAGCTGTACTAAAGGTCCAAGAACTTTATTCCAAGTTGCTTGCTCGGTAATTCCATCAAAATTGTGCTGTACAATTATGTCACCTTTGTTGATGGCACTGACGATCACACATGCTGTTAACAATGTCAACAACAAAACAAAACAAGTCACTTTCATCTCACAGTAATGATTATCAAATATACTCTTATTACTACTTTGTTTCTTCCTATAATAGCAGTGAATCAATCAATCAATCAATCAAGAAAGATTATAAAGTAATATGATATTTGAGAAGTATTGACAAATAGGTACTCATATCAATTTATTCAAAAAATTCAATTTGTTTCTTATCGACTGGCTTCACAATGTAAGATGAATACACTATGATCAGTTTAAGTTTCAATCAACCCATGGATGAGTGAGCGTATTAAAAGTGAATGAAAGAGACTTGCACCTACATCCAGCTCTTTTTCTTTAATACCAATTAGCATAATGGGATACAAAAGGTTGTTGGTTCTATCATTATGTCCACTCCTCATCTAATGCTGGATGAGTGTTTACAATTAAAATATCATCTAACTAAGTCTTAACTAGGGGTGTCAATTTCACCGATGATCACAAACGTATAGTCACGAACTTTAAAGTGGAACCCTGATTCTTAAGAAAAAATACCTAAAGGAATGGAAACCCTGACACCCATGGTCTTAACTATGTTCATTTGATCAGCGTTGCCTAACATATCCACTAACATTGACCCACAAGAACAGAATTATTCCAAAAATAAAAATAAAAAACTAACTAATTCGAACGTTAATTAAAACTAAAGCGAGGGAGCAGATTTCGTATTCACCTTAGGAAAAAGCTACTTACATATTGAAACAAAAAGTATCATCGATGACACCTATCGCCAAGGTCAAGACCGTGAACATCGTTGCTAAGATAAAACAAATCTCATTTCCAAAAAAAGTAGGCTGTAAATTTATTTGTGATCTTCTGATCATCTGATGAGTTCCCTTAAGCATGGACGAAACCGGTCGAGGTTGCTTAAAAACGCACCACACTCTTCATCACACAGTCTGTTGATGTGACAATAGTTACATTAGCGCCCTCTTCCAATTCTCTATTCGATTCGTTGAACTAATATCCTATGATTAGATTCACATGCTGGACATATGGGACATATGTTTGATAAGGATAGAATAGAAGTAGTTTGATTCAATTTCTTTTAGTATAATTGTCATGGCTCAAACGAAAAAATCTGTTAGTGAATTTATCCAAGATGCATTTTGCCCAATGGTTTCTGTTCTATGCAGTTATGATGCTGAAACAATTTGTCGAAAAAACAATTTAACATTTGCTGAATTAATTCAACCATTTTGTCGTCTTCCATCTGAAGGTAAATCATTTTAACAATTTTCTTTAAATCTTATTCGATTATTTCTTTCTAGTTGGTTACCGTGATCCATCGAATAATTTGATTGTATTAAAAAATTTACGTCTTGAAATAAAAGATTTTAATTCTTTACCTCCGCAAAATACTTTAGCAAAAAAAATACTAAATGATTCTGTATCAAATGCATTAAACAATGTAACAACGAATAATGAACGTGAAATTCATTCAGAACAATATCAATTACATATAAAAAGTACAATAAATATTGATCACAATTTCTCGATAAAATTTTCTTCTGAAATTCTAGATACAACACCTTGGTTTGATGCTTGGCGAGATTGTTTTTTACGTATATCATACGGGGGAGATCATGAATATCTTAAAAATTATCTTGCATGTAAGTTCAGCGATAGAAAAAAAAAACTCTATGAGATTGATTATTTCGAATCAATAAACAGGTGTTATGGTTGTATCAACATCGCATCTCGATCCCATGGATGCATTTTCTAAACTTGTTCAACAACAAAGTCTTCAACAGCAACAATCACCAGCAAAATTACCAAAATGGTTTATGCCGAATATATATAAATATTTTATTTTATTGCATGATGTTACTGAAGGCGAAGAATCCAAGTAAGTTGATATCGTTCATTCTCTATATACTTATATGTTTCTTACAGAATTATAGTACGAAAGTAAGACACTTTTTTTATTTTTGTTTTGGGAGAAAGAAATTTTGATTTCATCATGATATTTGAAGGAGCGAAGATCTTTTTGGGATGAATGAATTATTATTTTCAAAGATGACTTTATGATTTAATTTGTGTTCATTTCGAAATTCTTTATTATTTCAGAGCTGTATCCGTTTTTGGTGATCTTAAACAACAATATGGTGCTGGTAATTGTCATCTCTTACAAATCAATTCTAAGCGTGCTGGTCAAACAAGTAGTGATATCAATGAAGCGATGAATATGCCAGATCCATGGCGTCTCTATGTTAAACAATCTTCATCATCGAATCAAAAACAATCACAAACATTATCAAACAAAGATAGTTCACTCAGTGATTCATTATCAAATTTAACCGACCTTATTGATCAAGAATTGAATCTGACTAGTATGATATTTACTAGTTTTATGAAAATTTTCTATGTATACATTTCGATTTCTAGCATCCATCAGTCACCCATTAGGCTCATTTAATACCTCAATTAGTGACCTACCAGCAACAATAGATGAAGGATATGATGGTTCATCGACAGGAAATATATCTACAGTTATTCATGGTGCTTGTTTAACATTAAGTGATCATGATAGAATTCATGTCTTTATGTAAGTCACTTCGGTTCATAATCATTGATTAATTAATTTAATTATTTAGGCATGAGTTTGTTACAAAAGGTCTTCTGCCATGGGTAGAAACAAATTTAAAAACATTTAATGAACAAGTATAAATAATAACCGTTAAAATAAGAACACTTACCTGATTTCAATCTAGATAACTTCACGACGTGGTATAAAAAAAATTTTTTCCATGCCAAAAAATTTTTTCGGCGGCGGTAGTACATCTGCTTCTAAAAATCAACCATCAACAACTTCGACAAAGTAATTCATTTATCTTATGTTTACCAACTTTCTTTTTACTTTAAATTATATTGATTAGTTTAAGCAATGATTCGATGGAAGTTGTTTTTCGTCGTGCAGCCGATTTAGCATTTCTTTTTCAACACTACGAATTAGCTTATACAAATTACCATGCAGCTAAACGAGATCTCTCACGTGATCAAGCACCAACATTTTATGCTGGCGTTTTAGTAACGAATTTTGTTTTATGTATTTTTTCAAAATAATTCTTTATATTTTGAATTAAGGAAATGTGTTGTATAACAAATTTTATGCAAGAATCAGCAACTAGTAGAACTTATCCAGCACAATATATGGACGATGCTATTGAACTCTATACAGTTACATGCAGGTAGTTAAATGAAACACAACAATTAATTATCCAAATAAATGTCGTCATTTCAATGGTTTAGATTACCGATATTTGCTACACGTTGTGCACTTGTATCAACTGAGATATTGAAAGCTAGAGAATCCTACGATGCAGCTGTACAACAATTTCTCAAACTTTCCCAAGAAGTAAATATATTATATGAAATCAAATTTCTGTATTTTATTTTAAAAATAATTATTTTAGGATTCCGATTTACGTGGTGCTCTTTTTCTTGAACAAGCAGCACATTGCTTTCTTAATTATCGACCGTCTTATATAAGAAAATATGCATTTTATATGGTCATTGCTGGACATCGATTTCTCAAAGCTGGACAGGTTGTAAAAAATAGATTTCAATTGAGAAATTTCGTCATGAAGATTTTTTCTATTTTTAGCGTTTACATGCTCTTCGTTGTTATAATGATGTTCTCGAAATATATGGCAAACCAAATTGGTCATTAGCTTTTGTAATGAAATATAGTTGACAGCCTTCTATTTTTACAATAATTTTCTTTGCATTAGGATCATATCAATTTTACATTGGGCAAACAAAGTGCTTCATTAAATCAAGCAAATGATGCTATACGAAGTTTTAATGCATTATTTGCACCAAATAATCGTATACAAAATGCTCAACAACAAATTAATTTCTTTAAAGAATACTTAACTGTATTCAATGTAACTTAAGTTTATTCATAAAACTTTCTAAATATATGTTTCGTACTATTTTTTAGCAAATCACAAATTCTGAAACCATTCTACCTGAACTACCCGTTCCACTAGTAGAAAATACAACAATTAAAGTTCTTCTTGCTGGTCATCATAAACCACAAATGGGTTTGTTATTATTTCTTTTATCATAATAAACTCTGCACATCCACTTTTAGGTGGTCATGTGTCGAATTGTAATGATTTTGATTTTGATGAAACCCGAGAAGTATGGTCAGATCTTGAACGAACAATAACTGCGCATGACCGTCGAGCTAGTGGTACTCGTACACAACTAAATTTATTTACAAATCGTACACATAATCAACAACATCCTATAGCTGTTGCTAATGGTTTGTAAATCTTAAATCAACAAAAAACACAGAGAATTCTATTCTTTTTCTAGAAACTATACGCATTGAATTGTACGTAAGAAATACACTTCAAGTTCCATTGTTATTAAGTGAAGTACAAATCTTATGGAAATTTTCATCTAATGGTTGGAAAAGAAAAACCAGTGTATCAGCAGAAAGTCCTGAAGAATGGAAAGAATATACTAATGATACAGCGACAAAACAAGTAAGAATAAAACATGGAATTTTTGAAAACGAACTTTCATGCTTTATTTAGACGGATCAACCTGTTGAATGTGATATTCTCAGTGATTGTGTTATTTTTCCAAATGATACTTCTAAAGTAAATTCTAAATAATTTCAGAACTATCATTTTCGATTTTTAAATAATTAAAGATCGAATTATCATTACGAACACATCGCCCTGGTAATTTGACAATATTGGGCATATGTTATCGTCTTAATATTCTTGTACAAAATATAAGCGATCAAACAACGTGGCCATATGGAATAATGGGCAAAACATTATTTCATGTTAAAGGTGTTCGACTTAATTCAAATCGCCGCGAGCGCCTCAACACAATCTATGCTGTAGATAACCGATTAGAAATTCAAGTTGTACCCGAAGCACCACTTCTTCATGTAAGATGCTTTTCTTCCACATTTCATTATTTTCACTGAAAATATGGTTTGTCTTTTAGATTGAATTTTCTCCTATGCCTGCTGCCATGTTCTGCGGTGAAGTTCAATCTTGTTTAGTGCATTTAATAAATACAAATACAATGCATTCGATAACTCGTGTTCGATTAATCACAAGTCAACCAAATCTAATAACTGTATCATCATTGGATGACACTTCTTTATTAACATACACCAATGAATCCCAATCTCTATGGAATCATACATTACATCAGCATTCATCAGTTTTAACTCTTGTTAATCATCACCATCCATTATTAGCAAATTCAACACGAACAATACGTTTATGGTTGCATGCATCAAATCTGGCTGGTGAAATGAACATTGATTTCTTATTTCTTTACGAATCGGATGTATTTCAACAGCCATTAAGGTTATTTTTTTTTCACTGGCAAAGATGAAATAATATCAAACATAAGGAACCTACATCCTCATGTTTGAATTATTTCAATAAGTTTTCTATCGAATAGAACAAAAAATGATAAACTTTAATCTTTAGACATCGAACAGTAAAACATTCATCATTATTTATAATCACTCATTCTATTGGTTTTCATACTCAATCCGAATCAACTGGACTCGGCGAACTTACTTTACCCGTTCAAATAGATAATCAAATGACTGTAAGAGTCTCTTTTTTGCTTTTTTTTGGCTCTATTTCGTTTCTATTTCTATTAGACACCAAATTCATTGACTGTTAATGTTCAACAACTTTCATGTATTAGTAAACATTGGAATATAAAAAATCTTTCTCCTAAAACTCCAAGTAAAGATGAATTTACCAAAAAAAGTCAATTCTTCGTTATTTTTTTCTTCATATTTCTATAGACGGTATTCGTTATGGTGAAAATTTATCTCTTCTATTCAAATGTACACACCTCGAAAATGACAATGATTCATTACAAATGAAACATATTTATTTAGGAAATGATGAAAAAAAAACGGATCAATATGTAAATCATCATTTTGTTTTCGACAGGAGAAGTTTTGAGAAAAAAAAAACGTTATTTTCTCTTAGGTTGACATAAGTAAAAATCCTATGGGTGATTTATTTCGTCATTTTATATCAAATCTTGATTACACGCATTCAGCACATCGGCATAAAATCATAGCTCCCGTACCTATACCTTCTATATCTCTTGTACTTCTTTGGCAAATAGCTATCGCAAATCAATTAGGACAATATGAAATTCGTCATGGTTTACATATGATTTCACCCAAGATTGACATTCCTCAAACAGAACCAGAAACAAATGATACAATACAATATGAATTAATTTATTCATCGGTTGTTGAACATAAATTTACAAAAGTTTTAAATTTGCCTGTTGAATTAAAATTATTTAATCGGGCTAATAAAAAATTTCGATTACAATTACAATTAACAAGGTAAATTTTAAAAATAATTTTTTTTTCTGAAACAAAAATATAAATTTGTTTTGTTTTTAAAGAGCATCATTAGATAGCGATCCAGTTCTATCATCATGCTGTTTATGGTCTGGAATGACAGAACAATTTATTAATTTATCAGCATATGAGCATTTATCATTAAATTTACGGGCATGCTTTTTTAAACCAGGATTTTATTCATTGGGAAATATATCGTTAGCAATAGTTGATAAAATTAATTCTACGACTGTACCGATCAAATCGAATATACATAATTATTTTGTTGATATTCGAACATTAGTATAAATGTATCTCTTCTTTTCCTTTTTCGATCCTTGAAATAGTCATGCTCTATTTAAAATTTTCTCTTCAATATTTTGTGTTTCCTTGTCTATTCTTATAATATGTTCACTGTTTCGTATTTTTATTTATATCGGTCCAATGAAGTGAAGTTTAAATCAGTATAATATCAGGTGAACATGATTATATAATGCACATCATTGGATTCACAGGTACTTATTCGAATGTCATCTCCACTATAAATTATACATAAATAGTTTTAATAAAAGATATAATTATATAGTGGCTTGATTCAAGATAACCATCTCAATCTATTCATTTGCCGGAAACGTTTTTAGTATCCTGCATTGTCAAGAAAATAGAGCTTTTTGAGTTCTATCAACGGTTTGTACCTTTGAGCTATCTAATTCTGGATATTACAATATGTGAACTAATTAAATTGAGATGATTAATAATTGCACAATATTCTGAAATTTATTCGTACAAAAATAACATTGTTTTTGTCATTCTTGCACAATATTTACTTAGAGTTAATGAATTTTAAGTGAGAAACATTTTTTACTCTTAAAAACTATGCAAAAGTACTTCACAATATCAAATATAGATAAAAATCTCTTCTTTAATTTGCATAAATAAAATCCTAGATTTTTGTTTATTTAAACCACAACCATAACACCGATATGAAAAACTCGAAATAGAAAAAATTGCACGTATCTATCCTAAATTTGAAGAAAAGCGAACCCACGAAATTTTTTCGTTGCTCATCGCCGGGCTTGTTCAAGTGAAGTTTTAATAGCTGTAGATAACCAGTCGATTCCATCAGCTATACCATCGCCTTTAAGTGCATTGCTAGAACAAATATGCCAAGATTTATTTATAATTCCATCGAGACCTAATGCAGATGATACACCAACATCTGATAGAGCATCACGTAAATCCATTTTATTAGCAAAAATTAATATCGGTATATTTCGTGAATATATATCGCGATGTGAAAGTAATTGTTGTAGTTCTTCACGAGCAACCAGTATACGTGTTCTATCTGAACTATCCACAACAAATATGATACCGTTTGTTGAGTGATAATAATTAGTCCACATTGTTCTATAACGACTTTGTCCACTCATGTCAAAAGCTGTAAATGAGACTCCTTGCCGTGAAAAATGTTCCACATTGAAACCAACTGTCGGTGCAATATCGCTTGATTGTTCATCAGTTGGTAGAAGAAAATTTAAGAGTGAAGTTTTACCACTATTGTCAAGACCGACAACTAACACGCTGGCTTCACGTCGTCGAAGACCAAGCCATTCGATTAATGCATCAAGTAGACCCATACATTCAACAATCAACGGATGGATTAAATATTGATTTAGATTAAAAGAAAAACTAGATGATGGTGTATTGACGAAATACTCTATTGCTTAGATACAACCATCACCATCATACATATTTCATACCATAGAGGTCACCTATGGTATTAACGAAAAGAAAAGATGTAAAAGAGAGAGAGGACACACAAAGTGAAGAGTGGTGGTAAAGCGAGGACTGATATTTGGATAAGCAAATGGCATTATTAAAAATTAGAATATAAATTTATATATATTTTGAATATTCTATAAAGATAACAAATGATAGTTTTATATTGTTTTTTTGTTGATAGAATTCATTTAGTTTTTCATCTCAAAACATTCTTCAAAATGACTACATATATTTTGCATTCAAAACTTTCTATACATCTGTTATCTATTTTTGTAGATTCTTTTCATTTATTTGCCATCTAATGGCAACACAAGATGCTCACATGGCAACTGAAGATTGTTGCAGTTCAACAGTAACCATAACCGAAACGGATCAGCCTGTTCGTCCACATTCACCAACGCTTATACTCGAATTACATCGTCCAATTGAAACAGGTCCACGAGTTCGTTGGTCCGAAGGCACTGTCGATAATGAATACATGAATAAAAAGAAATCCAAATGTTGTTGTATCTATACGAAACCACACGATCCGCAATCGCACGATGATAAAACAACTGAAGTAGATGAATATGATAATTGTCAACATTGTCGTTTTCATACTGAATCGGATTTCGCTGCTAAACCGGACGATCGTCAGCCTAAAATAAAAGTAGTTATCGGTAAACCTAACTAATCTTTGTACATTTACACGTAAAAAATTCGACGAATCAAATGTTTTGAGAAAAAAATCTTTGTCTTTTTATTTATACGAAAGAAAAAAATATCTAATATAAAGTCATGCCTCTATTTTTTCCCCTTGTAGATTATCTCATTGTTTTTAGTTGATCATCATCATCATCATCTAACATCATGGGTCGCGTTCGTACGAAAACCATTAAGAAAGCATCACGTCAAATAATCGAAAAATATTATACAAAATTAACGCTCGATTTTCATACAAATAAACGTGTTGTTGAAGAAATAGCTATTATACCAACAAAACGTCTTCGAAATCAAATAGCTGGTTTTATTACACATTTAATGAAACGTATTCAAGCTGGACCAGTACGTGGCATTTCAATTAAACTTCAAGAAGAAGAACGTGAACGACGAGACAACTATGTACCTGAAATTTCAGCACTTGAAGCTCAAAATATGATCGCTATCGACCAAGATACCAAGGATATGTTGAACGCATTTGACTTCAAAACATTACCAAATGTTGCTGTTCAAGAAGCCAATGAACAACAAAATCAGCATGGCTCTGGTAATCAACGTTCAGGTGGTGATCGACAACAGGGTGGTTATGCTCGACGTGGCGGTTTTCAATAAAAAATAGATAACAAACGAAAAAGAAAATATTTTCAATCCTATTTAGTCAACAGAATAAGAACAATAAACGCGTTGTTTTGTTATGTTTTTGTTTTGTAATATCATCTAGACAATAAATGGGATTGAAATTTATAAAAACTAACTCAAAAATTATTTGAAAAAAAGCATAACAAAAAGAAAAATATTTATTCGATATTTGATAAAAATAGTCAAAATAAAAAAATTTTTATTTAGATTTATCAATATATATTTTTTAATGAATTCATGGCGAATTATCGAAAATTAAAAGTGCATGAAGTCGGAACAGATACTTACATTGACTATGACGCGAATGTGAGTGATTTTCTTTTTTCGTTTAGATTTCCATATCGTTGAATCTTATTTTTCTAGTTTCAACGAGTACCGTGCGCATGCGCTTTTCATCCTAGTAAGTTCTCTTTTATTTCTTTGCAAAGACTCACCTAAACTTCAATTTAAACCAAAAGGACATTCTTGTTTACAAGACTTTAGATTTAATTCCGTTTTTATATGTTCAATATTTCGAAATATGTTGAGATTGATTCGAACTATTATTTCTGTATTTGAAAACTATCATGTCACCTGAAACATTTAATTCTAGATGAGGTATGGCATGTAGTAATGAGAGATAATTATATCACAATGTCATTAGTACATACCAGGTGTCACAAAAGTTTTGTGACATTTTTTCTCTTGCAAATATTCTGATACGCAAATAACACACGATTCTAAAGTTCTCATCAGCAGATACAAAATTCAATTCTCTACAAACTCGTGTTAACTTTAATTTAAAACAATGAACCAAAAAGTATTTATTGGTTAATGTATTTGGCCCAGTAAATTACATTTATTTCCCACGCAATTTTTCGTCATGTTTTTTTCTGCTAAGAAACATTTAATTTTCAAAGTATAAATCACTGCTAGACACAACTCGAAAAGCTCTATCGATTGCAAACAATATAATGTTTTCTAAAACACATTTCTCTGATTAGACACTAGGTCAATTTTTTGAAAAAGTGACATTTTCATCCTCAATGCTAATGCTTTCGCAATGAAAGCTTTTTTAAATTGCAGTCATCATTAAATCGACCTAATTTTATCAGAATTTAATAGAGAATTGATTTTTTCTGGCTATGAGACGCTCAGATAAGACTTTATTTAAGTGAATCAGCTAAAAAAGATTTAAATCCTATGAAAAAAGCTATTTGTGCTTTAGATGTTCACTCAGGGGACTTATTTTTAATACACATATAGATTATTCTCAAACACTTATAGGCATTCCTGAAAATGCTCATGATGCGGAATCCAATTACAAGAAATCGAGCTTCTTAGATGCATTCTTAGAATTTGAAAAGAACGTTGGAAATATATAAAAGATTGAGTAGGAAATAATTGTTATTCGATGAGTCACATACATTAACCAATAAATATTTTTTGGTTCATTGTTTTAAAGTAAAGTTAACATTAGTTTGTAGAGAATTGAATTTTGTATCTGCTGATGAGAACTTTAGAATCGTGTGTTATCTGCGTATCAGAATATTTGCAAGAGAAAAAAAGTCGCAAAAATTTTGTGACACCCGGTATATGATTAAATTATTTTTAATTTTTACTTTTTACGACGGATGATTTCAACCACATTTTATTTTTAGATAATGACTTATGTGCGATCAGCTACGATAATGGTAAAATACGTATTTATTCAACCTATAACGATAACCTCAAATTAGTCAAAGGTAAAGTATATATATTTTAGAAGTATCATTAGAATTGGTTTCGGAAGACATGAAGAGTTGCTCTTGTTTTATTAAGCTATCTATAGAAGGAGAGAAATTTTAGGGCAAATCTAATTCAGTTTATTATACTTCACAATACCTTATAATGCTTTTTCTTTTCTTTACTTGACATTTACAAAGAAAAAGTGCATATTCGTGAAAGGGTAAACTAAGAAATCTTTGTTAGTGCTGTAATAAAGAAAAAGGATTTTTTTATATCATCCAGCTAAAAACAAAAACGACGTCGTACACATGCTTCCAAAATTACAAGCATATATCTATTGTTTACGGTAACGAATTATTGCAAGCCCATTCATTTAGTTTGTTTCAACTAGTAATTAAACTCTTATTTAGTATTCTTCTCAGATATGCCTCTCAGGTGGAAAATCTCAAGGAGTAAAAAATTATAAAACATAATTTTTCTATGTTCATGAAGTCAAAAGAGAGAAAAGAATCTCCTTTTTTTCCATTCGATGATGTGTTTATCTCTCTAGGAGAAAAAAAGTGAAACATTATTCTTCTCTAATACATCAGTAAAATCTTTTTCGGAGTCGTGCGAATTTGATTTTGTAATTTCTCGCATTTTTTCTCTTCTACTTCCTGTAGATCAACCTTAGATAATAGAATTTTTGACGCTGAGTAAAACTTCTTTAATACTTGACACGTTTTTTCATTAGAATTGACATGCCATTCACAATGTATATTTGCTATTGCCTGGATAAGCGATAGATTGTTATGTGCAACATCGGGTGACCAAACAACAGTAATTTATGATACTGAAACAGGTGGCGAAATAGATTTATTACGTGGCCATACCATGAGTGTACGGAGTGTATGTAAACTATACTATAGTACAAGTAATTTTCTTCACAATTATCGTTCTCTTCAGTCAAGATTACTATGAATTTTAGATGTTCTAGCAACAGGTGGCCGAGATTCTATAATTAATATTTACGACCGACGTTATTCAAAGAAGCGTAAGTACAATTTACATAGAATTTCCTATTTAAAAAAATTTTTTTTTCGATTATAGAAGGCGCTTTACATCCTATTAGTTCAATCGCTTGTGCTCATATAAGTTCGACAGCATTGCAAAAATCAGCACGAGTGAGTTGTTCTTTCAAATCATTCGATTGTTATTATTATTTTCTACTTTTAGAAAGATACACGTAGCGTAACAGCCGTAGAATTTCAAGATGAACATAATTTATATTCATGTGCTTGTGCTGATAGGTAAATTATGGATTAATATCATTTGTTCTTAAAGTGCGTTTTTGCTGTTTCTTTTATTAGTGCACTTAAAGTTTGGGACCTTCGTTATACATATTCACGTTTAAATACAAATCATACGCCCAAACCAAAGCGTATGCTTTGCGTACCCAATGATGATGTTAAATCAATCAATCGTCTCACCGGTTTTTCTGATATGAAAATGGATTCGAATCGAATGGTACTTTTTGCTAATTGTACAAATAGCAAAATATATCAATTTGATCTTCGCGAAGATGTTTATGTATCGTCGTCGAAAATTCAATCTTATACAGGACATCGTGTCGGGTCGTTCAATATTAAAATAGCTCTTAGTCCACATGATCAACTTTTATTAACCGGTTCTAGTGATTTTTATGCATATATTTATCGAGTAAGTCTTGAAACAGGGGATAAAGAAATTTCATTGGCCTATTCGTTGAGGATTAACTAAAGCAAAATGTTGTTCTTATATAAAATCTTCATTATTTATTTAGGTTAATCAACCACGAATAGAACCGATGAAAATCGAACATAATTTTGAAGAAGTAACTGCTATTGCTTATCATCCAACAAACCCATTTTCAGTAAGATTTAACTGCTGATAAATATAAGATTTATTATTTTCTTTATTTCAAATAGTTTATTACGTGTTCTGATGATTTCCAAGTTCGTCTTTGGTCACTATCATTGGATAATGAAATTTCCACATTGTCACCTTCATTACCAAATATCTATTCTGTAAACAATCAATCGCATAATATTGCTACACTTCTACGGCAACGTCAATATGGTTTAACAAATCGTAAAGCAATTCTTTCATCAGTCTTTCATACAGCTTATTCTCCAACACGTTTATTATCGTGTACATCCAAACGGAAATATTCTTTAGCAGATAAAACAATTTACAATAGTAGTCGAAAAAGAACGGTATCAGAAAATGATGAAAATCGTCGCGATAATACCAACGAACAAGCATCGAAACGTTTATGTCGTTCGTCCGAATGGATTTTTGATGATTCACAATTAACACTGTTTAAATCCATGTCAACTATTGATAATCGAACGTCAATTGTTGATGAACAACAAGCAAATTATTTATTATCGAAATCAGATGGATTCTTATCAAATAGTAATAATAATAATAATCGACGTTATTCATCAGATAAACAACAAACACTTGACACACTTGCAACTCTTGTTCTTTCCCAGTGAATAAGCAATTTCAGTCAGATACACTTGTATATATGTATTACTTTCTTATTCGATGTACATAAGTCAGATTTTTTTCTTCATATATATATATATATATTTTTTTTGTTTAAAACACAATTAATGAAATTCGGTCATATATTTCTAGATATCAATTTATATTTCATTCGAAAATGTCCACTTTCGATGCAAATAAAATAAATGATAGTCCATTTCGTCTTGGTTCCAGTGACGTCGATTGGTGTGAACCAAATTATGTTGTCAGTCAATATATAGCCGAATTTTGGAATACAGTATGTGCACATATATACAAATATTCTTTTTTTGAGTTCTGTGAAATGTTTGAACTTTTCTTACATAACCCGAAATAAATAACACTCAAATAACTCACACTGATATGATTATTTGTTATATTTGTATTACAGGCTAATATTCTAAATCGATTGGTAAAAGGTAATTCGTTAAACATTTTTTTTACTCTTGGGATTGCTCATTTTTACATATGTAAATGCATGATCATATGTTCCTATTTTTTATTTTGCTTATTATTCAGTATCGATTAGCTCGTTATGTTTTGAATTTAAAAAAAAAAAGATTAGATTAAGCCTATAAATATATTTTTTGTGTATTTGTGGACATTTTAGTTTTTGATATATTTACTTGTATTTAAATATATTTCTTCATTTTTTTTATTTTTGAGGTTTCCAATATATTCTTCTTTTTGGTTCCACCATTCTCGATTATATTATTTTCATCCTATTCAAGACGAATTGCAAATGGTATAACAGTACTTTGGCTTTTATTAATTGTTATTGGCATCGGTTCAATTTATTTTCATGCTACACTGAGTCTTGTAAGCCTTTTCTGTGAAATTAGAAAATCAGAACTTATCGAATTTCTTCATAGGCTGGACAGCTAATCGATGAAATATGTATTCTGTGGGTACTTATGGCAGGCTATGGACTATTTTTACCGGCAGTTTATTTACCTCAATCATTACGTGTTCAACGGTAATTAATTTTTTTAACTGCATTCGTAGAATATTCCGACATTGAATTGAGTCAATTTTAATTTAGAAAGCGATTTATCTACAGTTGCATTATGATCACTGTAGCCATAACTTGTCTTACAGTAGTTTATCCATATGCAAACTCATTTGCTCTAATGATTCTCGGTTTACCAGCAATTGGATTCATGCTTTTACATCTTTCGAGGTATGACGTCGACTAACATTGTCTTTTCATCATTATTATCATCATTCATTTCTTTTTAGATGCGATAATCGTCGTATTAAAAATCTTGGTATTCATTGTATAGGAATGTGGGTTGTGGCTGTTACGATATGGCTCAGTGATCGCATGTTTTGTTCATTTTGGATTTCAATCTCATTTCCTTATTTACATTCCATATGGCATGTAATAATTTTATTTAGTAGTAACGAAGCGATTGTTGTCTGTGCATATTTAATTGTGAAACATCAATATCCGCAGGCCAATCTTGTTGTACACGTATGGCCAAATGAAAATTGGGGTTGGTTTACTTTGCCATATTTACAATTTCACGATGATACAAATTATTTATCGTCATCGCCATCACCATCAACGAATAATCTCATAACAAAATCAATTGTTTAGAGTGTCCTGTATGTTTGTTCTGTGATATGAACAGGTCAAGTATTTTTTTCTTAATTTTATTTTTGCTGCCTATCTCATGAAATACCTCTAACATGTTCATTCAGTCCCGCAAATTCAGTATTTCATATTCTGTTACTGTCGAAATCGCCCAATATTTATTTGTGAGATGGCATGTTTTTTATTTGTATACTAGACGTTTATTTTGCATGTTTCACAGTATTAAAATGTAATAAAAGTAGGCTTTGTTTTGAACGTGAAAACAGCGCCCATTTTCTATTGTAAAATACCAACAAAGTTGCTTATCAGATAAGCATTTAAACGAGTCATGTCTCTTAACCTGATGGGTTTTTTGTGAGGTTGACTAGCAAGGATTTGAATTAGAAAATGAAATGAAATTGCTGTACCTCTTGCAAAACTTATTTTGACCGGCCAAGGGAACTGAAACGGAAAATTTGTGAAATGTTTCGTTTATAAACTACTTCAGAAAAATATAATGCAAACATGTTATCACAAAATTGGCTCATTCTCAGAGTTTTAACACTGAAAATTCATATAGATAAAAGTCAACTAAACGAAATTCTGTCAGTATTTAAATAGTACATGATTTTCCTCCAAAACAACCACCATCGGTGACCGGGTTTGTATCAGGTGGTAATGGAATTATTGTTTTTTCTATATGGGGTGGCTGTTTCCATTCATCAGAATGTTTGACTAATTCAGTTGCAAAACTAATGAAGCAATTATCAACATTTTGACTTGTTTTTGAGCTTGTTTCAATATAGGAAATGTTTTTTTCGTCAGCATATGCTTTTATTGTTGAATAAGTAATCATACGTTTTGCTTGTAAATCAGATTTTGTACCGACAAGATAAACAGGTGTGTTCTCTTGACAGTATCTTTTTACTTCTTCAAGCCAATTGTTGACATTACGAAAACTGTCCGGATCAGTTATATCAAAACAGACCATAACACCGTGTGCACCACGATAAAATGATGATACAACACATTTAAAACGATCTTGGCCAGCTGTATCCCATACTTGTAATTTACAACGTTTTGAATTCACATCAATTTCTCGAATTTGAAAATCTATTTTTATCAGAAAAACAAAGTAGAGATATGAAATTGTTATCAATTGAAATTACTTACCGACACCGATAGTAGCTAAATATTCAGTTGAGAAACAATTTTGAGAAAAGCGTTGTAAAATAGCTGTTTTTCTAAAGAGAAAAAAAGCTTTGTTCAACAGAATACGATAGAATTAGATATATACCCAACTCCACTATCACCAATAATTAGGATTTTGAATAAATAATTATATTCAACATCATTTGCATTATTCCATGACATGATAGTGCTTGAAAATATGAATGTCTAGCATTCTTACCTGGTCATCCACCTTTATATGTTGCTTTCCATGTGACGATTATATTGCGTAAATTGTTGACGTGGACAAAACACGAACTAGATGACTCAGTCTGTTGAATCATCATAATATTCGTTTTCGGTTTATAAGTACAAGGCAAATGAAAAGAAAGCAAGAATTTTCATAAAGGTTTTATCCCGGTAAGTTGTAGAATGACGAATAGATTCTTTTGAGATAAATACCAGATAAAAGAGATTCTTGTATTGAATTATCAGGTCTCAATAGGTTTGTTTTGCTTAGCCTGAAATAACGACTTATGACTGGCTCACAGAAAATATGACTCAACTAATGATAACTTAAGTCAAAGATTTTTGGTCGAGAGAGAATAGTCTCTTTTCTCAAAAACATTTACTAATCAAATCTCGTAGAAATTGTACCAGTCGGATTTTGACAATCGGCGGAAGTAATTTTTGCTTTCCATTCGTTTTTCAATCTCTCTTTAAGCTATTTATAGCCATACTATTTCTTTCTCTTGAAAATTTCTGATAGGCTTCACGCAGCTGTCCATGAATAGAAAATAATATAGACTTTCAGAAAGATCCTATTTGTAGCAAAAAAAAACCTTCATCAATCAAATTGATAAAATCATTAGGGAAAACAAAAAAGTTTTTTTTCTATTGTTTCTTGAAATTTAACAAATTATCAGCACTATGTGCCAGATAAATGCAGCAAACTTATCATTTCAATCGATAGAGACATCAAGGTTTAATCAAATCAGATAAAAAATAACGAACAATTGACCTTTTATTAGATAGATCTCGAACTATCATAAGTAAAACAATTAATTTGCATATCATCACAAGATAAATTTATGTGTACGGCTATGATTATCTTGACAAACTGCAAATAGTTTTGTTGTATAAAAGGGCTATAGGAAAATACTTCAAATAGATGAGCTACACAGGTGACAAATCATCTGATGAAAAACTGAATCTTATTTACGAGATCAGTTTTCGAATTTTTGAACCTTAACAATTATGTTTTTTTTTCTTCGACAATAAATTTTGTCGATTTATGTTGATGTTTATTTAGCATGTATTTACATAATTCAATGATAGATGATAGTCTGCCTAAATAACATCAAAAACAAAATGCAACAATCGATCTTTACACGATCTATCAAAACATTCTTTTGACGCTCTTCGGCGTAGAAAATTAATTTTCAAGATTTAATAGAACGGACGCGGAAAATAGGTTATTACTGTCAGATACGTTTATTTTGTCCTGTAGAAATCTATATTCGAAATTGATGCTTTTCAATCCGTGTGGTGTCGGTGAAATGATGACGAAAGAGCCCAAATTTCCCGATAGTAATCTTTTATGCTAATAACATCTACTATTTGGCTAAGAAGAAATAAATTTTCAGACCTAATCATTTATATGCATACGCATTACCGTTTAAAATTTAAAATTATTACAACATACTATGGGATTAAATTGTATGTCTAATTCTATTTAATACAAAGAATGACTAGCGATACAATAATGATCCAGTGAACATAAATTGGTTGGATTAATAAGGATATACAAATTCACGCTAAGCGTCTACAGAAAAAAGCCAAATGTTTACAATAGGCGGGATTCAGGAGACGATGTTTCATCCATATATTTTACAGGACTAAACATTTGTCAGCAAGAAAGAATAGATGATACCATTGGACACCATGATAGACTAAACCCGATACCATTGAGATGGAATGAAATAAATCAAATTTATTATTGACAAGTCGATATTTTTGATCATCACGGCGTAATCGATCGATATCTTCCGTTGTCTAAACAAAATCGATTTACATTATTTACTGAATATATATATATATATATTAATTCATTGAAATACATACTTTTGCAGCTTGTAAAAATTCAATATTATTACGGTCAAACATTAAATTTGTTACCAATGGATTGAGTATAAGAGTATTTAATTCAGCAGCAGCCAATGCAACAAATAAAGCAATACCCTATTTAAATAGAAAATGGAGGTTTTTGTTTTGTGTAGTTTTTCAAAACGAACTAAATGTTTTGCTTCTTTCGACCATGTATTAGCTGGATGACGTAGTAAAAATGTACTCAAACTTAGACTAGATAAAATTGTCGATGAAGCAAAATAAACCGATGATAAATGTGATTGAACAGTAGCAAATTCTTGGCGAGTTAACATGCGTTGAATAGCACGACCTATTCGGCAACAAGAGGAATAATTAATTATTCATATGAAAATTTGATTCTAACCATGTACAACTGTTACCCAAAAACTAATACCAAATCCACCTAAAATACATAATTGATCGAGATATTTTTTAAATAGAAATATATATATATATATATTTACCAGCAACACCAACCAAATGTAAAAACGAAAGATTTGATGACGATGGTACAGCTTTGGTTTGCGAAAATGCATATCCAACATAGCCAACCGTACCTAGTGCTGTAAGAAATGAGGGAGCTAAGTACCTGAATAACAATAAAATATATATTATCGTTCAAGAAACACAATTTAGATAAGTACCAAGCTTGTGGCCACGTCTTTTTATAGAAATCTTGAACATTATCTTCAATTTTGCTAATTTGAGAGCCCATTTTTTTCTATATAATTTTAATAAATGGCGAAAGATTTCTACAAAAACACAAAGAATAATAAAGTGCTAAGCTACATTCATGTTTTCCTCCTCTGTGAGTTTCTCCGAGTTAACGACTAATATAACATATATAATAAAGACGAGAATGTTTAGCGCCACCTTCATCATCACGTAAGATATAAATCAATATTCATTGATATGATTAAATTATTTATTTGAATTAGATAGTAAACTTCTATGAAAATCGAATTTCTTAAATTATCAACAAGAAGAAGAAGAAAAGTTGGCGTGTAGCGCAACTACGTTTAAACATCTCTATTCGAGCAACGAAACATCCAATCAAAGCAATGAGACGGAGAAGAAGATGATGTATAATGAGTGTTCCTAATCCTAATGAAATAGAATTTACACATTGTTTTACACACTGAAGATAAAAATAGTGTGTACTGCGTACCCGCTGGCTTTCCTTTTTACAGAGTAACTTTTACGAAAATTTGCATGCCTTTATAATTAAAAGAAATATATTTATTGAATGTGATCAAAACTTTGCGTTTCATCCAATATATATGTCATATAACTTAGTATATAGCTTCTTTATTATTTCATATGAGTGTAAAGCGAACTGAAAGTATTGTTGAAGAAAACAATAAAAGAAAAACAAAACGCTAGAATCACCTGAAAATGGCTTTGTTGTAGTTTAAATTTGAAGATTTTTCACCACTAGAAAATCTTAACTTTTTACTCATACTTTTGCATCATCATCATCATACCGATGAAAAAGTATGAGCATTTTTCACGTTTTGTAAATTAAAAATTTTCGTGCGATCATCAACGTATGAAATAAAATAAGAGTAACTTTGCATAGAAATTTTCTTGTATGGCTAGCAATTCACTTTCTAGCGTCATATACACTTTAATCCGTGAAACAAAGTGTACGAAACCATAATGCTCAAAACTAGCGTACTTTATTTATACATTCTATTTCAGATTCCTATTAGGAACAGTGGTACACAGCGGAAGCAAAATGTACAGAATATTGATTTACACTCTGATTTCCTTGATCTCTGAAGCTTCAAAGCCGCATATAGTTTTAAAATAATCAAGTATAATATTTTTTTTTGTTCTCTAGCGATCAAAATGCTTATTTCATGAGATAAAAAATGGCGAAAATTGGGCTCTTGTACACTTTGATATACTTTGCTGAAAAAAGTAAAGTGTAATGTACACTTTGTTCATAAAAAAACAGAGTGTACAGTACATTTTGTTTTAGATTTCCATTGGAAACACTGAGTATAATTAGTGTTACGTAGAAATTTATCATTTTCTTTTTTCAATTTGTGCATTTAACTAATAGGTAGATTTCTAAACATTGTTATGAATACAGTTTAAGCGTAGAATACTGATTGTTACGGAAGGCACTATTGCCTATGAGAAAATTGGACTTGGTTAAGTATCTATTATATAATTAATCAATTTTAGATTATCGACATGGCTACATCACCATTAATCAAAGTTAGCTTTCTTGGTCTTGGTAGTATGGGTAATGCAATGGCAAAAAATATTCTGAATAAAGGCTTTCAACTTACTGTTTGGAATCGTACAAGTGCAAAAGCAAATGTTAATAAAAGAGACTGATACACCAGAAAACTAAATTTCCAAGAAAAAGCAAAAAAAATTTTATTTTTAGGATTTAAAAGATGCTGGTGCACATCTAGCAGTAAATCTTCGTGAAGCTGTTGCAAATGCTGATGTGATTATCAGTTGTCTATTCGATGATAAGTCATGTTTGGAAGCAGCTCAAGGTTAATGGAATTTACTTGAGAAAAACAAGCACAAATTTTGAATTTTCAGGAGAAAATGGATATCTTATGGGAATTCAAAAAAATGCCGTACATGTCAATACTACAACTATTAGTCCAAATGCTGCTACTCAGCTGGAAGAATTACACAAACAACATGGAGCTTTTTACATTGCAGGACCTGTATGTATTATCCAATAGAACTTATTTGCAGTTCGATTCTTTCATTAGGTTTTCGGACGTCCAGATGTCGCAACTAAAGGACAGCTGAGAAGTTTCTTAGGTGGTAATCATGATGCCATTGAACGTGCTCGAGCTGTCATTGAAACATATTCTGGGGGAGCAACGATTATTGTTGGCGATAGTCCTGCACAAGCAAATGTGATCAAATTAACAGGAAATATGGTTCTTGCTGCAAATATTTCACTCTTCGGTCAAGTATATGCATTCAATGAACGTTGGGGCATTGATCATAATATCACTCATCAAATACTTGGCACTTTCTATTCACATCCAAGTCTACTGGCCTATGAAGCTCGTGTTCGAGATCGAAATTATGAACGGTCACCGGGAGAAGGCTTTGGAGTCGAAGGAGGTTTAAAAGATGTCAATACAATGTTAAACGCAGGTGATCAAGTTGGTGTTCCTCTTCCATTTTGTAGTGTTATGAGAGAGCAGATGGTTACAGCAATGGGAAACGGATTGAAAGATATGGATTGGTCAGTAGTAGGTGATGTCGCGAGACTCAACGCTGGATTACCTTTGGAAAGTCAGAAAAAGAAATGAACAATACATCGAAAATCTTTAATGACTCTTATCCATCAAAAATATTATTCGTGATTGGTCGCTTGTTTTTATTCAACTACTATTTTTCATAATTTTTCGTAGTTTTCAAATAAATGAACGCTTGAGAGGATCATCTTTTTCTTAGGAAACGTAAAGGGCTTCATTTTTTTAACGAATCTATAAGAAATTAACATAGAATATAGAAGACGATTTCCTTTCAGTTATGCACCTTTATAATGTCCCACTAATTTATAAAAATAACATTTATATGCTCGATATATAATAATCAACGGAATTTTCTGGCGTAATTATGTATACACGTGAATTTTGAGCGCAACTCTTATCACGTGCTAGTAAATACTGCTGAAAATGTTATTCTATAATGCTTACTACAACAAGAGCAGTATAAATCATCCTTGCAATATACTTTTTGTCTCGAGTAATCGAAACTTCGATAGTTTTCAAGTGTTTTATACGCTCAAGAATAGTTTATTTCTTCGACAGATTAGTTCTTTTCGAGAATCTGAAGTTTCAATGATTATCGATTGGTCTAATAGATCTTTCTTAAAGAAAATAGAGCATGTAAAAGTAAAACATCGATGCACTATGATTGAATACATAAGAGGATACAATTTTCGAGTACTCGGAATCCAATGAGTTCGTGATTGTGGCAGAATAAACATAAAATATGAATCGGCAATGGTCATGACTGATTATCGTACGCTCTTAAATTGTAAATTGTTAAGAATTCGCTTTTAATTCGAAGCAAGAGTTCAAATGATAGTACCTACAAGCTTACCATTTTCGAATGTCAAAAGCAGATCAAACTCTAAGATATTTTGAAGTACATCCTTGATATTTAAAACGATAGTTTGTGTCCAATAAAATAATGTCAAGAATTAAACTTAATAGTAAATTTTGATGTCTTTTTTTTGTAGCAATAGTTCTGTCAATAGAAGATTAGGCAATCAAAATCTTATGTCCCTATATTGTCGGCATGAAAGAAAAGAAGAATATTTGCCGTGTTACCGCTGCATGTACCTTTAAAAAGCAGTTTTCATATCAACAATTTTAATTTTTTTTATAGATTCCTAATACAAGCTTAAGTGATACAGTTTTACTAGATTCGAAACAATCTTATACGACAATTTCTATCTTCATCGATTTGGACTTTTACCAAAGTTAGAATCGGCGAAGTTGTACTAATTCCATTTCTACTTAAGTGAGTCATGGATTTACATTTCAATAGCTTAATATTTAATTTTATGCTAAATTCCAACGATAATATAATCCACTTCAGATAGGCTCTCTCGGTTTTTATAAATATACAGTGTATGCTGTCTTTGAGGATGGATATACGTTTAATCTTGGCATATGCTTTTGTTTTTACAAATGGAAAAGTATTCGATATTTCTAGAAAGCATATACATCCATGCGGCTGAGAAATCCGAACTATCAACAAGCAAAACATTATCCCATTGTATCGAATTTCTACGTTAAAGCTGTGTTGATATGCAGTTGCATTGTGACCTTCGAGTAGATTAAAAACACGTACGGACTTGCCTAGCTGTCAGATATCGCTGCATTTCTTTCTCTTCCTTGTACTCGTTGTATAAATTTCCAATAGTTTCTTATTGTAAATCACAATGCATTGGGAAATTTATTCGTTCTACATTATCGTAAAAAAGTATCGTTTCGAAAAACAGAAGAAAAACGCACCTTTTGATACTGTGTAGGTTCAGACAACTATTAAACATGATTGTACATCATTTGTCGAAAGACAAACTGAATGAGTTAGCTCAAATACCCGAAAATATTGCTACGGCATGGCAAAGGGATTTTTATCAGCTGTAGAATGTAAAGTTCTCTCTCTTTGGCTCTTTCATATCTTATTCGATTTTGTTTGTAATAAATAAAGTTTCCTTTCTTTTAAGGGATTATTGAGTTTCGTTCTACGTCGCTGAATATCGAACACAACGAAGACAATCATCGCCAATCATTATTCCAAATTGAAGATTTGACGAAACATTTACTTTACCTTTTTCGAATGGAATAAACGCTAGCGATGAAAAAAAAATCGAAATGAAGACATTTGTTTGATTAGTTTTACTTCGCTAGTAAAAAATGAGACTTGATATCGATATTTCAAATAAACAGTATCAATAATTTCAGCTAGATTTATTTGATTTAAAACAATATGACTTTTCTAGAATGGTTTTCTAGAATATATTTTATAGCGATTCACCCAAATGAAATACATTCTTGTTACCGGCGGTGTTATTAGCGGTATTGGAAAAGGAATTATTTCTTCAAGTATTGGTACCATACTTCGGTCATATGGATTTCGCGTGACATCAATCAAAGTGATAGAATAAATTATCGAAGTTACTGTTTATTGAAAGTTTTAAAGTTCGACTTTTAGATCGATCCATATATTAATATCGATGCAGGTACATTTTCACCATATGAACATGGAGAAGTATTTGTACTAGACGACGGTGGGTAAGTAGATTTTTGCTGATATCATGAAAAATTTCGAAAATGTGCTTCATCACATTTGTGAATAGATATGTAGAAACTACTGAATTCTAGAATATTTTAAGCAATTCAACTTAAATCAATGCAATTTTTATGATAATTGAAATGTACATAGATATTTATTTCATACTAGTCGGGTGTCTCTAGGCAAGATCTTAGGTGGAAATCTCAACCCTCGAGTTGTCGTTGATTCAGTAATCGAGTATTTACTATATTTGCCCGTAAGTCATATTCATCGATAAGATAATGTCAAATAGCGTTCTAAAGCTGTAAATTAGAATGGCATAGTCTCTTCGGGTTAATTATATAATTGCTTTTGGCAAAAGAACCTTTGTTCTCCAACGTAGTTTTCGGTATAAATTGATTGATCGTTAACAGATGTTTCATGTCAAGATGACACTGACATTGTTTATGGCGAAATAATTTTATCTTTAATTTTTGTAATTTTTAGTGAGGTCGATTTAGATTTGGGTAATTACGAACGATTTCTTGATATAACATTACATCGTGATAATAATATAACAGCTGGTAAAATCTATCGATCTGTGATTGATAAAGAACGTCGTGGAGATTACCTCGGAAAAACTGTACAAGGTTAATATAGACCATATGTCTTTAATTAATCTTCCTATTTAATATTCGGTTTCTTTGTAATATGATTTATAGTGGTACCACATATTACCGATGCTATTCAAGAATGGGTTGAACGTGTTGCCTGTATATCTGTTGATGACGATAAAACTACACCAGATATATGTATTGTTGAAGTGAGATAGAAATATTTTCGTTATGGTTTTCATTAGAGATTTTCCTATAGCTTGGCGGCACGATCGGTGATATTGAAAGTATGCCATTTGTCGAAGCTTTTCGACAATTTCAATTTCGTGTGAAAAGAGATAACTTTTGTCTTGTTCACGTCAGTCTTGTTCCACAGGTTTTTATTGAACAAATTTTTATTTTTCCTTTTCAATTTTGTTTTATCTTTTCAATAGCCCAATGCAACGAAAGAACATAAAACAAAACCAACGCAACATAGTGTAAAAGAACTTCGCGGTCATGGTCTATCGCCAGATCTTGTCCGTAAAATTTTATTTTCTTCTAACAAAAATAATTCATTTGATCCCTTTTTTTTCATGTGTCAAGATTATTTGTCGATGTGAAACACAGATGCCACTAGCAGCGAAAGAAAAAGTTGCCATGTTTTGTCAAGTGGAAAAAGAACATGTAAAAAATTTAATTATTCGATTATTTTATTTTACTATTTGCTTTTATAAAAAGGTTATTTGCATACCTGATGTCAACACACTCTATCGTGTTCCTGTACTACTTCAGGAAACTGGTGTTTTCAATTTTTTATCAACACGTCTTGGTCTAACATTAAAATGTAATTATGATCAATCCATGATGATCAAATGGCGTGAGCTAATTGAAAGGTAAATTTTTATTCATGAAAATAAACAAGAATACAGTAAACCACAAATAAAATAAAAATTGATAGTTGATCTAACCTGAGCTAGTTGTATTAGTAACAACAGTTAGGTTCGCGTTACTTATGAGACCTGCTGTACTAATGCCGAGACCTAATCCTAAAGCCATACCTAGCAGAACAATAAATCCAATAATAGCTGCTAATATAATTAATGTTCTACCACCTGCAACGTTTGGTTTACCACCTACAAGACGGATTGGTGCACTATTTGCATTTAATTGACCGTAACTGTATGGACTATTAATCGGAGTAGAATATTGTCCGATCATAGTGAGACCAAATGATTAATAAATATTGATCAATAGTTATGCGGACACTTGTCTAACTTGTTTATTATTGTTTTTTTGTCGACTACAGGAGAGGAAGACTGACTCAAAATACAGTCAGTAAAGTTGCGCTATGATGCGGAACGTGCATACAGCGAAAATAAAAAAACATCAATGAAATAGTTTACCTTGGAAATGAAGAAAAATGTGATTTTGTAATAAATTATTTTTCTATTACTCAATAGAAGCGAACGACAATTGGAAGAAGTAGTCATTGCACTTGTTGGAAAATATACAGCTTTAGAAGATGCTTATGCATCAGTACTTAAGGCGCTGAATCATGCTGCACTTTTCTGTAATCGAAAATTGAATATACGAGTAAGAATAGAAATTTTTCATTGATGATTGATTGTATGTATTCATCATTTTAACTTGTAGTTTGTTCATGCAAGTGATTTAGAAGCAAATAGAAAAAAAGAAGATCCAGTAAAATATCATGAAGCGTGGCAACAGCTTTGTAGTGCACAGTGAATGAGTATATTTATATGAAATTTATTCGTAACTTTGGTGGTTTTTTTTCTCATTCTAGTGGGGTAATCGTACCAGGTGGATTCGGTTCACGTGGCGTAGAAGGTAAAATTGCTGCTATAGAATGGGCACGAACACAATCGAAACCTTTTCTTGGCATTTGCCTCGGTTTACAATGTGCTGTTATTGAATTTGCAAGACATGTTTTACAGTATAAAGGTGCTAATTCATCAGAATTCGATAAAGTTGAACATCAAGTGGTAAGTTTTAGGTTATTTTAGTTTTCAACGAATTTTAATATTCATTTTAAGGTTATTGAAATGCCAGAACATAATACAGGAACTATGGGAGGTAAACTACTGCTGAATTCTTGTCGGTAGAATTCTCTTTTTTTTACCTCCTATTATCTAACAGGTACGATGAGATTGGGACGTCGAACAACTCATTTTGTAACAGATGATAGTATTCTTAGTATGTACTTATTGTTTAAAATTAAAATTAAAATTAAAAGACGTACTCATATGTTGCTGTATAGAAAAACTCTATGGGAATGTTGATACTATCGATGAACGCCATCGTCATCGATATGAAGTGAATCCGAAATATGTTGAAGAATTTGAAAAAGCCGGAATGAAATTTGTTGGACACAGTGATGATAATCAACGCATGGAAATACTTGAACTTGACAATCATCCATATTTTGTTGCTGTTCAATATCATCCAGAATATATATCACGTCCATTGAAACCTACGGCTCCATATTTAGGGCTTATTTGGGTATGATATTGATTAATCATTGTTTGTTCGTTCTAAGTCTTTCATCGTTTTATTTCTATCATAGGCTGCTTGTGGTGAATTAAAAAATGTATTAACACATGTTACAAAAGCACCCACAACGCCTGATGTTGGAAACAAATCTCATGATATATTTTCTCATGTTACTTTATTTCAACATGCATGATCTGAATATTTTGTTTGTTTTGTTTTGTTAATTGAAATCTTGCCCTGGTACAAACATGAAAACTCATTTTTCTGTTACTGATGGTTTTTTATCATATTTATGCATTGTTGTTCGTTATGATGAATAAATAAAAAAAACAAATCAATCTATTAGAAGAAACAAATAGGATTCAGATCAGAACGATAGATATTGAAAACAAATATTTTTCTTTTTAATTAAAAGAAAAGCCGATCGTTTATGACTAATAGTAAAATTGAAATACTGTCAGTAGGAATAAATCTTATCAGTAAGCAATCAATCCGATTCAATGCATTATTGATATTTATTCGGTGTCATATTGTGTACATGTGAGATGGCTATTTGAATTTCCTAGAACGTAAATTAATGATTTTAGTGGGACTAGGTAAAATAAGATAACAAATAATCTATTTCAATCTAATTTCATTCGGCTCTGCGTTCAGCGAAATAATCTGATCGTAGATTTCATTTCGCAATATAGTTTTCTTCACGATATCACATAAATTATGATTATGATTAATATAAAAAGATTGTAAAATTACAAGAACTAATTTTAACGTTTACAGATAATATATAATAAATACTATAACTTATAATCATAATAAACAAACACGTTAATTCCTATTGTTAAGTATGGAAAGGATTATGTCATTCAATGAGTAGCGGCGGAGTCATTGAGACTCGTGAGGCTTGAGTCTCACCTGGATTTTAGAATGAATATGAGTATCATCTAGGACTAGTTGACTTTAAAATCTTCATCTTTTCTTATAAAATTTAAAGGAGAGAAACCGAGATTTTATTTTTTACATAGGGGAGATTAACATTTTAATTTTCTCTGTAACATATATAAAGAAGAGAAAGGTTCTACTGACTTGAGAAGTCTTTGTTCGACTTTTGCATCAACAAACGATCAGAGAAAACTAGTTTTTGGTACACCTTCTGATCAATTCCGTTCTATGTTGACCATTATGTTTTCTATTGAAATTCAATGAAAAGAAGACTTATATTGCGCTTCATACGTTAAGAAATTCAACGGAAGAAAAAAATATTATGAGCATTACTTGGCTAAATGATGCTCCGCCGCCTCTGTGTTCAGTGAAACATATTATATTACATAATAATACTTATAAAGAGGGTTATTGTTCGAATAGCCAATAGTTTTGTCTATATAAGTTTAATTTTAAGCGTACTGTTTGTTCTCAATGAACGAGTCTTTCATCAAAAATAAAAAGAATTATTTAATTATATTTTAGAACGAAGATGCCATCGGATAGCGTTCATATCACAATATATGAATACTTTAGTACCGTACATTATCGAGTAGTTAAAGAAAAAGAAATATCAAAATCAAAATTGATTGAAATCTCTTCAAAACTACACGTATTGCATATCGTTGTACTTGTAGATTGCAGAACTTGTTCTATGTTCTATTGCAACTCCTTTAAGTTATTATACAATATTTTTTAAAATAAAAAACGAAAAACCAGTCGAAGAAGAAGGTGAACAACGTCCAGGTAAAATTGGAGTTTTATCTTTTTGTCAATCAGGAGATATAACAGGACAAGAAAGTTTGTTTTTCTTATGGCTATTAAGCTGTACAAAAAAATTATTTTAGTAAGAGTAACACGACAAGTAATGAAACTTCGGTCATAGATACTCAGTTGGATCGTCAAATATATCGATTTTGCAACCAATGAAAATTTAAAGAAACATACAGATCTTCAAGTAAGTTTCAGTTGATTTTGTTAAATATCAGAATTCATATTTAAATAAATCATTTTTCCAGAATGAAGTTAATGATCGAATTTGTAAACAACAAGTTTCAGCGAAAATTAGTACACATGGTTTATCGTTTATATCAGGAAATTTGGTTTATGATGCTCGTCAACCTGAAGAAACAGGTCTTGTTCCACTTGGTGAAGGTCCAAAAATAGTTTCAGCACGAGATTTTTACAATGATTTATGTGAGAAAGTTGAACGTGAAAGAAGATCAAATAGAAAAAATAAATCTTCAAATTATCATAAGTTTGTTTTGACTTTTTTAAATAGACATTTAACATTTTTTTATGTGACCAAAATCATCGTTTTATATCACTTCCACCATTAACTGATGGTGAACCATAATAAAGTAAAATACCAAAAACAAAACTTTTCGTATACGTATTAGGTTTTGTATAGAGATATTGGTGATGATATTCAAATGAGTGAATTTGCTTTACAAAAGAACGTTCCTTTGGGACCTGCTGACCTAGATTTACTTGCTACAGTTGGGCCACGAACAATACATGTTTATGATAAACTATGTGTAGTCGTTCTTTCAAATAAGTGATAGTAATAGAATCATGCTCTATGAATGCATTAAAAGATTTAAATGTAAAACATGCTATTTACTTTCAGGATGGCATTATAGATGATACATGACTTTGATTCTTATTTCGAGAATTTATTCTACTGAAACCTCCGTTATTCAAACATTATAATATCATCATCCAATAATTCATGTGCCGGTGTATATATATGTTACAGTTGACATGAGAATTTAGTTGAGATTGGAATAATAGATTTAATTAAAGATAGAGAAAATAGACACAAAAGAGAGCGAAGAAACGAAAAGAAAAGAAGAAAAGAATTTCGAAAATCAAAATGTAAATAAAATTATATGAACGATATGGAAATTTTTTTCTACGAGTTAGATTTAGTACACTACTTTCTAATTGATCATAATTTAGATTTCTTTTTTAAATTGGTGACCAAAACAAAAAAAAATTATTTCTTATTTTTCATTTATCTCAACACGCTCTCATCTCGCTTGTATGAGTCATACAATAATTAATGTATCTTGCTGAACTGATGCTTTAATATTAAAAGAAAAGAAAATACTTCGTTGATTATGACAATAATGTTGCATCATTAAATAAATACTTATTTATCCGAGTTTTACACTTTAAAAATTTAGTAGAATCTATTAATATCTAACTTTTTTGTGATCATTTCTTTATTAATTTAAGCTTTTATAATTGATAATCGTCACTATGAAATAGAATATGATTAGACATAAATTACGAAGTTTCTTTTATATTAGCTTATTTGTTTTTAACGAAGAACGATTGTAGAAAATAACACATCAAATGGAGTACTCATATAAGAAACTTTTTTATTAATTTCATGAAAAATTAATAAAAAAATTAACTTTTCTTTCATATCATTCAATATAAAAACTTTTTCCATTCCCATCCCACCTGCTCGAGACTCGTACTTCGAAATAACGATAGCGAAACTCTCTTTCTGTCTTTTCTTCGAATGCAAAACAAAAGAGAAAAATCAATGTCCGTATGTCCCAATGTCCCGCGTATTAAAATAAACATCTTTTCAGAATCTTTCTCATTTCTCTCTCTTCAATCATGAAAGATTGACACAATTAATCTTGGAAACAAAAACGTGTTTTTTGAATCTACATAATCAATCAAACTATCTCATATCACTCACTAATAAAATTTTATTTCTATGAATCACTCTCATAACATTTATAGAGTAATGAACAATTCCAATCTCAACTAGATCTAAACTCTACTGCCACATATATATGTCCGTTTCGCAGATCCAGGGTAAACGAACGAGAAAACGAATACAAGAAAAAGAGGATAATGTGATCGAAAGATATTGCACCGAAGAAAGAAATATATCTTAATATGTAAAGAATGACGTCACATCGATGTAACACAAATGATACTGGGATATATGAGGGCCGGCCCGTAACAACTATACAACCCACACACACAAGAGAGAGAGAGAGAGAAAAGAAACAAAGGAAGAAAAGGCATTTGTTTCTTCGACTAGACTATTTTGTATATAAAGGTGATGGTGCATCATTTTATAAATGCACTTAAATTCCAATCAAAGAAACGATGCCATTATTTACGTCGTCACTCACGGGAGAAAAGAAGACAATAGAGACCCAGGTCAAATACGTACGGCGGGAAACTGTCTGATCCGGTGATTTTCCATCGAATTCCGGAAGCAGCATTCCAAAAAGTTTTCCGGTCTCCGTTTCCAGAGTATTTCCCGCTAATTCCTGACCCTTGAAGCCATAAGCGGATGCGGCTAGGGATGTACCGAGACCGAGACAAAACCGAGAGTCTCGGTCTCGGTCGTCTCGGCGAGATTCTTGGTGTCTCGACCATGATCTTGATATTAACTAGTTTCAGTATCCGTTTTAGAACCTTGTTCATGAGACGCGTATGAAAATTGATCTATCCATAAAAACATCATAAATATCAGCAGCGTTATGTGTATTATACTGACCTCATTTGTTAAAAACTCGGCGTTTTATGACGATTATAGTTTAAAATGATAAGCACCATTATTCAAAGTTAATAAAGACTTGCTTAATCTACGTCAGTGTGTGTCGATCTTAATGTGTGCTAACTCAGCCTCTGTTTTATAAATTAGATATAGAAAATTGAGGATGCTTGTCCATGGAGATGCACGCGGGCAAGCAAATTGTTAACAAAAAGAAAAGATTTCCCTCCGTAAATAACTTATAAAACTCAACGAAGATTCTATTACGAACCAGAGGCCGAAGTGGGGATAGTTGTTGGCCCCAGCCTCGCCCAGTCCCTAGTCTGAACTTTTGTTTCTTTGATACCTACACTCTAGATAATAATCCTTTTCTCTGGAACCCAGGAAAATATGTTTACAGATTGATTCCGGAAACCTGAATACGTTTCCGGAGTGATCATGAAAACTTTTAAAAGGTTCTAGGAACGAGAAAATGGGCTTTCGAGCGTCAGAAGCCATAAAAGCGTTTCATATAGCGACCAACCCAGAAATGCTGATGGACTACCGGAAAAAATGATCCGTTTCTTAGAATATAGAAACTCTGTCACTTTTCGAAAGCCCTTCAGCGTTTGCAGGTTTATCGGTATAAAAATGTTTTTAAAGTATCGGAAGCTCGAAACCCCAGTTTTTCCCTCGAGAACCTTTTAAACGTGTCCAATATCAGCTCGTAAACATATTCAGGCTTCCGTAATCAGCCTGGAAACCTATTTAGCTTTTTAAATGATCCGAAACCTAATATCCTGGGTTTCCAAGGAAACGTTTTTTTTTATTTAGTGTGTGTTTAAGCCTTTAAAAAATATATTTCTTTCTTGAACATATGATTTATTTGGCTAAATATTACGAAAGATAACTGGTTGATATGTTATTAGCATAAAACTTGAGAATAAAAAGAATAAGACTGATTTATTTTGCTTTCCAATATGTTATGGATCATCAGAAGAGTTTGTGAAAATGACAATTCATCGAATTAGTTTTGAAAGTATTGAAAAGATACAGCCTCGTAACAAAGAGAAATCTATCATAAAGCATCTATATATATATATATATATATATATCCATTATTCAGATTCATCGTTGCGGGAAAAATTCGGGCGTTTACCCTACCCCCCCCCCTCCCCCGTGAAAACCTTTCCCGCCTCGTCGTAACTTCACCCCCACCCCGTCGCGTCATATTTTTACCCGCCAGAATCTCTACCCGCTTCGCCCCGGTTACCCACCCCATTTCGGTCTCTGTTACGAATTTATCGACTTTATTTCATCTAGTTGTATGTATAACCAGAAAGGTCGACTAGAACGAAAACTATTCCTGTGACAGTCAAAATGATCAGAAATTGTAAAATTTCATCAAGATTGGTCGAAGCTGGGGCATTTTTTCAACTGATTAGCAGTTTTCTTTGTGCATGGAATTAGTCAAAATCAATGTGATTACATTGCAGTAAAAGTCTCTTTCCGTTTTCTAGGTAATGTATAGAGGAAAATCATTGTTTCGTTAGCAATTTGCTTGCCCGCGTGCATCTCTATGGACAAACATTCTCAGTTTCCCATGTGTAATTTATAAAACAGAGGCCGAGCTAACACACATCGAGATAGACACACACTGACGTAGATTAAGCAAGTCTTTAGTAACTTTGAAGACTAGTGTTTACCATTTTAAACTATAATCGTCATAAAACGGCCACGTTTTTAACAAATGAAGACAGTATAATACACATAACGCTGCTGATATTTACGATATTTCTATGGATAGATCGATTTTCATATTCGTCTCATGAACAAGGCTCAAAAACGGAGACTTAAACTAGTTAATATCAAGATCATGACCGAGACACCGAGCCACCGAGACACCGAGACACCGAGACACCGAGACACCGAGACACCGAGACGCCGAGACTACCGAGACCGAGACGTGCGAGACCGAGACCGAGTACTCGGCCTCGGTACATCCCTAGATACGGCTTCCGTTTACAGCAGGATTCCGGACTACTTTTCCGATCGTTTCCTTTTGACGATCGGAAACGAAGAAATATGAATAGTTTCCGATCTAGATACGTAGCCAGAATCTGACGGTTTTCATTCCGGGTATGGAACCCGGATTGCACCGTCTAACCAACCGAATCAGGAGATTAGGAATTATTCGATACTTGCTCTTTCTAATTGAAAGATAAGTTGTGAATTTCAACGATAAGTAAATATTTCTTATTGGAAGTAGGAATCTGCAGAATCGCTGCTTAGAGTTGAATTGAAAGTAACTTTTCAAAAAGCATCACAGAACGTCGCCTAAGCAACATATTTAGATTGAAATCAATAAATTAATGAATTTAACTGGATCTTGTTGCCGATTCTATCACATAAAATATTTACTATACATTGCTAATCTAACGAAGTTTCCTCAATTTGATATACTTAATATATTAACAATTACTTTTGACATAAACCCCATTAAAATTGGATTAAAACCATGGGATACGAATAGGACGATCACAGTTCAATTGGTCATATTTTCGTATGTGTTTACCGTATCCAATACTAAGATGGCTAACATAGTAGTTAAAATTAAATTTTTATTTTCTCAATTTATGTGTGTAGCATTTGAGTATTTTTAAACAATAGCTATCAGCAATTTATAAAACCTAGAGCGAATGACAGCATATTTTTTTCATCGAAATAATTGTTCATATCTTTGATATTTGTGGTCTAAATTGATAACAGTTGATAGTAGTTTGAGGTAGGTCATCATCTTATGTAGCTATATGTAGAAGCACAAAACATGCATAGAAATAGATTAGAAAAATACTTCTGATTAATTATTGTTCAAAAGCAATCTATAATAAGAAGTAAAAAATCTAAAAATTAAAAATAATTTCGTGCATCAACGCCCTTAAATTGGATCACAACCTATGCAGAAACTTTAAAATAAGCATCAGGTGTAATGAATTATTTTGTGTGTTAATGTTGAAGCTCATAACCAACCTGTGCTGATCTGAATAGCTG